CTCAACACAGAAATAAGATAAATAAAGCCCAAGATAATTGTTTTACAATCAATACAGTGGCCTTCTGTTCGCTCTAGCATGAAAATAATTTACTAATTTGAATATGGAAAACGGCCTAAGCGAGTTACTCTGGTAGTCACGCGAACCTTGTCTCTTTATACAAATGAAAGGCGAGAAATTTCACTGCCAAGAAATTTCAATGCCAGGAATTTTCGTCGCCAAACTAGGGAAGAATTCAGTGCGCCGATGATGACGCGTTCTAAAAAAAGTTCTTACGGATCTAGAACATTTTGTTGGGATATCTCGAGGTTCATTCATTATTGGGACTTCTTTGCTGCTCAAGGGGTTAGCCAATATACCCATTCGATTAAAAAGATTATAGCAAGTGCTTCCGACTGAAAAATTCACATCACCTTTGAAAGGATTGGTTTTAATTTTTTTTTGGTAAAATAAGGCTCGAAATTGTTATGTTCGATAGGTGATCTTGAACGTCAGCGAGCAGGTTTAGCCGCTCTGATCGATTCGTTTGATCCGCATAATTAAAAGGCCATGAAAAACAATTTTTAGTCGACACTCGTCCCTCGCATGCTTTCGGACAGAAATGAATGTACCCACCAAACCGATAACAGTTACACTGTCAACCTTAGGCTGGGCTAGCTGAGGAACGTATTCAACTGAGCTCCATGCCTCGACACTGCTGGAAGTGCATCAGGTTTTAGGAACATTGGTTGGTTTTCGTAAACAGCATTTTTGCCTTGCTCGATGTACTCAGTTACGTATAGGTACACTTGAACACTGATCAACTCACCGCTTTGTAAGTCTTTTTCTGTCCAACATGAACTCCCCTTTCATTAATGTGCACGCTGCTTATGATATCGAAAAAATCGTCTGCAACAGCCACCCTGCGATATTCGACAACCTGTGAGCGAGTTGATTGTCCGATCTTGTCTTCGTATGGGTACAACATATCCACGCTCTAAATGCACAAGACATCCCACAGAACACAGTCAGAATCGAAAGCAAACAAAAGCGTACTAAGTCAAATATATTGAGTACAAAACCTTTGTAGAACAAGGTGACTTACTCTCGTGTGAGGAACTTTTACTGGAACGTACAAAACGCCATAGCTTTGGCTGTCTTCCGTGTGAGCAATGCGGAATCCTTTCGACTTGACCCAGAACCGAAATTTTGCATCGGTTTCGATCTGGGGCTCTCCAAGTAAATATCTGCATATTTTGTTAAACTTTTTTCGCGTAATTGTCTTTGTCCGGCTGTTTTCGCCATAGTTTAGTTCAACCCATCCCTGGAAATTGCGCCGGAACGAAGACCTTTCGAACGACATTGTTCAAAGGAATACGCCCGAAGTTGATCCGCGCAGAGCCAGAACATTCACCGCTTGAATATTGAAAGGGATGGGTTCGTTTGGTGGCCCATGGAAGTAAATTGCCTGTGACCGTCTGAGTTCTCATTGGACGAAGTTTGTTGCATTAGAAGGGCTTTGCTATAGAACACCCAATCCCAGCGCAAGACAGCAGATGTCCCGAAATCGAACAATATTGACAGGAATCGCGCATAAATTGGGATAATTGAGTGAAGGATGTTGTTGCGGCCTTTGTTGATGGGACGAGCTAAATGACAGCTAATGAGACAGTATTTTAAAATGCACCAAGAGGCGCTGTTGGCTTTTCAAAATCTATTGAAGTACACCGCGAAATTTCACCTTAAGTGTGGTTGTCGAATAGACCGGTCCGAGAAGAGGGCAATTATACTCTTGCAGACGTCACGATAGGTTAGTTCAAAGAAGGACACGCAAACTTCCAAATCACGGAATATTTTTGTTTCGGCTGAATTCGCCCTTTGAAATCATCAAACTGGCACGGAGCATAAAAACGAAAATAAATCGAGACTATCAGGCGAGTGCCTTACCGGATGAGATCCGGAAACTTATATGCTAAATACTTGCTGTCCGTTCTCTGAAGCCATTTACGAAGCATAGAATATGCAATTTAGGCTAGTTTATAACTCAAAACATCCCATTTTCACCATAATGCTCTGTGTTTGAATTTAGCACTTGAAGTGAAATTTAAAAGTTGCAAAGTAAACATCGATGTAGCACTTGTTTGCGAAAGGTATTTTGGCTGAGTCAATCTGCAAACAAGAAAATGCGATGTTTGCGATAAAGTGTAATTCAAAAACTATAGAAGAGTCGTCTGATCATGTATCTTAAATATTCAAAACTCTGAGTTGAACATTTGTGTTGTAAAACAATTAATCTGAGTACACTGTCGGGGTTTCAGCTTTCGCCTCCGGCGTAGTTTTATATGTTCTCTTCAGAAAGTTCATTTCGCAGTAGGACCGAATAACTTAGACGTTTTATTCATTACAAATATATATATCACCTCTTGGAAACGATCAACTTTCTCTACTGCTATTTGCCAGTTTTCGAACAGTACGCTTTGTAGACAAAATAACAGTGAATTGAAAGTGAGTCACGCGACAGGAGTAGCAAAAAGCAACAAAAAAAGAAAAATTGAAAAACAAAAAAGAAAAAGCAATCTTTGGGCCCATCCTACACCATTTCTCGCGCGCTCTTATTTTAATATTTAATTTCAAGCAATCATTTGTTATTCGAAAGCTTGTCAATGCATCGAGCGGATGATAGTGATGTACAGATTTAAAAGTGTATTTGAAATGACTCATTAGCATATTTTCGGCTGATCTGTTTTGGGGTCTATTAGAAGGAAGGAAGATTTTGCATACTGATATTATTTGGGGATATCCAAGACAAGCTCGTTGATAACTTCTTGGTTTCATTTCCGCTTTCGACGTCAACACTTCATATGTTTCAGATATTCGATGAGAAAGGGCTTGGTTTAGGGATGATCCCAAGCAGGAAGAATGTTTTGAATTAGAGATCACTGGCTTTAATTTGTAAAGCAGCAGTGATGAGAATTGACGAAATGATCACGAGATGCTAAATTGAAACTGTTTTTGAGAAAAACTTACGTAATTCAACCAATTGCACATTACAATTACTCACTAAACCAATCAAAATTAAAGTAAAGTTCTGCAGCGTATTTAACCATCGCCAGGCGCGGAAAAACAAATACGATGAAAAAGAGATTCTTCATGATATTTGCAGAGATAATATAAGACAGAACTTCAGAAATTCGTATCAAACTAAGTCTGCGTTCATTATGTTTTTTACTCTTTTGACACTAATGAGAAAGAATGATTAATACATACGCCTTCACTGGTCTACAGCTGTGACTTCCTCCATTTTTGACAGTTTCTGCCCACAATTAAACACAATGAAATATTTATCTCGTGTGCGCATTAAAATGAGATGCGTCCATTGTAATTTTGCACTCATTCATTCATTCATCAGCTCACTTTAAAAGCTCGGTATCTCTTCATTTATTTCACTACGATGATCTTCCACTGAGAAAGCCATGTTTATAATAATAGAACGAAAATTTAACTCACATAAATAACTTTCCTAACCTATTTCGGTAAAATGGAACGGCTGAAATATTTAAGACCTCTAATGTAATCTACTGTTTTTAAGTGAAACCGCAAAGAAATGAAGTCAATAATAATTTTGCTGTAAATTCACCGTTTGGTAGACTTTTCCAAGGACTGACCAGCGATTAATTAAAGTTTCGCTCAGTATCTTTGGAGCGATACATCTAAAAGTATTAAAAAATGTGTTTCAGTATACGAAATCTAGAGATCTCGTAAAATGTTATGAGCCATTGAAACTCCTCCATAATTTTGAATGTTTCCAAATTCTTTTAGAATAGAGAAGAGTCCTAGACATTGGACCATTTTTTCCGACACTGCGGTTTAAGCCTCGAAAGCCCATTCTACCAGTTTCAAAGCAGAATGCCTGATTAAGGTTATTTTCATTTCTTGCAGACCTTCAATATATTTTTTTTGGTTGATACATATAAATATACCACAGAAAGATTCAGTAGAGCAAAAATAACAGAATAAATCCGTGTAATGGAAAGAAAGCTCTTGTTGGAGCACTGGACTGCTCTTGGTTAGCCAATCAGAACGCACATAAAATTACTATTCATTGTTTTATCTTAAAATAGGGTTTAAAATGAAAATCACCAGACTGTAAAAACAAAAAGAAACTATATTGTAAATATTGGCCTTAAATATTAGGCAACCTAGGGAAACAGGGCAGAATGTCGATCCTTGTTGTTGTTTTTTCCATAGGACAACTAACAACGTATCTATTCAAATGAGCACCGAATTTTCTAGGGGTTCCTGGTAATCTATGTGTTTTTTTTTCACTGAATTCGCTCGAGGTATTGTTTACCATGTCTGTTGTTCTTATAATAAGGGACTTCCTTCTCAAGTTGGATTTGCAGTTCTTAAAGATTTCCGAGTTTTCAATTTGTGATTTATTATTACTGCTAATTAAGTATCTCTCCGAGCTTAAATGTAATCAAACTGAAGTAGGCAAACAAAAGTAACCCACTTTCCTTCCACAATATCGTGTAACTAGTAAGGTGAGCTGATCCTTGGTCTCAGCTCACCTCCCTGCGTAAAACATCTAAAGGCTTTGTCAGTAGTGCTCTTTGCGCAGTCACACCAAAACGATCCAAGCCTCCCGATCGCTCAGATCCCTTGTTTGTTTATTAAACCTGTTGCATTTCCACCTTTCTTTGAATTTTTCAAATGTAGTCAACAACGAGGGGCCGATTTACCGGCTAGGCTCCTGTTAACAACGTATAACAAGAAAAGCCATTTTCTTTACTCGTTTGGGCTATTATAACTTTCTAAGAACTTTACAATCCAAGTATTACTGTTATCATGGAGTATATATTCCTCTTTTTTCTAACACTAAATAAAAACAAGAAAAGAAGAAAATAAAACTGAAAGGATAGATTGGCGGGAAGCAAGGGTGAAGTTGGCGGGAAATTCGATATTTCGTGCAAGAAAGGCCTTCCCATGATTCCTTCCTGTACCGTTTTCACAAATTCAAAATGGCGTCCAATGGTCAGAGTGGAAAGTGGGAAGTGGTAGGAAAAGGTGGCAAGAAAAGGGCTCCTAATGAAGGGAAAAAGAACAAAGTTAAGGCTTCTGATATGCCTAAAGCCGAGATCATCAGTAAGTTTACTAACTGTAAATTATTTTGAGGAAATACTCGAAAAACTAACTTAGTGTGTGTCGTAACGCCACGTATGCAACCTGTTTTCGGACTGAGATCAAAATTTGTGATGTCAGTAAAATCTGCTCATTAAACAATTTCAGAAGAAAGTTGTTTTCGACAAAGTGTTAATCATGTGATAAACTCACAAATTACTATCTTTAATGAACAACAAGTTACTTAGTAGAGTTTATCAGTTTTACATTGATATTCTCTGTGCAGTGAGTGTTTCCCATCGTATAAAACTGATCGAGTGAGTTCGAAGTAGTCTTAAAAGTAAGCTTTTTATTTTGTGTTATGTGATTGCGATTATATATTTCCTAAATTCGCGATAAAATCTTTGGTATACCTCATCAGTTACTTTTACATCATTGATGAGAATATTAACTCAAAGGTCAGGTTTACAAGAAATAATGGTAAGTATTAGTAAAAAGAAAAAGCATGCTTTTATGATTTAAAATTTTAACTTGTGTAGCTATCTACCCCTGTATACGAAAAAATGTGGAGCTAAATTTGTCTTTCTTAATTATATTGATTGAAGACAAAATTAGTCGTACATTGGTATTTCTGTCCAACTTTATTCTTGGATGATTTACAAATAAAACAATAGTTGTGGACGAACTTTCCTTTGAAATACGTCTTTAACAACGCATTACGAAAGGTAGTTCATCTGGATGCATAATGCATCTTGTGCCTGTCTTTATACTAGAGATGCATAACCCAGATGAACTATAAAATGTTTGCCCAAGTTCATCCTGACCGATAATGCATCCTTAGAATAAAAACGGCCAATGGCAAGTGGGGATATTATGCCACAATAAATGAAATTATTGTCTCTTTGGTAGAATTATTTTAAGGAAAGGGTTCACATGGTGACAGACCCACTCAGCCATAGCTTATTCTTGTTTCTGTAACATGAAGTACCTACAATCAGTGACAAAATTGTTGAGACAGTGTCTTCAAATGGGATATTTCAGAGAACAAGACAATCAACACACCTCCCTCTTCCCCTGTTCATTAAAAGTTGGGGTATTTGTCGTTTCTTACATGTTTCTCGAGCAGTGGCAAAACATTCCTTTAATGGGATGGGGAGGGGAAAGATTCATTTATCCCTTTGAAAGTCAGCAAAACACCAGAAAGGCCCCTTATCAGGTCATAGTCTCTTTTACCATTGTTCTGAAATTTTTATATTCTTTATAATAAGTCCCAAATCCAGGGCATGAATGCTGCAATACTGTGAAGGATGATATGTGATGTGATATACCCAGATACTCTGAAACATGTCTTTAAAGCTTTAATATGTCTCAGTTCTTAAGCAATGTAAAAGGTTGTTCAAAAAGAGTCATACCATTTTGACATGGTGCAAATAGTGAGTAAAAGAAAAATTACAACGCATTAACATCTAATTCAACCATCACAGCTGTCACTTAAGGCTAGGGCTGGGGATTTCCCCTGGCCACTCTGAGCACAAAGGAAATAGAACATCAAGAACTTCCTAGCCGTTCAATTTCCCGCCTACTTATTTCATATACCTGGCAACTTGAAATCTTAGAGACAGCCCTGACCATGATTTTTTCCAATCTTCTTTCTAGATCCCTTAGCAGCGTCCAAGACAATTTATCAGGCTCTGAAGCACCCTAAAGTTCCTGTAACTGAAATTGGTAATGGAAATGTGAAACATACAGCAGATATTCCTGATGAATTGCCAGCAGTTTTAACCGAAAGAGTCGCTGAGCAGGCTCCTGAGATGAAGAAACCTGGTACAAGCTTCATTGGCAGCAAGAAAAAACCTGCCTCAACAAAACCCCAGAAAACAGATGAAGAACTGCTCCAGGAGGCATTATCAAAGGTGCATAGTTAGTTAAAATGCAAGCTGTGTAACAAGTAGCCTTTGTCGCAGATCGATGTAATTTAACCTCGGTTAGTAACATCTGCAAAGCAGAGCCAATATCCTTGTTCTGGGCCACCAGTGGACTAAGCAAATTACGGGAAGTGCATTTAGAATTTGCTTTCATTGTGATTGGCAAATCACCAATGGATTTTCAACATGCCAATTGTGGCATGTGCTCAAATCCTGGTACACACGAGGGGGCCCAGAACAAGAATTTTGGCGCTGTTTCGCAGACAGACTTATAACCAGAGTTTACATGAATCAAATTGAATGTGAGATACCTTTTCACCCTGTCTAGAAGAATAACAGAAACATACTGCCATACTTCCTTAGTGAAAGCTTTTGGCTTATACAATCCTTCCCCCTCCCCCCTCAATACTGAAATTCTAGTTAGCTTCATACTTCCCTTCTAATATTTGACACTCAGAGACTCTCCTCCCCTACAGAATTTTTTGCCACCTTTTACAGTGTATTCGCATTTTCTGGAACAACACAATGTTTGGATGAGCAGTATCCTTATGGCAGAATGGCATTTCATCTAGAGTGTTGTAATTAAATAACGGTGTATTTGACTTCCTTCAATGTCACAAAACTGGGAGAAGTAGAGATTTTTGGAGTACTGTTAATACATGGTGCTTGTCTCACTTCTCACATCACTTTGACCTTTACGTTTCAGGTTGATCTTGATGAGATGACAGCGATATTGACAAATCTGGAATCATCCTTTTCTAATAACCCTTCGGTTAGTAATTTGAACCTAATAAGTGGCTTTCTGGACTAAACAATATAAAAAAAATCCTAGAAAAATGCAGACGTACAGTCCAACATCTGAATGTTGGCCAACCTCAGAGGGGGGAACTGGCCACTTAGGGTACCTGAAATCAGCATCAGATGTGATAGAAATTTAATTTGGGGGAACAGACACACAATTTTTATTCCTTTTTGACAATCCTTTACAGATTTGGTGTGGCCCACTGTTAACCTAGCCTTTTCTAGGTGGAGTCATCTTCTATAATAAAAAATAGATAACAAACAAGCTTACAAAGTTGAGTAATGGAGAGAGAGAACAGTTAGTTAAAGAGAAAGAGAACAAGAATACGTTTGTGATTCAATGTCTATATTTTACTTGACTGAGGACTAATTTTTTTATTACATTGTAATCTAAAATAACGTTTACGGTAAAAACAATTTAAAAAATAAAATGTTGTAACAGGTAAATATAGTAACAATTAAATACAAAAGCTAAATTTATACCATAGATAATAGAGAGGACATATCTTGACATAACAGTCCACAACATCAATAAGCAGCAGAGTTAGTAAAGAAAAATACAACCATGAATGCAATGTCCAGTAGAGGAGGCTGTTTAGTAAAGACATTATTTACAGTGATTTACCTACAATAGAAAAACTTGTCATAATAGAGATTCCACTATTAATGCTCTTTATGTTGGTTGTGGTTCAATTTTTTTTCTACGACTTCTGTTGTGTTTTATAGATACCTTTTTGAACATTCTATGTTAAAATTTTGCAAACCTTTTTTCCTGTAGATTTGGTTAACTGATATTGTTGCAAATCTTCAACACAAGCTGAAGAATGTTCCACAGAAGGACCCAGTATTTGAAGGCAAACCACAAGGTAGTCTTACTGGGAAATACACATTACTGTAGCTATGGCTTGTTGTATTATGGATGGGGCACTCAAAAACATTGACCTTTTTTTTTTTGCTTCAGAGAAAAAAATGCTGTTCAAATTCAAGAGATTTCTCTCATCCTCCTTTCAAAGTTGTTGATGATTTTATTTTGCAAAATTTTGTATACTCCAGCTTCAATGAAGTCATCTCAAGGAAAAGGGTATTAATGATGCAATGTGCAGGGTAGTCACTAAGGGCCTGTGGCCTGGTATTTCAACCCCAACTACTATGGAATGAGCATGATCCATGGCTACTTTCACAGGAAACAAAACGAAATAGGAGCAGAAGATATTCCTAGCCGTTGAATTCCCCACCTACTCATTACATAATCCAGAAACTTTGAAATCTTAGCATCGACAGTCCTACGATGAACATCATTAGTCTAATGAGGAACGAACTTGCAGCCCTCTTGAAGAAAAGTTAAACAGATTGTAATTGCGGTTTTTGAAAACTTGTTAGCCTAACAGTTTTTCAAACTATGTTTTTGTTGTTTGTTCCACTGGATATAGTGCTTTGAGAGAGAGGTTTGTTTGATACAAAGCTACTATTTTGTCATTTACTAGTAAATTCTTCCCTAAAGTAAAGTTCCTTAGCGAAAAAAAAAACAAAAAACGGCATAGCCAATATTAACCCAATGAACTAGAGAACCTTGACACAGCCCCTTTAATTGAGCATAAAAGATGGACCTTGCCTAGAAATAGGCACAGTTGACATGTTCTCACTTTTTTTTCAGACTACCCCATCTGCTTGTTCCCAGTTCATTTAAAGACATTTTTCCTTGCCTTGATGAAAAAGTGTCCAGAACCAACCTTAAAAATTGTCTATCTACGCTCCGTGGAAAACATGGTCCTGGAGTTGAGTAAAGGTATTGAGTAACTTGCAAATAAAATCATTACTTTTTATTCTGTGTTTGAAATAAATAAGTGCTTATGAAATTATTAGCATTTCATTAATATTGGCCACCTGATATTTACGGGATCTAGAATTGATTTTGCATGGGCGTAACAGTGTTGTATACTGTACTTTTTTCTTCCCCCTGGGCTAAATTTGCTTGTTAAACTTTCACATCTGAATTTAAATGTCATAGTAACCCTGGGTTGTTTTAACCCTGCCTTGAACAACCTGGCCCCGAGATATAAATGAATTGCTATTGGTAATGTGTGTATTTTATCTGGCATTAATATGGAATGGCAATTCCTTATATACAAGTAGCTTGAACACTAAAAGGTCATGGAGCTGGACAGGATAATTATGATTTCTGGTGACTGTCCAAAATATGGTTATATAATAATAACTCTACTAATAATTCCTTTACAAATATAAAGACTTGTGAACTTCCTTTCTTGATCTTGGAATTGAATACTTTCATGATAACGTGAATCTCAAGGTCAGGAAAATTTTAGCTCTGAAGCTTTTGACTGCATTAAACAGTGATTTGTGTATTCAGTCACACTAGACAAAAAGTTCTTAAAAAAACATAGGCAGATCATACCCCATCTCTATTTAGGACCAGCTACTGGCATCTGATGTATAACCACTTGTTGTCAAATGACTACAGGTGTCAGAGTTAGGGTCAGGGTCAGGGTTTCCAGTCCTCAGTATATGCCCTAGGGGCACTAATCATACAGTGTATGTAGCTCTCACTCGTTGACCATTCCTTTTATAGGGTCATCTGCCTACGGGGACCAGATAATGTTACAGTTTATTGTACAGCAGTATCCACAGGTCACTTTGGATTACTTGAAGGAGGTAATTTGATTAAAAATTGTACAAACAACTTCTTAGTCAAGACTTGACATGTATTTCTTAAAGATCCTTTTATTTTGAACAAATATGCCTATTTTATTGAAGAGTGTGTCAAACGGGTGATGCATGCTAATCTCTTGTGTATGCATTTGAAACGCTTTCGAAAACAACTTGTTACTATAAATTTTTTTTGCGAAAAGTAGGTTGTTGAGTTATGTGTCTTACATAAGTTTGCATGATACTCTGTAGGTACAAGATATGCTTGAAAAGCGTAAGACTCGCACACGTGAGGCATTGGCATTGATGTGGTGTGCAGGACAGCTGCCAGAGAAGAATCTTGCACGTGGATTAAGAGGTTTGCTTTTACTGAACACAGATGACTATAACCGAATATGTGATGATCCAAGTTCAGTTTTAATTCTTAGTGAATGACAGCATTTAATTAAAAGTTACCTCCTGTTTCTTAATAAAAAGGACAAGTTTGATAAGTTTATGTTTAAATTTCAGTTTGGATTGAAGTTATGATGCCTCACTTAAGTGTCAAGCAGCTGACAAAGTATTCCATTTCTTACCTGGAGAATCTTTTAAGGTAAAATGCTTAGCCTTAGTTTAAGTAATGATCCGGTCAAGATGGGAAGCAATTTCTTTTGTTGTGGCACAATACACTTTCCTCACGTAGGAATGTTTTCAGTTTCACACAGAGAATGCATAATCCTACAAAAAGGCTTTTCATGAAATAAAATGTATGTATATTTTAAGCTCGATATTTGAAGGGCGTTTTACTGTATTACCCTAAAAGATTTCAACCAATCATGAGAGTTGTAAGCAATAGCCAAGAAAAGTTTACAATTTTACATGTTCCTCATACAGGATTTCTGTGTTACTTAACTCAGACGAGATTTTGTTGTAAGAAAGTTTGTGGAAAACAAGGGATGATATATATGCTGCTTTGTAAAGATTTCGTAAAATTTAATGTTCAAACCAATCAAAAGTGTAGTAGAGACAATGGTAAAGTTGCCACCTTTATGCATTATCCATCGTGTTTATTGCGTTTGGTTTTTTCCTTCTTATCTGGACCAGTACCTAACCTCTAAACAGCTATGTTGGTTCAACAGCAGCTGTCTATACTAGGTGCAATGACCCTTCTGAGCGAAGTAGAGGTGGTAACTGACAATTAACCCTAAAATCATTTATTCCCCCAACTGCTCGTTTTTGCCATGATGGTCATTGCAGTAGGAGGAATGGCCAAAGCAATAACATATGCAACCAGGGCAGTGAATCCTACATTTAGTGCATTCATTAGTTTTCTTGTAATTGCCCGCTAAGCGAGATTACCCTATTATATTGAAGTGGCTGACCCATGGAAATCTATGTAAGTTTCCAGTTGAGTTGAGAAGGCGCCATTGCTATTCATTTCAGAAATATAAGTTAGTACTGTTAATATCCAAGGTAATAACTGCTACCCCCAAATAAGCACTCTCCCTGATTATCCTTGCGAACGGCCAAAAGAAATCTAATTTACTTGTTTAAGGTTGTTGTTGTGGGCCAGGGGCCAGGGTTTTCCCCAGCTATTATATGCATGATCCCTGGATACTTTCATGGGAAACAAAGGGAAAATAGGACCAGAAGAACCTCCAAGCAGTTTAGTTCCCCTCCTACAAATTACGTATGCCTGGAAACTCGAAATCTTAGTGACAGCCGTCTTTTTATTCTCATTAAAGCACTTGCAAATCAACAAGTACTCAAGAGGCAGTTATGGAAGCCAAGGAGTTTTTTGCTATAATGGAGCTGGCATTTTCTCCATCATCACCCCTTGCTGGTAATCCAAGGTAGGAGAGAAAAAAAGCTTGAGAAAGCTTAAATCTGGAGAGAAAAAACTGAAAGATAGAGTTGTTTATAAAATGTTAACAGAAAATTTAACTCTTTTTTCTTACATTCTTCACACAATTTGTATTCCAGTCCAGTGATTTTGTTACCCTGCATCCTGCGTCCCTGAAGCATAAGAATCCCCAAAGACGCAAAATAAATTATTTGTGGTATGCATCGATTGATCGATCTGAAGATGTCAGTGTAGAATATCCTGTGTGTGATTTCTGTGGCTGCTCTTGTGGCTATTGTTAAACAATGTTTATTTCTTAGTCTTTTCTGTGCTTTACAATAGAAGGAGTATCTGTTTATCTCAGTAAACTGCAATACAGAGTTTTGGAGTCTATCTTCAGATTCGCTGTGTGGTTACAAAATACCCAGGGACTCACTGTTTTTTTTTGACTGGGTCACAATAGTTCTGAACTGGGACTCATGATTTTTCAGAAGATGAGTCCTGGACTCACCATAACTACTTGTAACAAAATCGCTACCAGTTGAAGGTCATTGCCCACTGTATTGCACATTTCTTTGTCTTGAAATGTGAATTTTTCCTTTAGAGGTCCATTGGTTTTTTGTTTTGCAAGAATCTATCCCTTCCAATCCCACAGAAATACAGAGTAACAATATCAAGTTTTCTTTTTAAATTGTTGTGTTCTGTTGGCCCTTTTTTTTCTCTGCAAGTGTAGATTGTTTCCTGATCTACAGTGTGATTTCTTCTTGACTTGAGTTAACTGCTTTGAACAACAACAAAACTGCAAAACTTGAGTAGAAAATGAACAAGGCTTGGTTCAGTGCTGCCCAAACAAAATCATATCATTTTAGGTGTCCATCAGTGTAATTTGTAGAAGGGTTAAACCTTTAAATAATATGTATTTCTGACGTATGGGACTTGAGGGGGACCAGAACCTTTCTTCATAATATGTAGCTCCAGAAAATTTCCATACTCCCCCCAACAGAAGGGATTGGAAATTTCTGGGGGCTGGGGGAGGGGGTCTCAAAGGCCCAAAAATTTAAGTAAATGTATGAAGCTTGACTGGAATTTCCAGAGAGGTGGGGAGGTCTAAGGACAAATCCCTTCCGTTAGGGAGGTATGGATAATTTTCGGAACCACACAATGTATAATTTGTAAGAACTCCTATTTTTGTTCTGTTTCTTTTGTTTGTAGTTTGCAGCGGAAGTTGTTGTTACTATACCCTCAGCTGAAGGTACTGCATAGTTAGTACAAGCAAAGAACAGTATTTTTACATTTCAAAGTTGGATATTAGTGCTATGGTTCGTACAGGCATTTAAAAGACCTTGTACTGAGCTCTTGAAAAGGGGCCTTGGCTCTCTGAGAATCTTAAAAGTACCCCGCAACATCATGCCAGTGAATGAAGGACCTTTTTGTCTAGTTGTGATAATTACTTTAATGTATGTATTTATTGAATTTAAATTGTGCTGTTTTAAAAGGATTTTAATTTTACTCAGAGAGCAACTTAAGATTTCAGTTTAATTAACAGTGGTTTTACAGAAAGAGCTTACAATAATTGCAATTCATTTCAATGAAACTTTACCTTGGAATCAAGCAACACTATGAAATAAGTACATGTATGGAACTCTCAAGCTTAATGCAAGGCATGGAGTTTTCCTTTCTTTGTCAGTTAAGCTGTGAAATAGGGAAAATTTCAAAGCTTAAAAGTCATGCTTTGTTGTCTCCTTAATAAAGAGTTGTTTGGGGCTGTGATGTTTCGCTAAACTCTTCTCAAACTCATTAATAATTCATTAAGAAAATACAAAGGAAATTAATGTTTAATGAGTGTTTGTAAATCGGATGAAACACTGCTTAGTATTTGCATCCATAATTTCTCCTTCAAAAATGATTTTGTTTGAGAAGAAATATCAAACATTCGACACAGTGTTTCATCACCAGATGAAACACCTCGAAGTTCGTCAAAAATACTCCGCTGCGCGTCGTATTTTCAACTCTCTTCTCGGTGTTTCATCTGGTGATGAAACACTGCATCTCATGTTTGATATATTACATGAAATAAGAAAAGACCTAATTTTTCATCCACTTTCTTCAGAGGCTGTCACTACATGCTGAGTCCAGGTCTGTAAGCAGGTTGTATTTTCCACCCCTCCTTGGCCGTCTTTGCAATGATCTTCCTCTGGAATATCAAACAGAGGTACTGTAAAAATTCCATGTTTGTTCCTCTATATAATACATGCAATAAATAGATAGATAGATAACTGTCAATTGAGAGGTAGCACATCCACACAGTGTTTAATTTTCTACCATTCCGGATTAAGTTGGAATTCAGAAATATTGGGTTTTGAGGAGAGGGGAAAATCATAATACCTGTAGTTAAACCTCTTGGAGTAAGGGCCGGAAATAACAACAAACTCCGCCCACAAGTTGTGTCACCTCTGGGATTTGAACCCAGGCCCCATTGGAGAGAGATGGGTGCCGTCACCTCTGTACTAGTCACCCTCTCAATTCAAAGGGGTTATCTGATGTTTACAAATCAAGCTCAGGTTTGGACACTAGAAAAAAAGCTACTCAGTATTTCTTCTTCTTTGGCGATACGCTTAAACTGTCTTCCACTTTTGGTTTTGGTTGGCAATTTATTCAGAGAAAAATCGGGATTCATGTTACACTTTTCAAGTGAAAAATGGAACTTTACGTTGATCAAGCAAGTGCTTCAAATAATTAGGTATGATCATTTGCCTTGTAGGTTTTGAGCTGCCTGGTAACGTGTTTAGAAAAAGATGCTGAATGCTTTACAAAATGGGAGACCTGCTATACAGCAACCTTGCCACAATCAGGGTATGTTCAACTGTCATCACCAGCTGAGCTTGAGTCATTATTTTGAAACATTTAAAGTTATCTCTGTTATCTTGAGATTGAGGGAAACCTTGAAAATATTAGTTTGTTGAAAGTGGAAATACTGAAGGTGTAGTGCTCCACACCAAAGATTATGGATGACTTAGGATCGATGGGATTAACTTGGAGTACAAACAATGAAGTTTAATCATTTTTAGTACAAATCAAAACTGCAGCCAGAAATAATTATTAGAGTAAAGGTGAGAGGAGACCATGGTTTATAAGGCAAACACATTTAGTTAAAAAATGTGACCTTCCTTATGCAAAAATGATGGGATATAGCTTTAAAAATGCATGCCGGGAATAGAGAGAGATAGAGAGTATGAGAAAATAAGCCAGAAAGCCTGTTGTGAGGTGACTACACATAAGACTAAGATTTCCTCTGTGCTGGGATGCATGGAAAAATTTAAGGGTTTTTATGGGGAAAGTTGCTGAACCACAGAGCTTGGAGCCCAGCGCGTTTTTCCAATGGTACAATTGTATCTTCATTGTATCTGCGTGCCAGTATCCAGCCTGAGCATGAAAATGACACACAAGTTACAAAAAAGAGTGCCATTCTTCTGGGAAAAGTCTTGTCCGTCTGTAGAAGTGTTTACTGGATTTTTCCATTGATCTTTTTCCCATCAAGGTCATGCCTGTCGGATGTCTTTACCATGATGTTAAATTAAACGTATGCTTGTATTTCCTTCAGATTGCTGTTGAATCATTTAGTCAGAACTTGGGACTCCCTAAGCACAGTAAGTGAAGTAGAACCTGGACTGTGGCTTACATTGAAATGGTCTTTGAGCAAACGGAGAGAGACTGGGAAGAGACGCCCCACGTTCACTTGGGAGCGCGTTAGACGGCTCGCGTGCTTCGAGAATCTAGCTGATTCGCTAGCAGCAGTTTATTCACGAGGGAAAGAAACCGACTGTTTTCCATTCTTAGTTCTAAGAAATAGTGGAAATGTAATGTGGAAGTTTGAGTCCCGTTAAGTTACTCCTTTGCATAATTCACATTACAGGTTCTCAAGAGCAAAATCTTCAACGTCGTTGAATTATTTCAAACGAAAAACAACTCACTTTTGGAAAACAACAAAGCAAAGGTAGGTTTCTATTAGGTGGCTGGTCGCAGTTGCCCCCCCCCCCTCCTCCCCCCTGGTCTCCCGTCGTTTCGTTACAATACTATCTTTAGAAAAGTTATGGGGATAAAGAAGTTTCGAGTCCCGCCCCTCCCCCCTAGCTTTTCCAATGATCCGCCCCCTAAACTGTGATAATTCCTCGTCACAAATGCGTTTGGTTGAAAAGACAACTCATTGTCCAAAAGGTTGAGAATTAACCTTTCACCAGCCCCAGCCCCCCCCCACTTCTCCTTCCCCACCTATCGGTGTTGGTGATGAGGTATAAGCTACGTTCCACGACAAATTATTGTTATGCAACTTTTGGATAACTTCGATAAGGTGGAGCACTAGTGCTGATTATTTTTGCAGCCCTGATCTTATCACTTTTGTTCATTACTGTATCACAATCTTCACGTTTAAAGTAAATTGAGCTGGATTATTATCGTAACACGTCAATTATGAAATAGCGAATAGCGAATAGCTAATCTCCAAGGTTTCACTGTAGCGAAATGCCTTTTTAGCAAAACGGTTGGTAACCCTATACCTGTTCTGCTATTTTTGGTCATTTTCTTCACATAACAGGTTACCGTAGAAGCAGTAACACCTGTCAAAACACTCTTAATTTTACCTTTAATACTTTCCAAGCACGGAAAATTCAATCGATGATAGTAGCTTTTGTTGGTTGTTATATCTCTTTACTCTTATTGCATGATCAATTTTTTACAGTGTAACTGATTGTGACTCCAAAATGTGACGTTCCTCCAACTAACGTGATAATAGTTTTAAGGGATTCTACATAATAAGCAAGCAATTTGTTTGCACCCCAAAAAGTAGTCGGAATAATGAAATTGTTGTTGGTCTAATTGACGATTGGCAGGAAAGTCTTTAAAATTGGTTTACTTAACTGCGCTTTTCCGATAGAGATTTTGCCTGCATACGCGTGGCTCTTTTATAGTAATCCTAGTCAAACTGTAGTGGGCACTGACTACTGCAAAGGCGTTGAAGTCTTTTCGCTAGTACAGAAATTATAACATTGTGTACGTTGTATGAGATGTCATCTTGGTTACCTGTTAGTGTTGGTGAAGACTGTTAAATAATTCATAATTGATGTGTAGCTTTTATTGAGTGGACTCTTATGCTTTGTTTCCCATCAGATAGGTCTTAGCAGCTGTGTGAAAGCTTGTCAGGTAAGGCATAACTTCATTTAAGCGATATTCATGTTAAAAGGGGCACAAACAACGTGCCAACCTCGCTAGATATGTGGAAACTTGTCTAATTAAACTGACTCACTTCTGCAGGTTGTTTATGGTAACGCCTTTAATAATACAATCATACCAGCTATCATTCCGCAATCCACTGAATTACTTGCCAATCATAACGTATTGACATCCGATAAATTTCTATGATTGGCTGGCGAATAAAAGCAACGTGAATTGCACGTGCTAATTAGAATCCAAAGCAGCCTGCGAACAGGGTTGCTTTTATTGCACTGCCGGGTTTTCCGAGAAAGTTGCGTTAGTGCCAAGGTTTTCTTGCTTTATAACCTGTAGTAAGAAAACAAAACTTTTAAGTGAGCGACATTTCTACCTTGACAACACCCTTTGATGGCTGAAGAAAGCAGATCGGTGAGTTTGTATAATACTTATTACCACCTGTTGTGTTAACCCAGTGAGTAGCAGTGTGCTAACATTGCAAATTATTTTTGACTTTTCACATATATATTTTCAAGATTTTATACGTGTGTTTGTTTGTTTTTTTTTTTTCACGAGTCGAGAATCCTTGAAGTTCTTTTCTTTAGAACGTTAAGGGCTTTTTATGGACATCAGTAATTTATGTATTTCATAAATATATTCCTCAAATTGGTGGCAAAATTGCACTAGTAGCTTTTTGTTCAAATTCATTCGTCGTCGCTTCGCAACCATCTTCCAGTCTTAACTTCGTAAAACAATTTCAGAGATCCTATATGAATGTGTCGCACAAAAATACAGAAAACAAGCAGTAAATAAGACTTACTTATGCGATATCATCGTAGAAGGATTAGTGGCAATTAGTGTTTGTGACTTAACGAGAACTTAAAGGTGCTAAGTGGTTTTGTTGGGGAGCGAGGGACAGGTAAATAAATGGTCTTGTCTTGCGGGTTATGTCTCCCAGCGTTGTTGTATTACTCCACCTGTTCCGAGTTAGTTTTTGTTCCCCTCTATTGATATGTTTTAGAGAGTCTTCTCCCGTGAGGAAAAATCAACAGAAAAGAAGTACAGCGACCTAAATCATGTCTGTTTTGATATCGACTACTTTTCGCTATTTATTCTATTGTGGTTTCCACTGACTTAATTCACTGTTGGTGTTGGTTGCGTTTGCTAAAGGTGCATGTGTCTTTTTCATGCAAATCACCAGACTACACTTTTTCCTTTTAATTATTAAATTACACTTAAATAAAATATTACAGTTTTAATGCTCTGCACTGTTTTTATTATATGAGCGAACCTGTTTTTAAACGCTCCCCGGCCTTCTTAAATCCACATTCACGATGAACTAAACACCAGCTTTTCTCATTCTCGTGTTCTTTTCTATGATGTTATAACGGTAAGACATTTGTTTGTGGTTTGTTCTTGTTTTGTTAGGCTGTGGACGAAAAGAAAGTTCGAAGAAAAGGATCTTTGTTTTCTTTTGGAAAACTCTTCAAGTTAATTTTGTTATTGTTGGTAGCAGCTATTGCTGTTGACATCTATAAAAACAAAGGCTATAAAGGTACTCTTAATTTTATTAGTTTGTTGTCTGTTTATTCTAACATCTTTTCTTTGTAATCATGGCTTGCCTTAATTTTCATTTTCTTTCTTTTCTTTTGTTGGTGTGGGATCCCTACTTTTCAACTCTTTTTCTCCTTTATATTGGTTGTTTACCATTTACAAAACGTTCCCAGAAAAATCATGTTGGAAAGTAAATGGAACAGGAGTATTTGAATCGTTCCAGCGGATAATTTTCGGGAGCAACGGAATGTCTGAAAAGTCCTGTTTTTCCAGACAGAATGTTCCACACGGAAATTCGAGTTCTTTTTTTTCAAATCCATCTTTGATACCAGCTTCAGGTTTTAACTGATTTGTACAATTGACAAACGCGATTCCGGACCGAAATTTACCAGTCCTGAATTTTGCCCAAGCCGTGAACCGACCGATTCACCCGTGTAAATGGTAAACAACCATTGTCCTTCCTTCATTCATTTTAACAGCGAGCAAAACAGCACAGATTGCAAAGGACTATGGTATAGAAGAAGCGGCATTGACAGGTTATGGACACATAGCAAAGAGTTTGAGTGCGACAAACAGGTAGCTACTACAAGTGGTACTTGCCGTGTTTCTTTGAGAGATGCGTTTGATTGATGGTATTTCGTAATAAGGATATACAGAAATATGTGACAAATCTCTTCAATCTGACCTGGAGCCCTTTTCTCGAAAGGGCCCGGTAACTTTTCGAGCCCGAAGGCAAATTTTAAACTCAAAACCTGTGAAAAGTTTCACAGTTCCTAGCTCACAAATAGCTCAATTTTGCTTCGTTAACTAATAGTTTCATTTTCAATAATTTATGATTGAAACTTTGATATCGAATACCAACACGACAGATATAAAACAGCTTTCCGGGCCCGAAACGTTACCGGGACTTTCGAGAAATGGGTTCCCAGGGGCCGGGTTTTTCAAAGCTGGATTAAGATAACCCAGGGTTAGCAGCTTCAATTGAGACTAAGTGGAATTTGCTTGCCCTTTATTCCGCGCTATAAGTTTTAAGACAGTTAAGTTATCCCCAAATGCAGTGGGTTGCGTTTTCGAGCGGGTTGGCCATTATCTTGTACACTTTTTGATTTTTATAATTTATTGTAATAATAGTTCTGCTCATTTGCTGTTGCCGTATAATTGACACGTCAAAGCTCCTTCGTGCCCTATAGGAGACTGACTCAGTTTAAAAGCCTTAGCAGAGCCGTGCATTTCGTAGCCCCTAGCCTGAGACGCAGGCACTCTAAACCGCCCTATAGAACGTCTGCGACGGACGGTACCAATGGTCTGGAAGATGTTGGGGCCAGCTGCAACGCAGGCCACGATTCTTCCTTCGAAATGATGATCAATTATGTCTTATTTGTTTGCAGCTGGATACAGAAAAACTATCCTACGTACTACAACAAGTTTAGAGAATACTCCGATCCAGCAGCCGTCTTTGTCTGGGAGAAACTTGTAGTTGCTGGAACATTTATAGCGGACACAACCAAACCAGCAAGAAATTATCTTAACAAAAAAATACCAGAGCTTTTAGAAAAGGTGAGACGTTGACTAAGTGGTGTGTCATGTTGCGCGGGTAAAAGTTGGCACTGACTCTTTAAACTGAAAATAGTTTTCAAATCCCACATGTCACGATTATTTAACGCGGAATCGACGTCTAATCAACATAACATGCTACATAATTATTTTACTCCGCGTACGTGATATAGGTTGTGGGCTCATGTTTCTCACTAAGACAAACTAAAATAACTTCCCTGACAAGAAGGACATTGAGGTTTGCGCATCAAAAATTTTTGAAATCTATCACGTTTCTGTTTTCGCCCGCTATAAATCGAGTAACAATTGCCATTATTAACTTTGGCGTAAAATTTTTGGAAATTTTCGGTATTGTATTGTTCCAATGAACGAGTAACGTTGCAAACGAAGCCCTTTTTTGAGTCGCCGACAAACGGAAGACATCCCCATATCATTATGAAATTAACTTTTAAAAAAAAGGAAAAAGAAGAAGCAGATTGTTACTAGTATTCTGAAATGGCATTTTAACCTAGACTGCAAAACAGCCGGTTTTTTTCTCAAAATCAGTAAAGAAATCGGTAAAGCGTGGGGTAAGACTCTTACGCGCGCGAAGCGTGTGAGGCGAGAGAAAAAAAACGTATTTTTAGCGTCTCTCCCCAGTCTCGCTCTCTGTTTTCAGCCTCATTCCAGACCTTTTATTTGACTGCTCGCGCGTACTTGAATACGCAAAAATACGGACTGTTTTGCAGTCTATTTTAACCCGCCTTTTCATCTTTTCCCCACAGATCGAAACCGAAGCCCCGGTGTATATCGGGATTGTTCGGGATTACCTTACCGACGTCTGGAATAGATTGTGGCCGGTCGTTCATAAATACCTGGTGATAGTTTGGGATTTCTTATCAGAGAACGTTCCATTACTCCTTTCTAAGGCGCAAGAACTTTTAACAACCTTAGCTTCCAAGGTTTACGAACTTGCTCCGGATTTCTTCTCCTCTGTGGCTTCCTGGTTTGCGAAACTCGGGGAGAAGATCGTAGAGAAGTTGCCTGATGTGTTAGCTGTCATTCAGGAGTATGCAGTAATAGCTATCAACTTGGCTGTAAATCTTATTAACAGTGTACTAGAGTGGATTCAGAGTATGGCTGGAAGGTACGTGGTCAGTCTGGGCAGTGTCATGGCCTTTGTTTTGGCAACCCTGTTCCCTAATTCTTTATCCAAAAAGGTTTTGATACTACGGCTGGCTTATTAACCCTTTCTCGACTCACGGTTGCAGGAAGAGAGCAGCAAGACCTCAAGTAGTCGCCCTATTTTATCAGGGTTAGCGTCAAACCTCGTCCGCAGGGTCTACGCTGGCCACTCGGCTTATCGAACAACATTTGACATCAGCGGAAAATAGTATTTTGCACTTAGCCAACGCGTAATGTTCATCCTTGAGCTTTCCTTAAACTGTTTTTTGAATCCTTCCTTGAGTGTGAGAGAGGTCTTTAAAAGCACGCGTACGTTTGATTATAATTAAACATTGACTCCGACAAAAGCTGTTCTACCTTTTTGAGAATGAGGGCTTCTTCGCTGAGCTCAAGGGTAGAATGGAAGGCCATTATCAATCAGAGTTTGCGCCATACTTCTCTTCTAAAGTCGTTCTCAAATCACACAGTAAAACACCTTCCTGGTGTTCTGCCCTCGTTTTCTGTTTCAGCAACTAACCCTAGTTTGCTTGTCTGTTGCAGCGCCGAAGTCGAAGACGGAGTTCAGCAGACACCACCGATGACTGGATCATCAAAACCCGTGTAGCGCGTGAGAAGCTCGCCAGTACCATCCCAAGGTGTCAGATGAGAGATCTCCGTGGCTCAGAAGGAGGATTTCAAGACAACAAACCGCGACTGATTTTTTAGCTTTTGCGTGAATACGGAATGGTCGCTTAGGCGTTGATATTTCCATTGCGGTGTTGACTAGGATTTTCTTAAGGTCATTCAAGTCAGTTATCATACATGATTATCAAACTGCTATCAAGATACTGCTAATTGCACAGAAGACTGAGTTCTCATAATAAATTACTTCCAATTTACTGTTACGAAAGCATTGCGGAGTACTGAATCAGTGAAACAGACGTCTCTCTCCTGGTTCTGACTAAGTCCAGGCTCAGTTGTCCAGCCAATAGAAAAAAAAAACACTTTTATAAAACCCGGCGAGTTTTTTCCGACTTCCTTTTATTATAAGATGCATTTGATTGACAAGCGCGTCTTGTGTGAACAAGTTACATTTACATGACATTTTCCATTTCTCACCTCGTTCTCCTTCCACGTGTGACAAAAGAAAATATTTGGTGACGAATTTACGGCAAGTCCTCCATCCTTTCTAAGCTTCGTATTAGCTATTAAAGAAAGAGCGCGAAGCGTGGGATACAAATATGAGGACATACATGACGCCTTCCCGGGTGTGTTAATTTAAGGAGAACAGGCGCTTTATTAGTCTGCTACACAGCCGTTTTTAGAGTCGTCACGCAACGCTCCCCCCACTAGTGGGGAGGAGCGTTGCGTGACGACACTAAAAACGGCTGTGTAGCAGACTACGCGTGTGAAGGCCTAAGAAAAATCTCAAGTAACTTTGCTTTGCATCTCATTAAAGTCGTAAAGTTGAAACGATTAACGGTGAATTCTCGAAGTCGGGAAAGTACAAAAAATAATAGTAGAACCTCGGTAAGTTAAACTCTGACGGAAACGAAAAACAGTTCGAGTTGGCGGGGAATTCGAGTTAACGGGGTAAATTTCAGTGAAATTTTGCTCAAGAGAAAGGAACTTTAGTTCGAGTTAGTGGGGAATTCGAGTTATCCGAGTTCGAGTTATCAAGGTTTTACTGTAATTAACATCCGGTTTCCTAACTTTTTGCTTCCAGAGTTACTATACCCACGTGTTTAGATTTTGAATTTATCAACCTACTCGAACATCGTTAGCTTGGTAATAGACGATTTAAAGGAGCAATGTTACGAAATTCATCAAATTTCAAACAATGGAAACCGCTACCCTACTGAGTGAAACATGAAAATAACTGCTCAAAACATAAAACAAAGGTTTGAATAACAAAGCAAATACACGAGGGAGAAACGGATGGATCTGGATGGGCAAGTGAAGACGGATTACAATTGTGGTTTTTGAAAACTTGTTAATCTAACATTTCATTTTTGTTGTTTGTAACGTAATGCTTGGGTGACATATTGGTTTGACACGAAGCTGTAATTTTGCCGTTCACAATAATTTCTCAAGTCCCATGGCGAGTAAGGACGTGTGATTGGCATTGTAAACATGAATCAGATAATCGTGACACAGCTCCTTTAATATACGTCATGCTCTTGTGGTTGTTACAGGAACAGAAGAACACTGAATGGTCTCTATAATATCGGGCTTTACATTAGCAGATCAGTGAACACTGAGTAGAAACTTTCGTAGGATCACAACACTCCTGAGAAGAATGAACTTTATTTCAGCTTAGTCATCAAAGGATTTCTTAAAAGGAGCCAAAATTGGTTATGGTGGCTGCCGTTTAACTTCGAATTATCAGTACATCTTTTCGGTACAGTCATTGGTTACGTTTTACAAATGAACTGTAATTTTGTTCTTTGCGTCGATGAAGTTCAAGAAGTGGCTCTCGAACCGCTGTTGACGATGATGACGAAAAGCCATGATAGCGTCAGGATACTTGAACACAGTTAACCACAACTCGAATTTCAAAACAACAAACCGCATTTTTTTTTAGCAATGATGAGATTGCGTTGTTGGGTCGCGCCTACCCTGTTCCAAGCGTTTCGCAATCCTTTTTACTTCGCACCGCTCCCCACTATCTGAACGCCTGGAACAGGCTAGATCTCGTCTTACCTTCATGACACTCGCATTGCGGTGTTGATTAGCATATTTAATATAATTAGGTTTTTGGTATTTTCATATCATTATTATAACTATTATCATCATCATCATCATCATCATCATCATTATTATTATTATTATTATTATTATTATTATTATTATTATTATTATTTTATTTTTTTAATAATTCAATCTCAAGCAGCATTTGTAAATTGCCTCACGTAGCGAGATTTACAATTGCACTTTCAAAACCACAAAAAAAGTTTCCATTATTATTATCATTATAATCATAACTATAACAAAATTGTCAAATCTGATTGGCTATCAACTGCCTTGATTTCAGCCTTAATCGGACAGTACGCGTCATGCCTAAGTAATTGGACAGTACGCGCCATCAAGCGCACGCTTAAGTCGCTTGTTTTTTCACTGCTAGCAAAACAAAATTTCGAATTTCTCGTGTTTTAATTTAAAAAATAGCCTGTTATGTTACAAATTTTGTTTAAGTTATGATTAATTGGTAACAGAACTTCGTGTCGTCCAATTCGTTCTGTAATCATACTCGTGATTAAACAAATCGGACTTTCCGCTAAGCGGTCGTCCAATTTTGTTGATCACTCGTATGATTACAGACGGAATTGGACTCCACTCAGTCCTGTTACCATTACTTATTATACATGATTTATCAAACTACTATCGCGAGGACGGAGGACTCAAAATAAATAAAGCGCTCTCTGTTCCTCGCGTAAGACTTTTCCTGTCAAGTGAGGGGCACAAACACGCTCATTGATAATACCGGCAAGTTGCAAGTTGCTTCCTTTCACGTTATTTTTTTAAAGCACTTAATAGCCTTAGGTAAACTATTTACATTCGTGGCATCACATTTACTTTTTCCTTATCAAGAAAAAGACCATACTTTACAAGTTGTCATTAATATTCTCATGATCATCCTCTTGTGGTTGTTAAAGGATTGAAAGAACTATGAAAACTTAAGGTATCTAGTGTCAAAACAACTTTTCAATATAGTGAACTGGCAGATACTTCTCAGTGACTAATCACCGACCAAACTTCTGAGAAGAATGGACAATTTTTCAGTTTATTGTCTCAAGGCTCCTGTTTGGCCTTAAGATTGTTTCATTCCAGGCATCAGCTTTATAGAGGAACTTTTAATGATACAAGAAAGTAAAGTCGCGAGTGAAATGATGACGAAGTGGAAGCTCGATATAACGAATCTCTACATAACGAAGTCCTCGGTATAACGAACTATTTTTTTTCACCTTAGGAATAGTAAGTAAAATGTATGGAAAAGAACCTTATAACGAAACCTCGTCAGAGGCGAGCAAATTTTGCCAGTCCCTTCGGCCCTTTAGTCTTTATATCGAGTTTCCTGCACTGTACTGTGTTATAAACTAAATAGCAACCCATGGTGTGCGGTTCCTTGTTTCTCAGAATACTTATCAAAAATTGAAAGGACCACAACGTTAGTAGACATCCTTCCTATTCGCTTCTAACTAACTAGTATATCAGAGATGTATGCTGCCAACAGCGGATTCAGTCCTAACTGTGCTATGTTCGCACTAATGAATCCATCATGGCTGCAAATAGGTAGAACTCGCTGACCGTTCCCTTTTTGAGAAAATTCTTGCTTCTCAAGTGTTATTTCTCCGATCATTCTGTCGTTCTTGGTGGTCTCGATCAGTGCTTCAGGTGCTTATACAATATTCCAAGGATTGCGTAGGCAAGAAAAGGTGGTGCGCCAATATTCTTGAACGTAGAGTGGAAAACAAAAAAGCAATTTTCCCTCGTTTGGTGGCTTTATTTAGCCTGTTTCGACGAGAACCGTTGTTATGTCAAGTTGCAGTAACGTTGGCGGAAGTTCTCGGTTACAGTCATTCCGCGAAAGCATGCCCACGCCAGTCTTAATTTCTACAACTTCCGCGTTGTGGTAACCATAGTAAGAAAACTTTTATTTATCTCACAAAAAATAACAACCTCTTCCGTCAGCTGAAAACATCCGGTCTGTTTTTGGTTTCGGTCAAGCTCGCAATTTGGATAATACATGCTGTATTGCTCCACAAATATATACCACATTTTGGAAGTCTGAGTATAAATCAGTAGTTTAAAGACCTTACGTACTGAAGACCCGATACATAAAAACTTTTTTGAAGTTTCGTCGATCAGCATTACTCATGCCGCATTGCCTGTCAGGAAATAAACCAGTTTTTATACACAGAGGGAGCCCGCACTGCGTACGAACTTTCACATAAAATACGGCAAAAGACAACAGCTTATGAAAAAGGAGTAGATTTATATTAAATGGAACAGCTTTAATATCCGTTCATCTACAGTTTTGCTTCCACCGATGTGCCTGTTTGGATTTTTCAGCTCAAGGAAGATCTCTGCACTCCGGTCGGCTGGCCGGTGATGATCTAGCCTGTTCCAGGCTCCGAGATAGTCGGGTCCGCTGAATTGAGAAAGCGCAAACACAAAAATGCCTTTTTCTTTCGCGTCTTCCCCACTATCTGAGAGCCTGGAACAGGCTAGTGATGATCAGATCATACTTGTTAATTTATTATTCATGTTCTTGTGGTTGTTACAGGAACGAAAACTAATTAGGAAAACTATCTGTTGTTGAAATAGTCCCTCAAATCCTTCAATATTGGGCTTTAAATTAGTGAACTGGCAGAGCTTCTGTGACTGATCAACAACCAGACTAATATTATGAGAAAAACAGACAAAATTTCAGGCAAGGGCCAGGCTTCTGTTTGACTCTTACATGAGCTGACATGATTTCACTGCTGGCATCAGCTTCATAGAAGAACGTGACATTTGTAAATATGCTACGAGGAAGTACGAGGAAGGTAAAGTAATGAAGCTACCCGCAGATGAAATTAATGATGATGTAATACGGTGTGCTATAAACTTCGTAATTGCGACCCATGGCTCGAGGTTCCTTTGTTTCTCTGAATACTTAATCAAAAATTGAAGTAACCACAACCATGGGCTCCTGCCACAACTCGTACACTTCCTTCCTATTAACTTCTTCAAATACCAACCAAGACACAGACAGGATTGGGACTATGATGACAGCCTTTATTACACTGACATGTAAATAGGTAATCACCTGGTAATCACTCAGTATAGGTACAATATTAAAATGAAACAGATAAATGCTGCTACTTATGACTGTTGTCAGCGAGTATCTTGCAAGTGAGTTATAAGATGCTGGGCCCTGAATTTATACAGGCGTGCTTGTCCTTTTACTGGCATTGAGTACAAAAGCTGATCGTAAAAACACTGGGGATACTTCGTGAGTAAAATAACTTGATATGCCAGATGGAATAGTAATAGCACTCAATCTATGTAAAACATGTACTAAGGTAAAGGCTGTCTTAGTCCCAGTACCCAATGTTTGATATTTAGAACAGCATCACAAACCTGATGCCAACCAAAAATCAGTCGCGAGTAAAAGCACAACCCAACGATTGGCAGCTTGACGGTTCGGCGCCCGCGACATGTGTTACGTTCGCACATGAAAAAGACGGTAAATGAATCTTTATCATGGCATGTCATGGCGGCCTTGAAACCCTGTTAAACGTCCTCATACTGGCAGCGCACACAGATCGTTCCTCAGTTTACTCAAGTTCTTTCTTCCGTGTCATTTCTCATTCGTTCTTTGGTATTGGCGGTCTTGCTCCCGGCAGTGGTTATACAGTTGAATGATTTATTCCCAGGATTGCGTGGGCACCGGGAATGGAGGCGGTGTCTCAATTCACTGAGAATAATGAAAATTAAGAGAGCAATTTTCCTTTTGGAGCAGGCTACAGCTGCGGCTATCGAGTTGCGCATTGTCATGCCGCTTAAAACCTGTGCCCACGTCTTATTCCGCATGCATGATGGGCATAGTTAGCATTAAAAGGGGACTCCCCTTTCACCGATGTGCTAACGGTTTTCTCACAAATAAAATTGGGCAGAGTTTAATTCATCATTGCGATTGCATAAGAAAGAGTGCGTCAAACATTTCACACAACTGTCAGAACATACTGCTGCTAGTGTGTGAATCATGGTAATTTGTTTACTTTATGGTTTTCGGTTATAGTGATTTAAGTCGTTCTGGGGCTCAATTCACGAAAATAAATAAGTAAAATAAGATGTTAATAAAAAAAACTTCTTTTGAAGAGTTTTAATTGAGCCAAGATCATTCTCTCTTGATCATTGAACTTAACACTATTGCTTCAGTTTTAATTGAAAGTGGGCGAGTGAGCCCCAGGTAAAACCAGGAGAGACTCTCTTGGCAAAACTGAACTCAAAACTAGACAATGATATCGATATATTTTCAAAGCAACAGAGAAGCATTGGAATTTGACTTTTTCTGATCATTCACAAAAAGAAGTATATAGAACCAGTTATCAAATTTTTTTCACAAATAAGCCATTGACAGTAGATGCTTTTTACCGTTGTCAAAGGTACACCAATCATGTATTGTAATGTTTCTCGGAAGAACAGGTAGTTTTAAATTGTCAAAAAAAAAAAACATGCCCAAGGTGAAATGTAATGCGAGTAAAAATTGGTATCATTTACTTGCTTCTTAGCCTGCGAAAACATCCGTTTCTCCGTCCCCAGCGACGAAGAGCGAGGAGAAACGGATGTTTTCGCAGGCTACTTGCTTCTCGTATTGCCGGATATCATTCCATCAGGTATTAAATGCCGGGATCTCGGCTTTGAGCTTCCATTTATTATTTTACCACGAATCTTATTCCCATGAACGAGACTTTGAATGGGTTCTCTCAGAAATAATTTTTTTTCTCCTTGGCAGAACTATAAAAGTTTTGTTGGATTTTGAAAATACCATTACCGACCGATAAAGCAAAACCCGTTATTGGGTATCTAATAACGAAGAAAACACAATTTCTTCCGCAATTGAGTGTGACTTGTTTAAACATCTAAGAAAATACTTAAACTTTTAGTTCTCAAAAATTGTACTTTGCGTGATGTTTTCTTGTATTTGATTAGTTAAACTTTCCTTTAGTACTGAAGCTCAATATTTTTTTTCTATCAAGAATGCTGAGCATCTGTAATCAATATTTGGAGCAGGAAGGTTTCGCGTGATCGAGCAATTTGCATTTTCAGAAACTTTAAAATAGCGAAGCATGCACAGTCTTCGGTTGCTTTCGTGGCAGTTTACAAATCATCGTTCGATTCGTCATGTATTTCGTAAAAGTACTTCCGCTAAGATTAGTCTTCTACCCTTTTGAAAGTGTTACCAAGTAAACTGCTTTAGCTAAAATCCAGTGGGACGAATCACGAAATTTCCGGTTACTATTTCTGATGACGTACATGTACGTCAAAGAGATCAATTTGCTGTCACGGTTCAGTGCTCATTTTTTACAAAGTGCATTATAAAAGACGGCCCCGTTACACGTACACAGCTATCTTAGTCTTTCTCTGCTGTGTTGTTTGCACACGTTAACAGCTGCAGTTACTCTAAGCATTTTGGAATAAGTCACTGGAAACAAAAAGGATAGTTGCGACGGTAAGAGGAGAAGAAAAAAATTGTCATCGTTTTGCGTAATAACGGTTATATAATGACCTTATCATGAATTTTACTTTAAAAAATCGGGAAGAAAATGGTCTTAATAACGTATGAGAATTCAACGAAAAATCAACACACCATTTCATAACATTTTAAGACCTTTAGGAACCGCCTTCCCCCTCCGAACATCAAATGATTTCAATCTCGCAGTGGCTGAAGTTCCGCACGAAGAACTGCCAAAAAATCCATTTTCAATTATCATTTTGTAACTAAGATAAACAAACAATCGAACTGAGGAAGCTGCCATCAAACTAGCGGTGATTTTATGACTCAGAAACGCTTGTCATGGGTCGCCTCACGTACTGCGTGGGCGAAATGGCGCACGTGGGTGGATTACACGACGTATAGCAGTTCTAACTAAGCAGGTCTTTTTCTTGCAGAAAGAAGAATGATTCTAAAAAACGAAGCACAGACAAAAACAATCCAACAAACAGGGGAGATTGCGCAGTTTTTACAGGTAAGAAAAGCCGATTTGTCTGTCATAAGCCGGGTATTAGCTTTGATACATGCCTTTGGTCATCTTAGACGTTAAGTCTGTTCATTGAATGTCTTCACAACATCACTTTACAATTTGCAGTATGCTGATCATATCAATATGTTTTTGTATTGCTCAACAAAAATCAACGCCACTCTATTTGTACATGTGTTCGTGCGTTTTTCTTTTTAGGCTGCAAAAAATGTATTAAGAAAACATAGAGTAAAGTAAGACTCAGGGGAGATATTACGGGAGTGAAGAAACTTTGCTCGGATCCTTGAAACAAGCTAGTAGGAGGATTTCTTATCCCACCCTTGCTTGGGCAGCTAAGATATATCAGATAATAATTTATGAGAGGTATTTCATTTCATTCTTAGGCCACTCCAAGACCATGCATAGCTCTGAAAATTAAAGTTTTGAGGGCCAGGAATGTCACGCAAGGGTGGTACGATTGGAGTAAGTAGAACAGATTTGATTTTTTACTGTGTAACCAGGTACACATTTTTTTTTCTTTAAAACCAAACAACACCAACATCTTCTTTGAAAACAGGCTTACAACTAGTCAATACAGTCAATATGAAGAGAGCCATTTTTGGAGCTGAAGTTTTGGTAGCTGAATCAGTTTAGACAACAGAAAGCTCTCTCTTACCGCCGGATTTAAATTTTCCACATAATTCTACCGCCGTCACATTCAACTTATAAACTCAAATGCGTTCCTTGGCTCTCTCTTGTCAGTGATCCCGTCCCTACCCTCCGAGGAGAGATTTCTTAATCTGGCATAGTCGTTCGCATGGCGTGTCAGTCGCGTAGTTGGCGTAAACAAACCAATTACGCGACACACCAAAGAGAACGACTTTACAAATGCTAAAAGCCATGCCAGAAAGAAATCTCTACTCGCCCGCAGGGTACCCTGTCTCATCTGTTGCCGGCTCAATCTCCCTCTAGAGGTTTGGAAGTACCCTGGGAGCCAGACACTCTTCTAGCGCGGTTTCCGGTTTCTGTCAAGTCTTTATAGTGACCCGAAGATGTGTCGGCCTTCGGCCAAGACCGAACATTTCCGCCGCACGCGAGAAAAACCTCCGGTACCCAGGGTAGTTTGGAAGAGACTAAGAACGAGGCTGTTTAAATCTATTGATTCGTCTCTCTTTTTTACGCTGCTAATGTAGGACGTTATATCATCATTCCTTGGTTAATCAATTCCTACATATTCAAGACTCAATTTTGTGTGCTTTTGCAGTCGACACCCCAGATCCATATTTGAAGATGCAGATTCCTACATCTGCTGAAATTGTTAAAAGAACCAAATGTGTGTCAAACAACAAGAATCCTGAATGGCACGAAGAACCTTTTGTATTCCACATCGATCCTGAAGAAAACAACGTCTTAGGTTTGTTAAAATAACCACTTACTGGCTCTAACTTTCTATCATACAATAATAACATATAATAACATAAAAGAAACAAAAGACGAAGAAAAATTCGCCGGACAATCCAGTCTTGGAATCAGACGTGATGAGAAACGTTCTTTTTTCTTGCCACGCCCTTCTGTCGAAAAAAGTTCCAGTTCTTTCGAGTTCCAGTTCTTTCGATCGTTATCAGGAGAAGACATGTCGAGCCATTTTTCTTGTTCTGTTGTAGAATTAACTTTGTGGGATGAAGACTACAACGATGATGATCAAATTGGACTAGCAGTTTGTTTGCCTTTGAAAAACTTGCAACTCGATAAACCAGAGCACAGAACCCTTAAATTTGGAGAGGTAAGTACAACAACTCATGAAATTAAGCGACGCCCCTGTGTGGAGAAGGTTGATAACTCATACGTAAAATAAGATTGAGAAAATTCGAACTACGTGTGATGTTCTTAATTTACCCTCGATCAATAATTGTATTGCTCTGGTCAAGTGCTGTTAACAACCAAGCACTCGACCTCGTTGTCTAACCTAACTACTAAATAATCATCCAGGAAAGTTTTCTTGGTACATTTTTTACTACATGCAGTGCGAAATAAACGTTGTTGGTGTTGCTGTATTCCACAACTACCTACTTACAAAATTAGTCTTTTTTGTATATGTTTTAGCATTCAGAGGTAGACATCATCCTGGAAGCTTCTGACGTGTAAGTTTGGGACATTTCTCACTATTTTCTTGTGAATGCATTAAAAATTTTCTTGCTTCCTTTGTTATATTAACTTTTAAATATTTAACTTTTCAGTCCTGAGAAGCAATCAGACCTTCGGCACAGCTCGGAGCTCTGCGATGAAGAGAAAGGATTTCGAGAAAAGAGAAAAGCTACTGTTTTTGAAGCGATGAAAAAGCTCCTAGGGGAACGTGGCCCTCAGAACATGGACGAGGTAGGAGGAGTATTTGAGCAATTTAGTCTTAACCGATCCGCCAAGATTATAGCTCGGTTTTCAGTCTCGTTGAACGGGTTCACAACCAGAGAATTGCAGTTGATGATCTATGTAATACTCATAAACATCAGTTTACCAAGCTCGCTTATATATTTTTTCCCAGAAAGTTTTGATCAGTACTAGCATTAATGAGGAGTGTGGTGGCGAAGGGGTTTTGTGAAAACTGCAGTGGTGTAATTAGTACGTTGTTTTGTTGTACTCAGGTTCCAACGATCGCAGTTCTTGGATCTGGGGGAGGTTACCGAGCTACCACAGGCTTCAGTGCCGCCTGCAGGGCCCTGGAAGAATTGGGCCTTTTAGATTGTGTGACGTACCTCACTGGGTTATCTGGTTCTGCTTGGTAAGTGATTCTCTCAGAAGCATGCGCTCGTCAACGTCATAGGTTCCCTGGCGAACCGAGATAGAAAGTCGAAGAAAAATAGAGAGAAAATGGAGACAGAAAACTGCTAAAACAGGGTATTTGACTAACAGGAGAAACAAGACTGAACAAAATCGCATCTGTCCAAAATATATGTCCCAAGATCGTGCAAAGCGAAGCTCATTGCAAAAGCGTGTATGCTGTTGGTATCAAGTATGGTCATATATCAAGTATGGTCACAGGTAACCCAAGAAAGTTCGGTCGCATGAGTACAGCACCTAACAGAAGACCTGAAAAGTTCGCTTATGAAGAAAGTAAAAACTTCCATAACAACTAATGAAAAAAGAGACACATCAGTTGGATAGCAAAGCGACAAAATGTCATTAAGACAGAAAAAGGGAATACCACATCCTCAACCCTGCTGTACCTGCTATATGAAGGTCTTTCGCATCCTTTCATGCTACCGTAACTAAAGGAATTTCTTTTAATTCCTTAGGGGACTTTCTCTATTATACTCGCAAACTGCCGGCGACAAAATCGACCCTAAGGAGACCCAAAAGAATATCAGGGAACAGCTTCAGTGGGGGCCTTTGTGGCTTCTTACCCCCAGGAGAGTGATGCATTACGTGAAGGATATCACTGAGAAATGGAAGAAAGGACAGCCCGTAAGTCTGACGGATTTTTATGGCCACTGCGTTGGAGAGAGCCTACTGGGCCCGGTGAGTCTTGCCTCAAATTTCTGTAAAACCTCAATCAGCTCTCGAGTTTCCACCATAAGGAACATGAGTATTTATAGGGCATACTGGAACATAAAGAACACGCGAAAAAGAAGCACGTTCTAAGGCTTTTACTGCGATATCACGTTACTACTCGGTAAAGCTAGCCGCCTTCTGCTATACGAGGCCGTCTTTGTAACGCTTTTAAGTCGCCTTCGAAACCAATTCATGATATGAGCTTTTAACCCTTTCACTCTTAGAAGTGCGAAAAGCTTATTAAATTGAGCGAAGAAGCACACATTTCATTTCGTAAATTATGAAATAAGCTGTACTTTGCAAACTTTCTAACCAAGTTTCAGTTCATACCAACACCTTAGGGTTTCGTTCACAGATTCGAAAGGTAGACTAACAAATAATGTTGCCACAACTTGGTCTAGGGCTTAAAGGGGTTAAAAGAAAGTATTAATAATGTGAGGTTTTGTTTCACAGAAAAAGGACAAAGTAAAGTTAAGCCAACAGCAGGAGAAAGTAAGTGAAGGCGCGGTTCCTATGCCGATATACACCGCAATCAACTCCAGGCGAGATGTGTCAGCACAGTGGTTTGCAGGTAAATTGTGTTTTACAGGAAATCCAAGATATATTTACCAATATACATCAAACCATATTACGTTTGTTTAACAGTTTCTGCTCTATTGTGCTTCAGAATGGGTTGAATTTACTCCTTATGAGATCGGTATGGACAAGTATGGCACATTCATGAAGACAGAATTGTTTGGAAGCAAATTCTTTTGCGGAAAACTTGTTGAGAAATTTCCAGAATTTCCGCTGTATTACCTTCAAGGTTTGTTATAAATGTGTTCTTAAGTAACTTACAAAAATGCTTTTACTTTCAGTTATTTTCTTGCAACTAATTTGAGATCCACTGTTCACTCTTTAATTCAGGAATCTGGGGTAGTTTTTACGCTATACTGTTGCAGCGAGTCTTGAAAGAAGAAGGAAAGTTGAAAGCGATAAAAGAAAGTGACGACGAACAGCAACTGTTAGGTAAAGTAATAAACATTATTCCAGTTCAAATGAAGAAATGCCGACCTACTCAGTGCAGAGAAACACATTGAAGTTGCAGTTCTAGTAAAACTGAAAACATTTTGATGCCTTGGACCAGAATTGATCTATCATTCATGCCCCTTGCTACTGGCAAGATACGATTCCCTACTAACCAACTGAGCCAAGCTCTATTTACAAACTGTTAATAGTAGTGTGAGAAAAAGATTGCCCAAACTGTTTCTAACGGAATTTCCTTACACATAATCTGCTCAAAATAGCCACTATGAGGCATTTGGCGATTAGAAGTTATCTCTAATTAATTTTCCCTTCTTTTCTTTTTCAGAAAAACAGTTTCTCCCAAAAGACAACGACCAAACGGACAATTATGTTGACGATGACGATGACGTCATAGAGCTCCGAAAAACGAAAAAGAAAGAAGAGGTGGAAAGTGTTCTTATGGAGAAACTTACAACTGCTATGACAACAGATGAAGAGACGCAGCTGGATGGTAAAGCAACAAAAAATCAGAAATCAGAGAAAAAAGAATTTCGCAAGAAAGTCCTGGACTATGTGCTGGAAAAGCTGCCAGGCCTGGAGAGTCGATCGAAGAGAGCTGGGCTGGTTCATAATTTTCTTCGAGGCCTGAGACTCAGTTCACCACAAGGTATTTGTCCTTATCCATGATCCTCCATAAAATATCCAGCCCTTACTATATTCCCCTTTCTTGTGTTCATTAGGAGATGCCCTCTTAATACAGTTCATTTTACACGAAACGTGCGAGGAAACGCTTGGGATTTACTGACACCCGTGTGCGCGCAACACATATCACTGGCGCTTTTTACTATATAGAGGATTCACTGACGCCTAATACAGGATACACTGGAGCTTGATACAGGATTCACTGGCGCTTGATACAAGATTCTCTGGCGCTTCGTAAAAGATTTACTAGTGCTTGATTCAGGAGTCCTGGCGCCTAATACAGGATTCCCTGGCGCTTGTATAAGATTCAGTGCCGCGCTTAATACATTCAGATTAATTCACTATCATTTACTCGAGCAACTTACTAACCTAAATTTCAATTTCTTTGCAGTGACAACAGATGGCACTCCTCCACAATGCAGCGAATGCTTGGAAGTAGACAATACAAAAAGAAGGCGAATGGAGCTTATAGATGCGGGACTTATGTTCAATTCTCCCTACCCACCCCTCCTCCGAAAAGAGAGAACTGTTGATGTTATCTTGTCATTTGACTTCAGCGCCCGCGAGGCGGACGAGGAAAGACCTTTTAAGGTAAAATGGAGCACGTGACGTCCTGAGACTTCTCTGTTTGTAATGACTAAACTCTGTAAAACTGGTTCATTTAATGTGAACACAACACGAGGTTCCCTTCTTTTATAACAAGGGTATTCGAATAAGAACTAACAGATTTCGACAAAAATCTTGCTAATTCGTGCTTCACTTCTATTTAGTCATTAAAGCATTTTATTTAGAGTGAAATAAAAACACTTTTATTTAGTAGAAGAGAAGCCAACAAAAAGTTTAGCAGGTTACGTTTAATTTGAAATTTTGTACTAAATCACTGCGCATTTGGTTCTTTTATAGAACATTAAATTAGCTGAAGCATGGGCCAAGAGAAACGGTCTTCTTTTCCCGCCAATTGATGCGGACGAGCAGTTTGATCGAGAGGGCTGGAAAGAGTGTTATATATTCAAACATCCGACCAACCCTGAATGTCCCATAGTGCTTCACTTTGTTCTGGTGAACAAGACCTACAGAGATTACATTCGGCCAGGTGAGACCTTTACACGATTACTCTTTCCGGTGTAAATGTATTGAAAAAGCCCCTCCAAATGCGCCAATCACAGACAGCTGTTGAAAGCCAACCATTCAGAGCATAGTAAGGCTATCAGAGGACCTCAGCCGCGACTAATGAATACTAGCAGTAGGCAGTCGATATGTCGCGATACATCACAAGTGAAAAAATGGAGAGAAAAACGATAATACTTCATTATTATTGGACTTCAACACGAGGAATGACTGTAACCTTTCTACGACAATTCTGTAACGTTATACAAAATTAACTGTTAAGAAATGTATGGCGTCTAAACCTGATCTTGGAAACAAAGTTTTCTAGCCTCGGCCACCCTTTTTCTGAATCGGTCACGTGATGTTATTCGTCTCGGATCGTACAGCATCAAATCAAAACCCTATGCAACCGTTCATTTTCACATTCTTAAGTCAAAATGTAGTAGGAAAATGATGTAAAGTACCTTAATACCACAAAGCTCCACAACGAAGACGGGTATGTTCTTTAGAACTAGTAAGAACTTCTTTCTTAAATTTTATTTTCTCTTCCCTTTTTAAAGGAATCCCAAGATTGTCAAAAGAGGAGAAGAAAGATGGCAATTTTCCAATTTTCAATGATCCTGATAAACGTTACAGCACATTCAACTTAAAATATACTCATGAGATCTTCGATCGGCTTAGTGGCTTAGTCGAGTTCAACACCGCTCTAAACGAACAGCTTATCCGGGACACCATAGCTGAGTGTGTACTAAGAAGGAGAGCACTTAACCAATGAACAAATAGCCCCTCCGACGTACCCGGATGTGGAAGAAGAACCCGAATATTGAAGAAATTTCTGCGTCATGTTCATATGACGTTTTACAGTAAACAAAGGAAAGAGAAAAAATGGACTCTGTTGCAAGCTAATTAACGCGAAGAGATTCGTATGGAATAGATAGCTTAAGCAAAATACAATTGCCTCATACACCACAGAGGAATCCCGATTTCTCAAAACTCTCGATAATTCAGACTAATACTAACTTGCATCCCTTCCCCCTTCCACCCTGTAATTTTATCCCCGAATTTTCGAATCAACTTCTTTTACTCGGGAGATTGGAGGAATCGCAATTCAGCTGTAGTCATTATGAAAATTTTTTAAACTAATTTTTTAAACCAAGCCCCCTACCACTCCAAACCTGTTAAATTAGCAGATCTTCAAGTTTGATTAAAAAAAATTGAAAAGAGAAGGAATCTCGAAGTGAAAAAAGAAAAAAGTAAACATCATATATAGCAGTAGCGGCTTGTTTCCCCTCATTTCCTGCATTGTAGTGAAGTTAACAAGAAAATATGTATCTTTCCTCTGAATTTCACTTGTTTTGTAAAGATAGAAGTTAATATATTTATGCATCAGAAAATTATATATGTACATTGTAAATATTGAAAATTATCTGTTTATTGCAAGAAATCAAATCATGTAACACATTTAAGTAAAAAGTAAAGTTGAAACAGATGCTATTAAAATACCAGATTATTTTATACCAGGTGATACCTGTCGACTCAAGTGGTGATTTGTATAATTTATTCTTTAAGGTACTCGTATAAGAGGGAATATCAAAAATGACAAATATGAAAAATATTATATGCAGGCACTTCCAAAAAGAACTGTTTCCTAAACTTAAATTTGCTTATAACAATATAAATTGGACAACATATAATACGCCCTGTCAAAAATCTACAAACTTTTCTCATAGTGTAACAATATTATTACTGATGACTTAAAAACTCGAAAAAAAAATTGATTTAAACTTACATAGCGTCAGCTCCAGCGTTATAAACAGTATAAAATCACATTTGTCAGAATTTCCTGTTTATTGATTCCCGAAGATCCTCTTTTCACAGTTTTGGTGCCATGCTCATTGCTGTGACGTGCGCAAGTTTCATTTTTCGTTGACTTCCTTTTTGAAAAACTAAAAATAACTGTTTTAGGTCTCTACACAGGAGTGTTTTTCGATAAGTGCAATAACTACTGGTAAACAGCTCCAATAACTACTGGACGTGTAAACTGCAAAACGGTCGGTTTTTTCTCAAAATCGGTTTAGTGATTTTTTTTTGACAACTCAGAGTTAACATTTTTGGAACTTGAAAATGGGCCAGGATCGTGGTACCCATATTGATGTTAACAGCTGTTCAAAACTACGAAAGGGGTTGTAAAACATTTTTAAAATTCACTTGCCTGTGTAGTTGTTTGGCTTGTGAGTCTTTCTAAGTAAAATGTCCTTTGAACAGGGTTTGTTCAACCCCAATAGAGTGGGGGGTGGTACTACGGAGTTCAAGTGACGGGGATGATCGAACGATTTTAGGGGGTTTGAAATTTTCGATTCCGGGATTTTGTTTTGGGTAGGAAAATTTGGCAAGTGTTTTTTTGGGTGGCTTGATTTAAGTGGGGATTTGTTTGGATATTCAAAACAATCTGAAGATTCGTGGTATCGTGGTAGTACCCGCGTATCCTGGCTGCCTTTGGTTTTTTTTCGTGTTATATCCTTTCCGGCTCTCCGGAAATTCGTTAGGGAATTTTTTGGGTTTTGTTTGAAGCCTAAGGGATTTTTTTTTGTGTTTCGAGTTTTGCCCTCATTCGATCATTCCCGTGACTTGAAATCCGGAGTACCCAACCCCCCCCCTCCCCCCCCCACCCCGGGTTCAACCGGTACTTTCACTTGGTAGTAGTTTTCTCGTCACTTCACCTGACGTAAAAAGTAACTCTTCCCCATGGTCCTTTGATACGTCCGGTAGAATTTTCCCCGCATATACGGGTGAACTTGACATCTTTCGTTCCTGTACTTCCGGGTACGTCGAAGGGGCAATTTGCTCATTTATTAAGTGCTCTCCCAAAACAGATGGAAATCTTAAAATAAAGTGCGCTGTTGTCAACAACTAACAATTAAGTTTAAAATTTGGTGCAAACAGGTCGTGCAAACAACAAGCGCAGCTAAATCGTTTAGAAAATTTATTATGTTGTTTAAGAATGAACTATATAACAACTGCATGCACTGATTGAAACTGGAAAGTCATAGGGTTCTTACTTGATACAACTTTAAATTAAAGGTGAAGCTGATTTGCAGCTATTTGCGGACAGCTGGGTGACATTTCGGTTACTATGGCGGCAATAGTACGGCCTGACGGTTTTAGTATTTTCCAATGTTGTCATTGTTTCGAATGGTTGTTAACCTCTTGTAAGCGATCTTCTGACGCATGATGTGGTCTCTGTTCAGTGTATGTACTACGCTTCTTAGAGTATAACAAGACAACATGTAACTATATTAAAACGCACGGTGGCCGATACTGAACAAAACAGGATCACAAAACCCAAAACAGAAACACAAAACTCGAAACAGAATCACAAAACCCAATACAGAAACACAAAACTCAAAACAGAATCACAAAACCCAAAACAGAAACACAAAACTCCAAACAGAATCACAAAACCCAAAACAGAAACACAAAACTCAAAACAGAATCACAAAACCCAAAACAGAAACACAAAACTCAAAACAGAATCACAAAACTCAAAACGGAAACACAAAACCAAAAACGGAAATACAAAATAGATAACAGAAAAAAAATAAAAAAAACAGTAATGAAAAACAGTGGATTAGCCAGGTTACTAAGGTTAGTGTAATCACAAAGGTTAAACCTCATGCTCAGTGTAGAACATGGATTCTTTGGTAAAACACTTTCCTTTCCCCCCACTGTTTTCGCATTTCTATTTTATCAATTTGTTTTCATTAATGATCTTCCCGCCTGTCCGGTTGTGAGTAATTTTGTTCCGCTGGAAAATTGCATACGCTCATATTGGTTCATTGGTTACAACTTACAAGTAAGCTAGCATCGTTACGTTTTTGTCCCTTTACCACGGCATTCATACAACAGTAAGACAACTAAAATACCTGATTAACATTAAATATAATCTTCGAAGGAGAAATAACGAAAGTGCAGCTCACGAAATACGGCGAGCGTTACGCTATGAATTAAATGGACTAGGCTGTTTAATGGGTTATCGTTCCACGACAAGATGCCTCAGGTTTTGATTTTTTTTTTCTGGAAACAATGGTTAAATTAAATGCTTCCCATAAACAATTTCGACGTTTTCATCAGTCAATGACGTGAATAACGTGGGATCCGCACATCAAACCATTTATCGTGTAAGGGAGGCGAACGGTGTCAGAGGGCTACAGATACTGATGACCTTGGATATAATGATGATGAATCTCAGACCGTGTATATAAAAATAGTACTGACACATGTTATCTGAAATGTGCTTTATGTTATCTTTCTTCTATCCTACTCGCCGTGGAGATTACGACCCAACTTACCGAGTAGTCTCACTGATGTTGAAGTTGTATCTCCAGCAAAAATAAATTATGAAAACGCAAGTTTCATGACCCCTTCCTGCAGAGTAAAGTCACTTAGAGTGCAAGGCGCCCTCTGCATCCGATTTCTTTGTTTCACAATAATCCCCAACCCCACCCGCCCGTCGCTCTTCCCACGACGGATCAGCCTACGCTAACGAAATGTACAGCATGTATTTCAAAAAATTAAGCACTTCTTCGCCTCCCCCTGTCCGGTTGATACGTCTTCCAACGAAGAAATTTAATCAAAAAGCAATGCGGCAAACATTTTCTTTTGCGTGCATCGTTTAATTTCTCTCTCGGTGTATTTTCTTAATAGTTGTTTTACCTTATGTATTTCAAAAGATCCAGAAGAAGTTGTTGTAATACGTTGACCCTAGAGTCTCCGTGATTCTCCGTTTCGGTTGGGAACCCCCTGGAAAGATTTTTTCCGTCAAAAAAGCTGAATGCGAAATGTCATTGTTTCTTTAAAATGAGAAAAAAATTTCGTATTCATGTTAATACATGGTCTAATAAACTCACTTTCGTGTTGTAGATTATTTTCTTAGCAAATAATTAACGGTGAGTCACTGCAAAAGAACAAATAATCACTGGCCAATCTTATTTGCAAAGCCACCCCCACCCCCTCTTAAATTGCCTTCTTTTGGGCCTACTCTCTTCGGAATTTTTGTTGTCCTCCGTGAGGAGGGTATGGAAATTTTCTGGCCGGAACTACACAAAGCAGCCCCCTATTTCCTTTAGTCAAAATTATCGTCTCTTTTTAGTATGTGTCTTCTGTTTGCGATTCTGTTTTAGGTTTTGTGATTCTGTTTTGGGTTTTGCGACTTTTTTTTTTTTGGGGGGTGTGATTCTGTTTTGGGTTCTGCGGTTCTATTTTGTTCCTATCTACCATCGTAAAAACGCTTTCAGGGAGCTTAAGCAACGCCGGCAGACGGCAACGGATGACTTAACGCTGCAGATGCAGCACACATCGTCGTCACTGCCTGATTACGTAGGCTCCTGGCCCCGGTTGTTCAAACGTTGGATAGCGCTACCCCTCGGATAAATCACTAACCTACGAATAAGTATTAGGAAAACCGATTGCACTATCCACTGCGGGATAGATATTTATCCACTGGATAGCGCTATCCAATGTTTGAAAAGCCGGTTGATTACTAATTTGACATCATCCTGCCAGCAGAGCCTTTCTTTTGCGTGCTCGAACTACACAGCCGTTTTTAGTGTCATCACGCAACGCTCCTAGCGCCCTGCTGCTCACGTATTGTCAAGTTTCTTATACATGATTGGTTTGTTCGTTAGACCACAAACACAAAGGGAAAGGAATGTGGGTCGATTTTCAGCAGCCGTTAGTGGGGAGTAGCGTTGCGTGACGACACTAAAAACGGCTGTGTAGCAGACTAGATTGGCGGACCCGAGAAAGACTTTGGTGAGCACGCGCTGATGTTACTTAGATACAGTCTCAAACCCAGTCCTAAAAGCCGTGTGCTTGTTACAGGGGGCTCAGTTGTGACCATCGGTTTATCAATAAATGGATGCTTACACTCAAAAAACCCGTTTGACGAGAGAAACCAAGATTGACTTGTTAAAAGGTTGGGGCTGCGGTGCCCTTTTCTCCTCCTACATATTATCCTTCTTTTTCTGAACTTAGATCCTCTGCATTTGTAAAATTGAACGAGACGGATAATGTGTGTTTGGTGCAGCCTTACGGCAGCCTTACGGCAGCCTTTGGTGGTTGATTTTATGACATGATTTTATTTATCTTAGGAATCACTTTTACGACCAAAAATGCTTTGATGAACCCGTCCCGGCCAGGTCGGGCGGCTGGTGAAGGAGCGGAAACGGTCACTTTCCTCCCGCTTGTCAAGAAAGGAAGAAACCGTCTATATCATTCCATTTCTTATCATATTCATCCCTATGCTTTGGAATTTGCTGCCTTCCATAAAGGCATAATAACGACTTGAAAAATAAAACTCGTAATATATATATACATGAAAAATTAGAAGACTGATGGAGCTGGATTACTGAAGTGGTCTTGAACATTCATTGCTACTCAGAGTTTCATAACTTCTTGCGAATTAATCATCAGGCAACTGACAAAAGTAAAGGTTACAATCAAAGATATAGAGAAAATAGAACGGTGACAATAAATACAAATGTCTAATATGCGGCAAAGATCCGTATTATTTTATCCTTTAAAGCCATTGGGTCTTTTTTTTCTTTTTTCAGAATTTAGTTCAAAAATATGCATCTGTGTAAAATTAAGTAAAACAAAAGATGAACACCAAAAGATGCTGTTGTTGCATTGTATGAAAAATATCGGTTCATATATGCCAACCCAACACGCACACGTCAGTTTCAAGCAGAACATGTTTCATTTCGTGCCTGACATAAAAACAAGATTAAGTTTCGGATTCCCATGATAAAATCGAGGTTTGGTTCCGGATCTTTTTCAAAATAATGGCAATGAAGGATCATGAATTTATTTTATCTCAGTTATCAAGCTTTGTCGGGGGAAATTAAGTTTAAACGTTTTTCATTTAGGTGGGGGCTTGCAAAATGTAAACATACAGATCCCCGTACAGTCAAACTTCGTTAATACGTCTGAGGGGACCATAGAAAGTGTCTGTATTAGCGGAATGTCCGTATTAAGCCGGTTGAATTAAGAAAAAAAGTAACGGCTTTCCTTTCCCAGGGACAAAGCAAACTATCCGTAATAATGAGGTGTAGGTATTAAGTGGGATGTGACTGTACTTGGAAGATCCTAGCGATTAGGATGTAAACAGAATACAGGAAAATGTATGGCATCAGGATGATCCGCCTCCTAGGATCTTCCTGGTACTAGAATCCTCCTCCCTCCATGTAAACAGTCTGTTAAACTCTTCTCAACAACTTTGACTAAGTCAGGTATTTACATCAGACAAGCGCTTAATTGTTATTGTTACTAGTATTTTTGTCCATGCTGCCATATGTTGGAAGCATATTTACACCTGTACACATCCAGATACACCTGAGTCAATTACTAATGTTGCTGATTTTGTTTCTCTTCTGTATGCATTTTCGTGTTTACTTGTTGACTGTATTTTTACTCACCCTCCCGCGATCATTCTGACGTGCAACACGTGTTAAAGGTTCTTGCTTATCTTGGGTTTAAAATTAATTTATCTTTTGGTCGGAGTACATACCTACGATCATTCATCAGCATAGTAAACATGACCAATGAAAGTAATCCTTGGATGAAAATAACCCTTGACTTACGCGACCGCGTTCACTTCAACTACCTTGAAATAAAACTGACACTTTAAAACTTCGGTACTTATTTTCCTACGCGTTTAATCTCTAGCTTACATAAACGTCTTCAGGAAGTTTCACATTCAAACACAGAATAACCCCTTTTACTTAAGCCATAGCTGATGTCTATTGAAAATGATGACCGCAACCATTGATGTCCAGTTATTTAAACGGAGTTTACTACAGCACTGTTTGATAGCACTTGTTTAACAAAACCGCTTTCTAAGCCATTTTCAGTTTGCTCAACGCTTTCATCTAAACACCATTTACCGAACAATTTCAATAATGCATACAGCATAGACTGGAAAAGCACTAATTTTCTTAAATTAACCCACTAAGAAAGAGATCTGGGGGTTCAGTGATTTCTTAAACCGCGGCCTAAGTTAGACCCTTGGTTAAATAACTGACCCTGAAGGTTTCGCCGACGTCACGTAAAACGAAATTTCGTTCCATTTATATCTTCTTAGGAAAAACACCCTGTCACCGGTCAAAGATGGATGTTGTTTACATGGAGTGGGGGACCCCGGTCTAGTGGGGTTGGTTTCTTTTGTTTTCACGCTCTGAGGGACACAAAACAAAAGAAACCTACCCCACTAGACCGGGGTCCCTCACTCCATGTAAACAGGGTCTTAAAAACTGACTCTTTTATGAGTCTTATTTTAGCACTTAGATACAAGAAAAAGTAAATACATGGGGACATCGCGCTTAATGTAAATAACCTTCTTTTTTATGAATATCTACTTGTAACATAAGATACGTATTTTTATCTTTTGAAGAATCTGACTTTACGTCTAAAAGCACAGCTTAATACGCATCTCTGTTTTTAAAAAAACAACCATTGAGAGTGACATGTAATAGACAAGCACACAATTCCCCCTGGAGGGTTTTTTTTGGCTACCCAATAAACAATCAACTCACAAGTGAAGTTATATAACTCCCAGCTTCAGATAACGAAAACCCATTTCCAAGATGGTACGTTACTACAACTTAATTTTGGTGGCAGTTTTTAGCTTGGAAAGTTTAGCGCTAGTTCCGTTAAAAAATGGCAACGTTACGGATAACCTCTCTTTGGTGAACAAGGCCGGAGGCGTTTTAAATCTCGCAGACGTTCACAACATTCCTGAATATCTCGTAAAGATGTACGAAGTCAATCAGAAGATTAACAATGGAATTGTTAAGGGAAACTCAGAAAGGAACCCTCCAATGGTTCACTGTTTTATTGGACAAGGTAATTAAGCAAAGTTATACGTATAGCTTTAAGCATAAAACAAACCACCAGGTTTGTGGGAAGTTGCAAAACGAACAAATTTCACCCCTTCCAGTTTAAATGTAGTTAATTTGGTTTAGAAATGAGATATACTCACATCCCCTTCACTGCGCTTTTGAAGAGCACTTAGGAACTAGTTAGGAACTGCTATGTACAGTTGAACGTCCATATCTTGCTCAGAAGAAGGGATACACTGGCAGCCTGCTGAAATCAGTGCAATAAATATTTTTAGTTATAGTGTATCGAACCTTGTTTGTTTTTCTGTCTTTGCCGAAATAAGTTAAAGGGTTTAAGGTGGTCTAAAAAGAGGAAGAACCCCCTTTGTTAGTATAAATACACTATGCGAAAAAAAAAAAAAAAAATCAGCACTCGTATTGAAGTTTGCATCAGCTTCCCCCAAGATTCGTATACATACAAAGAATGCTCGCCTTTTCTTCCCTACGGCTCCAGCGTTTCTTTATGTAATTTCTTCTGGTTCGGCAGCTAGCCGGGGTCGGGGGGGGGTTGGGAGAGGGGGACAAAAATTTGTGGGGATTCAGCCCACCTCTTCCATTTTTCGGTGCCGAAAATATTGCAAGAACAATGTAATAGTTCTGTTTGATACATATTCAGGCTCGTGATGCTTTCACTAATGGTTTTCATTAATGACGACAGCGCGTAGCGAAATAATATGTTGTTGGACAACTCTGGCCTGTTTTCGAAAAGCCAAACAGCAGCTAAATGTTTCCACTAAGACCATCGCTAGGAAACAGAAATGGTCTTTGTATGGTACCTAATCGATTATGTCAGCTGAAAGAGGTTTGCCGGCCAGTACCAAGGAGCCACGCAAACGAAGTTTTGGGAAACTTACATTTAAGTATGAGCTTCGCACGATGTACGATGTCCCTCCCCTTCTCTCCATTCCCTCCTTCACCTCCCTCGCGCTCAAAACGTTCCGCGCCACCATGTATTATCTTTAGGATTCATTTTTAGTTATTTAGAGTTTTTTTCACAGTGATAATTGAAATCAGAAAAAAATTTAGTAATTTTAGCTACGACTAAACAGCGCTGTTCTGTGATGAGGTCCGTATTCAAACTACAAATGGTAGACATCGAAATTGACCCTTCCTTGGGGGAGTGAGTGCCCCCCTGTTTCGAAAGCCAGCTTTTTGCTTTCCGCCATCTGTATTTTAATAATAACTGTGTGGAAATCAAGTTGAAGAGCACTTAATACTAAGGGATCATGATTTTTTAACATGTTTTTTTCTCAGTGGAGGGACCGGCTTGCAAAGTATCTAAGTCGGAAGGCCATCCTCTCTATCACATCCTTGCCAAATTAAAGCAAAGGAGACTAACTACAAGCTGCGTCGTAGTTCTGCTCTTAGGCCGAAATTAACACCCAAAGGTTTATGAACACTTTTATGAATCGTCGTTTAATATTTAATTATAACTTAGCCATGTCCTTTTACCATTTTTCCATCGTCTTTTTAACACAATATTCCTTATTTCTCAGCTATTTATTTTTTATCTTTGTAACACTTGGCTCTTTTCTTAATAGTTTTTGCAACAGAGAATATGTATTTCTATTCTATGAAATAAAGACATATATTATTAAATCGAACAACAGTACCAAACGATAAGATAAAATAGAAACGTTAAAATTCTTAAAATAGCACCTTAAAGGTTTTCGTGCCCCGTGTCACCATCTTTAAGATCTCTAAATCTCAAAAAACCCAAACAAACCCGTAGAACTTCCTGTTTCAGGAAACTATTACTTGCTCATCACGGCAATAAAGTTCAGGGCAAATCTCACGCTATGGAAAAGCAAACGGCATCATGCGAAGTACTTCCCGAAAAAAAGATTTCATTTAAATGGTCATGTGGAGGGGTTTCGTCCTCAGAGTGAAGGGTTAGAAATACTCTTAAAACCCATAGCACGTCGCAATAATTGACTCCGCCCGGACAACAACATGGAGAGACATGGTTCCGTTTCCGGAATAATACCTGATCTCTCAAGTTAAAACAATGACTAAGAATGATGTTTTTTTTTTTTTTCTTATTTGAATTTTTTATGAGGTAGGGGTTGCAAAACTCATTGACAAAAGTTCTTCCGATTTGTATCGGTAGCTCGCTCAAAAACGCTTGCTTCGGGCGTCTCGGATAGGCCTCGGATGAAACCGATGTAATTTACTTAGAGGCTACAACAACTGTTATTGGGTCAAAAGTAACAACCTCTCCTTTCAAATATAAACAACGGGAAACAACGTATCGTTGGTTTTCACTGTTTCGCCTATCAAGAATAAAAATCAAAACCCTTAGGGTCAAATCAGGGTAGAGTCTGGGAAATGAAAAAAGACAAATATGCTAAAATACCCCCCAATAATCAGGTCTGTGCGATTTTTCATATGCGAGAAAAGTGTTTTACCAAATTTTAAAAGCTGATTGTGTAGAGCTTTGAGGGGCACAAACATGGCGGCCGGAAACCTACAGGAGCATCTGTTTTTTAGTTTTGCTACAAGATCGTGGATCATCGCTTTGTATTAAAGCAATGTCATGAAGAGTAAGGTTATTCTGAGACAGAGACTGTTCAGATAGCAAAATCTCAAAAGTTCGGTAACATTTCTAACCTATGAGAGCTTTCTTGGCCGCCGTAATGAAATGCATGCCTCGGCACGCAAAAGCTTGGAAATTCAAGTGTACTCTATCACAGAAGAAACTCTTTGGAACGAAAAATTTGTACCATGAATTAAACGTGCTAAGCTGCTGTAACCTCACGAAAGTAAATAGTCAGACGAGTTGCTACTTCTTTGGAAATTTGAATTTTGGTGAACGGTCATGTGAAAACCGAGAATCCAAACCTGTAATTATAATATGATATAATTGTGATGAAAGATATCAGCTACTTACTACTAAGGTACAACTACCAAGAAAAGCACTAAGAGAAAAAAGTCAATATAAAAAAAAGTGTCGGACTCATCAGGCTACAACAGCTACAACCTGCTACAACAGGTTCCCTTTCAAATAGGCCAGAGTGCAAGTGTAAGCTTCACAAAACTCGAACTCGGAGCACTGTCAGATTTCTCCACCAGACAAACACCCACAAAAGCTCTACTATTCTCCATTGTCAAGATTTGACATGGATTATGAAGAGTCTATGAAATAAAGAAATACTTGTTATGTATATATTTTTACAATAGAGTTTCTTTCTTTTACAGCCACTACAAAACTCAATACTGTCTTCTTCAATCTCAGCGCTTCCGACATTGGAACTGAGGAGAGGATCGTTTCAGTTCAAATCCGTGCACTTATTAAAACGACTGTTCCCGATTCACCCCTCCCTCAGCGTGGACGACTTGTTCTGTATGACGGGCTTTCTCGTACAGCCGTTTATTCCAAAGCACTCCAGGGGGGTGGTACCAGGTGGTACGTGTTTCCCGCTCGTGCTTTGGTAAAAAGGTGGATATTCTCGTCTCATCTAAATCATGGTGTATACTTCAAGGTGAAATCGCATGTCCCGCGCGTGAAGCAGTCTCTGTTAGTTGACGTGAACGTAAAAGCCCCAAGAAATAAGAGGCCGCTGCTGATTGTGGAAACTGATAACACAAAAGTGCAAGGAATTAAAGACATAACATCCTTGATGAGGTAAAAAGGGAGCCCTTGTTGGAACTAAAATACTTTTATTCTTATCAAACTGTAGCTACTCAGTTTAGCACCTTTTATGGAAAAAATTGGCAAACTCTAAGCACATTTGTTGCTTAATCTAAAATTAGCACCGTCAGAATCAGATTACGTACTACGAGTAAAGTTTCAAGAACAACGGAGGGTACGGCAGAGAGCAAACCCGATGTATTAACACAGGTTCTGTAGCCTATTTCAAGCGTTCAGATACATAATGGACTGCTGCGCATAGTCAGAAAGCGGAAAAAAGAGAAAGGGAGAGGGAACCTACACCACTCCTCGTTGTTTTTACTGCTCACCGGGTCTCTTTGCGCCGTCCTTCACAATAATTATGTTGTAGTGCGCGCATTTCATAGGAGGTTCAAGAGAACTCAAAAAGGGCAGGACGGCAAGCACTTCTCCTGTAATTTTAAAATTCTCGCGTGCCCATATAGCTAAACAGCGCACCCTCCGCTAAAAATTCCTTTTTCCAAAAAGCGTCAGATCTGGGGAGTGACGGTATGGAATCCCAACGCAGAGACGTCTTTTTGCAGGGAAAACGCAATACTGCTATATCTAAACATGCGCCCTTACCACTAGCAAGAAAAAAATCAACGGTAAAATCGAAAGACCTGCAGTTTCAGGGTCGTTATGACTTCATTTTCTAGCTCAAATTAAAAAAAAAACAATAGCCACATCCTAAAGACTTCAAGGCGAGCCGAGTCAAAATTAATAAACGTGCCGACGGTAATATCTGGATAATTTTAAAAACAAAAATCTTGAGATAAAGCTCTTGATAAGAATGCTTGGTAGGATTATTTTGGCAAACACTATTCTTGGAGACCCGACAGGAAGCTTGCTGCGACAAGATACCGCAGTAACAGGCATGCGCAATTGCCTACAGTAAAAGCGAGTTTACGGCAAGAAAGAAAGAAATTAGCCTGCCAAAAAAAAACCAGCCCATTTCTCTCTAGCCTGCGAAGACAGCCGTTTTCCCTCATCGCTGCTGGGGACGTTTCGCGAGGGGGAACGTCTGCGTCTTAACGGCAGAAATTCCATACTGATGACGTAAATCAACGTTTACGTAATAAATTCGGTAGTCATGGGATTCCAAATGCAAATTTGTTCAATTTTACGTTTCTCCTGATCGATTTTGGTAAAATGTTGTGTTCATCTGCGAACGAGCTCCAGCAAACCTCAAATGTTTCTTCTAGAGCAGCCTACATTCCACAAATATTAACTGTTTCGTTCAAGATTTCGCGTTTTCATTTGACCTTTGTGGCCTTTTGTCTGTCATTCGCAAACAACACCTAAAACAATGTAACTTCTCCGTCGACCAATCAGCGCTCCTGACCAGATTCCGGAAAGTTTTACGTCATAAGTATGGAATTTCTGTTCCTCCCCACGAAACGTCCCCCAACGGTGACGAACGAGGAGAAACGTCTGTTTTCGCAGACTAGAGATGAGAGTTCCGGTGGGCACCTGTAGTTTTAAAGAACCAGTTCTAGACAAGAGAGAATAATGGAACAGTAGGGAAAACGACCAGTCTAGTTCTTGAGATATGTAAAATTTTGTCTGCATACAATGTTTTCCTCAGTGAATATTTTGTCTGGATTAGATGCCTCCGGGGCTCCGAGGATGATATCACCTGTTCTTGGCGACACAGCGAACGCCCTTACAGGCATCTGATCCATACCTTACAGACGAACCCTAGAGATCCAAAGAGACTCAGGAACATACGATTGTTAAGTTGACGTTTAAAAGTTGTAGCAATATGTTTCAAGATGTTGCTATTCTGTTTTTTTTTTTTTTTATGGAAGAATAGTATCTTAAATGAGCATATTTTTCTTTAATTGTATAGTGAAACAAAGAAGATGACAAGCCGCATATCTAGACGTCCCCGTGCAATTGTTCGTGATGATGGTCCCTGTTCTAAACGTCCCATGACAGTGCACGTCAGAAAACATCTTAACATGAACGAGGTTCTCATTCCTCGTACCTTCGAGTCCTTCCGGTGTGGAGGAGAATGCACATTTCCATTGGACAAAAGCGTAAGTTCCCATTTTTAGATTTCATTTTCGTGAAATTTAATGTAGACAATCAGCATTTCTTTGTTTTTTACGATCGGATAGACTTGCTACAAGGTCGACCTCTAATAAGTCCGGTTAAAAGCGAGCTTGGCGAGTTTCAATGAGGAAAAGTGAGCGAAGAGGGCCTTCAATGCGATCGCAAAGCGGGCATCAGGAAAAAGAAAATGAAAACTCACCTTTACAAAGTCTAAGGATCGGGATAAATTAGACAGACCGAAGGCGAGAGCAGTTATAATCATGTTACGGTATTTTTATTGCAAGCGCTTCCTAATAGATGCGGCTTTTGTTTGAATCTGTCGTTTGTTAGTGCGGGACACAATTTTTCAAGAAAGGTTTTTTATTACCTTTTTTATCACATCCGTGCTTGTGTCCTGTCGCCCCTTATACCTTTAGTCAATTCTTTCTTGCTTTAGTCTACTTCACCACAAATAACTATTATTGTTGTCTAAGGGATGTTTTCAGTTTTGTTCTCTGTAAGATCCGATGTCTATTCGGAGTTGGAAGTTGTATTGAGATTAATCTATTATCGTCATACATATTCTCCACGATGATCTCCAAACATTTCCTTTCATTTTCTCGTGTTACTTTGTGATGGTTTTGTCTACTCTACGATCTTTTATACTGCACTGAACAGTCGTTTGGTTTTCATTAAAATCGACTTTAAAAAAGCGATTTTGAGAAAAAACTAAACGACTGTTTTTCAGTCTAAAAGATCATAGGAATAGACAACACGATCACCAAGTGAACTGAAAAGGAAGGTTGTGACTGGAAAACAAACCAAACTTCAAAGTCCTGAGCACTTTTTGTTTGTCCGATCCCGAGTTCTTGACCTGCGCGCTCTGTTCGTGATAATGAGCTCTCCCTTATTGGGCGGGTGTCCGTAAAGCGGGGTTCTACCGTATTAGCTTGAAATGACTGCCACTGATTTTCTCGGCCCAGGTCCACCCGACTGGACATGCTGTAATAAGGACGATACTACATTCATCTGGATTGGATCAGGGCGCTGGTGAACCGTGCTGTGTGCCAGTGAAACTTAGAGGCCTAAGTGTGTTTGTGGAAAAAACGCCTGGTGCAATAACTATCAGGTCCTTTCAAGGGATGGTTGTTGAGGAGTGTGGATGCCGCTGACAAGCATAACATGGATTTGCAAAGGCTATCCCGGCAGCAGTTTTATGTCTGTGAACAGACAGACTTCCAGACAATGTTCATAAACACTAGGGCTTGCAGTCCTCTAATGCCAGTATACAAGTAATTAATGATAACTTTCAAATTTTGTTACGAGGAAGCTTCTCTCCAGGCAATGGAGATAAAACCCGTTTCTTGTTGAATTCTGAAATACTGCCAGGTCTGATTCGACGTTGTTTCCCGTGTCACTCTCGCTTTCCACTTATGACGACCGGTCGAAATATGCCGAATGTTAACTTTGATTGGTTAAGTTTCCCGCGATGCCAGTCTCAGTGATTTTTGGGGGAGACTGTTTGACGTTCTCGTCAGTAATTCGAACGTGATCACTTTCAGCAAGTATAGCCACCTTTTGATAAAGTAAACGGGTAGGAATAATCGCGATAAAGACTGGAAGAACATAAATTCACTTTTTATGCAACGTTTTCGATGCCATCGCGTCGTCGGATCGTAAAGTCCCTATCGGTCTATAAAGACATTGCGAAAGAAACTTGCTCCAGATTCGTCCCCTAAAACAAGTCCCCCAGTCCAATTCGACACAAAATCTACTCGGTGTCAGGTAAAAAAGGCAACAGCTTGAAACAGGATAAATTACTGACGGGGGGGAGGGGGGCAGTGTCGTTACTCCTTCGTACCTTCTATAAATACTGAGGTAATACACAATTAAAAGTTTAGTTTTTTTCCTACGCAACTCGGCAAATAGAAAAAGTTAAAACAATGTAAGATTCAAATGTAACGCTATTTTCAAATTATATTTTTTACAAACGAAAGTTGAAAAAAGAAAAAATCAACCGCAGACATTTCGCGACGCCACCACTAGTTTCCCTGAGAAACTACGTCTGAGAAACTGGTGCAGAAATTCCATACTGATGACGCGTCACTACCCAGATCTTGGTAGTGCTTCTGATTGGCTGAAACAAAATTCCCACGCGCACGACCATTCAGAAGCACCACTCAGATCTGGGCAGTGATGCGTCATCAGTATGGAATTTCTGCGCTCCTTTCTGGTGTCGTTAAATGTCCGCTGTTTTCTCAGGCGGGCTCGTTGGAGAGCAATAAGTGACAAACCGAAAGCGGATTCCTGGCACTTACGGTTGACTTCATTTTACTATACTTTCATGGTTGTAATTGTTGTAGCTTGTACTTTAACATTGCTATTACATTCAGTATGGTTGTCAACAGGTTAGTTTTACCGAAAGAACTTTTATGAGTTCTTATTTCCTACATTGTACAAGACATGTTCATGTTCTTTTATAGTGAAGTAGTCTTCATTGGTTTCCTTTCATATTTTGGCTACTGTGTCTAACTGGCATTTGTATAATTTTGTATCATCTTGGTCACTAGTAACTTTTTGAATAAATTTTATTACTCAGTCTGAATTGCCTTCTTCCGCTAGTTTTATGGAAGGCACAGGCAACAAGTCTAATCTCAACTTTAATTTATAGCTAAAGCGTAAATTGAAGTAAGCATTAGGCTATGCTCTGAGGAAAATTGAAGGAAGCCCAGTGTTCTGAACCTGTAAAATCGACAGTGCCTAGCATATGATTTGTATGAAAACACTAAGATTTCCTAGTCACCCGAGAGCAAAAGTTAGGCACCAGGGGCCACCGGGCTCTGCTAGAGCACGGCCATGAGTAAGGAGCAAGATTAGCCCAAATAAAAGTTTTTTCCTCTGAGCTGTCTGTTGTTGTTGTTGTGTAAGTGTATATTGTTAAACAAAAAAAACACTTCTGTTTCAGTTCAGCCCAAAAAGGTGATTGTACAGTAAAATGACAGTAAACAAGAAGAAACCGGATGCTTTGACTTCACTAACGAGCACAGGGCCTATTTGGGCCGGGAAAGAGGGTTACTCAACAAAGTTTTATACTGGCTAAGCTCAGCTCCGAGGTTCACTCCCTTAGACTTTTCTATACAATTTTTCACAGACAATGGTGCCCCTTTCTCATAAGTTTCATTGTGAAATGGTGAACCTTTCCCTTTCCTACTTACCTCACCTGTATCCCTTTTTTAAATGCTTGGGATGGAGTTGATGAAAGGTGGGGAAATAGGGAGAGGCAACCGATGGACACCATGATGTAGTGCCGGCCTTTCGGATCCTTTTGCAGTACTGTTCACATACACTGTAAACCAGAAAGATCTGTTTTAGCCCTAAAAGTGGGACCCTTCCGGTGATTAAAATACAGTCCTATTTTTGGGTCTAATGTGACCCTAATGTGGCTCCCTTAATCAGGGCCAAAATACTGTAGTCCAATTAGCTAGGGCTGAAATGATTCTGCGTGGGCTCTGCAGGGCTGAATTGAGACTTGCTGAAACAGATCTGTTTAATATTAATGTAGTTTTAAACATTCCTGGCTTGTCCCTTGTGTGACTCATCTTTCTCCCACAGAGACATGTAGATGTCCCCAAAAAATGCTTTTTAAATATAAGGTGGGTTAAGGAAGGGTTTTTTATGGTTAGCTAATCATTTCAACTGATCCCTACCGTCGGACTGATAGCGAACAATTGGACTCGACAAAGCAATCCATTCCATTCCAGTCCAGTCCAGTCCATTCCAAAAGCCGTAGGAAAAGAACTGTCTGAGTAATCATTTAATTTACAGAGTAGATTAAAATCGCAAACCCCTGTTGTCACTCTTGACCTCTGGATAATCCGGGGTGGGAGGATTGTTTTAAGATCAAGATAAAATGTTTTATAAAGTTATAAAATCATATATAAGACCTTCGGGGTGAAGAATTATATGAAAGAAGATCATCAACAGCGATGATCTTCTTGAATTCCATTTTCTTTTGGACGGTGTTGATTACTGAACACGTCAATTTCCCTTTTTTGATAATAGAATTGTGCGTTTTCCTTTTTCTTTTCTTTTTTTGTTAGTGTTAAGAGTTGTTTTCAACGATGTTCACTCGCCGTTTTAATAAGACCTATCGATTAAACGTATTATTGTAGGCCTATAAGATAACCAGTTTGTTTATAAAAATCCTACTTATAAAAAAAGTATCTAAAGCAAAATTTGTGTTTTGTCTTTTGAAAGCAGCTAATTAAAGTCCAGCTGCGTTGCAGATAGTTAATTTAAAAAACACCTCGTAGAAAAGGCAATTAAGCTTGTGTTCGTCTTTTTTAAAGTCAGTAATTATAGGTGTACACGCATTCCGCTTTTTAAGGACTGCTGAGATGGACAACTTTAATTTGTTTGTTTTACCTCTGTTTTTGAGTTCGCTTCGAGTATATGTCAGCCCGTCCACGATTTCAAGAAGCTACTGTAAAAGGGTAGGAGATTTTAAAGGGCCTTATACAGGTAATACTCTTATTTTTCTTGAATTTAGTCATGTCATCGAGGGAAAAAGTATATTTAACCTTTCTCTTCTCAAAAGAAAATACTAGCTCTGTATCCTATGTACTAGAGCGATTACACGTCTTTTGAATTCTAGTGAAAGCACGGATACACAACCCCTAAAAGAATTGCTGTGTTAAAAACTGTCTTTGCACTGATACACGGCGTACTCAACTTTTGCCTAAAACAGATGTTGAGCTAAGAATTGAGCCATCTTCACCATATTTGCTAGAAACAGTTTTCATTGAACTGAACAGTTGTTACTGGTATAAATCAGGCCTACATCTGAGATACTTCGCTTTTTTTTTATTCATGTAGAAATGTTTGATTTTATTCATTTCTATCATTCCAAACTATTAAATTAAACGGCTTTTAACTTATTTATTTTAAACCTCCCAATATATATTTGAGCCATTTTACGAGTTTTACTGTTAGTTAAACATCTGAGAAGTTTCCTCACGTTACTATTCCGTCACTTAATTAGCAAAACTAAAGATGAAGATTTTCTTCCTCCGTATGAAAAACGAACACACTAGACACTCTTTGACACCTTCTTGGCTCCTCGTTTCAAGACTCTATAACAAAAAACTCGTCTCACGCCTAGACCTTTCTAGACGTTTCTGTTTCATTAAGACAACAAATAATTCGTGTCGGGCACGCCAAAAACGAGAAAAACCGAACAAACGAATAAAGGAAGAAAGAAGAAGAAAGAAAAGAAAACTAAGAAAGTAAGAAAAAGCTTGGTGGGGACGAAGTCCTTCTTTGAGATCTCATTGTTTTGTCACCTTGTCGACGTGTTTTCATATTGCAATTATCAGCAAAAAAAGAAATTAAAATGGAGAACGCTAGATGGATGTATTGATATTAGCACAAAACATACTAAGTAAATTTGTCAGTTTCTGACAAATTTAAATTATGCACATCCATCTGAATCTTTAGAAAAATTCGATCGCACGTGAAAACAAAAATCGAGATAATTAAAACGTCAAACTACTACCCTCTTCAGTGCGATATTATGTTCTGCAAAAATTGTAGAGAATCGGTTAATTAGCTGCAGGTGACGTTAACGTATTAGCGGCTACCCGGGGCATATTCCCTGAGGTGGGGGTTGGGAGGATTGGGATGCCGTGCGGTTGGCGGTTGGAATAGACCCTCTCACAGTTTTTTCAATTTCTGACATGGACCAGCTAAGGAAAATCCGTCGTCACCACTGGAAAGAGCGCGTCAAAATAAGTAAAATTGCCAAGTTTGAAAGTGATTTGTTAAAAACTAAGGAAGATACAGTTCCAAAAAGACGCGAAAATTTACAGACATTTGTACGGTGGGGGGCATAGACTTGCCCCCACCGTGTAAATTTCCCCAAAAGTCTTAGGTAAATTTTTTGGTGGGAGGGGGGCATCTCAGAGACCCTAAGTGTTTATACGGTAACGTGCCGAAAATGGCATCTCAGAGCCCCTACTCCATTATAGTCTATTCTGTGGCCAATTATAGACCCCATCTTAGTCACTTTTCGGCAAATACGTAATTCTCGCGATTCCAACTTAGTCACTTTCTATTTATGTATCTACTTTATCAATCCTTTAAATAGGTCATCCTAAAATGAATTGACACATTCAGTTTTTAATTGAAAGAAGGACACTTTACTTTTCACCTACAGTACAAACATCCTGGTACGTTTGCTAACCGTAAATATGAAGGACTTTCATACCCCAAAAATCCGAAAATATGCAACCCCTTTCTATTAACTCTACTGAAAATGAAACCCCATTATAGGCAGTCCAGTCGTGAAAATGCGACCCCATCCAGCGGCACATCCCCATTAGCCTCTTTAAGGAAGTACCTCCCCCCTAGGAAATTTTCGCAACTTTTCGCAGCTACATCATCGCTCGCTGAAAACGTATCACTTTCAAATTTGGCAGTTTTCCTAATTTCAAGGTTCTCTTTCCAGTGGTTTCGAAGGATTTTCCCTAACTCGTCCATGTCAAAAGTTGAAAAAAACAGTGAAAGGGTCTATTTTTGCGCGTTAGTGATACAAAGCAGTGTCTTCAGCATATAGAATATGGGACTTAACGCTCTAACAGGAGCTTTTGAGTACACGAGTAAAAAGACTTGGTACGACAGCAATTATACACTGATTTTCAAATAACTTAGACTCACTAGAGGTTCTCAATGGGGTTGACCGTCAGCCGTCGACTGAAAAAGGTTATTTTTAACGTCCACCGTCAAAAATGCAGAATAACATTAACCGTAAAATTTTCAAGGTATTTCAAATCTCACTATTTCAACTGATCTTAACGGACTTCTGCCCCCTGAAGAATCTCTAAACTGGAAAAACTAGTTCCCATGTTCTCAAAAGGAATCTTTCTAGGCAATACTAGTCTTACTAGAATTACAAATTGCTTATTTTTGAAAATATTTTATTTCGAAATTTTATATAAGCGAAAGGCATCATCATTACCTCATCTAAACTCTTGGACTTAATTTCCATCTGATAACTGTCAACCGTCAAAAGTTCTAAAATTTAGCCGTAAACCATCAAAATTGGAAAAACTTTAAACTTTAACCATCAAAGTCATTACCCCGTCGAGACCCTCTTACTAGTGCAAGCTGTGCAGTAAAAAAATTATTGAAAATGTTGAAGAAGGCACAAAGCTATGGTTGAGTTAGGCAGAGGATAAAGTTTTTTTTTTATCTTCGAAGTTCAAGATTAAAATAAGAAAATAATAGTCTCTGAGGAAAGTTGTTCTTTTCCTCTAGACTCCAGCTTGTTAGGTCATGTGATTTCCAATTTGACTGTCCCAGATGTGATGTCTTGCTCGTTTGAGTGCCTGAAGATTAAGCAGTGTTTATCGTATAACTTCAGAGATGAACGTAACAGCTTGAGAAACATCTGTGAGCTTAATAATGCAACTATGGTGACCAGTCCAAATGCGTTCTACGGCAGGCCTGGTTACAAATACTATGATACACAAAAGGTTTGATGAAATGTTGAGTACTAGGTAATTGTGTTATGAGTAAAGAGATCGAGAACAAACATCTATTTCGAAAAAGAGATGATCATGGGGAAAAAAAGAGACAATGGGGACAAAGCCGCGCCCTCCCATCTCATCTTGTAGTCACCATATACCCTGACAAGCTACTTCTTTGGTGTTCCAGCCGCTTCTTGTTCTTCACAACAGAACAAAGCACAGTCAAAACTTCTTTATTTGTTACATTTTATTACATTTTTTTTACAATTTTTTTTGGGGGGGGGGTGGCAATGGAACGACATTTTTTTTCGAAAATGAAAACATTGTAATTCCTTCTCAACTATCACTTAAATAGCACCTTCCAAGTCTGTTAATACAAAAACGTTAAAATAATTTATGTTCACTTCCGATCAACAATTGTCAAACACCTTATCAGAACACGCTCTCCTCGGATGAGACATCAGTTAGTTCATTCTCATTATTTGTACAGCTCATTCTTAACAGACTCCAACCGGCCCAGCGGTGCTTAAGGTAATAAGATTGATGTTCCTAATGTGCATAGATAGCTCAATGACAAATTCGCCACCTTAAAAATGGGGGCGGGGGGTGGGGACTGTTACTAGGAACAGGGAAAAAATGCCCAATAGCTGACCAGCAAGTCCCCAGCAACGATCCCGGAAACAACTGCAGCCAGCAGGCATTTGGGCACCAATTCCTTTCTTGTTTCTAGGGGACCTGTCATTATTTATCGCCTGGGGGGGGGGGAAATTTGATGGGCACCAATTCCTTTCTTGTTTCTAGGGGACCTGTCATTATTTATCGCCTGGGGGGGGGGGGGAAATTAATGGGATCACTTGATTTTCAGGAGAACAAAAGGGGGGATCAGTCATAACTGCCAAAAACTTTGGAAGAATTCAGAGGGGGGACCACTCAAATTTGCTTGGAAAATGAAGACATTAGTGGGAGGATCGCAAAAGTCATCAAATGTTATTAGGGGGGATCACTTCAGTGAAGTAACATTCAAAGGGGGGATCGGCTAAATTTCACCTTGTTTAGCCCCAAATCCTCCACCCCTTCCCAGGCGATAAATAATGACTGGTCCCTAAAGTGTGAAATTCTCTTTTGGTACCCAGGCTACCTCCAAATGCCTGTCTTCTCCTTGCTTGAATGGTGGCTCATGTGTGGACACCTGTCTGATTGGCTCTCAGATCACCTGCCTATGCAGGTTGGGAATTACTGGTGACAGGTGTCAGTCATACAAAGGTAATACTAGACATAAGGTCAGCAAGAACAACTGTTGTATTCTTGAAAACGGCATAATTAAGAAGGGCAAAGAAATTAACAATGGGGTGAGCACTTAATGATTTCAGTTATGGAATTTTGAAAACTGGACACCTACAACTAGACACAGTTATAAAAGATGAATCTTTGCAGGCAAATTTTTTAAATCAAGTCTTAAGTATATTAATAAAGTTGTCTTCGTTCAAATTGCCCTCTTTCTTAAATTTGCACCACACATAACTGAACATAATGAAAATAGGGAATCAAAATAGGTAAAAATACTGCAGCTATAAGAAATGAAAGTCATAGAGTGTATAGTTTTTCCCTTTAAGAACACGGGAAGTGCCTCGTATAAGCCTTAGCCTCTCTTTTGTGGTATTTATGCTCCCCCTAGACCCACCAGCTGTTGGTGTTTCTAAAGCTCGCAACATCTGCATGGTTTGATTGTGAGTACAAATAAGCGCGGCCCAAAGTCATATCCACCATCACCCTAGCTAAGCTACAACACTAAAGAATTCCAATTCTAATCATTATTTTCTTCAATTTTTTATGGCATCGGATGATGAATAACTCAACATTTTACTGGTCAGGAATGTCCTTATCGCATTTCTCTTCCGTTTTCATTCCAGCTGATTTATTTCATTACGACATGGTTTTCCCGAGTAAACATGGTGCCAGTTTTGCAGCAATCACCTTGGACAGTACAATTGAAGTGTATACTATGACGTTGTGCATGTGGCTTCAAACAATTGATCCGGGGCCTTTTCATCTCTTTTCCTACATGACGTTTGATGGGACTAGAGAACTGTCTTTAGGATGTGAAAGTAGTGAAGATTGTGAACTGGTATTGCTTCATGAATCCAGGTTAGTGTCTCAGCCAGATGTTCACCGTCACATTATGTTTGAGGCCACTTTTGTTGCGACCTCCATGCACTAGCACATATCATCCTCCAGTACACAAGTCCACATAGACAGCTCCGTGTCCCAAATCACGAACAGTAACAGAGCCCTGACTTTGAGTACAAACACATATCCATAGCCCCATTTTCCAACCCATTAGCACCAATGAACAGACCCGTTCTCCGTGTATTAGCACAAATTCAAAGCCCTATATTTTGGCATTAGCACAGTCTTCCATCTTCAAGCACCTGACATTGCCCTGTCCCATATGCTTTAGCATAGGCATAGGTACAGATGTATTGTCCAGTCAGTTCCCCCTCAAAAGCACAGCTGTTCCTTGCATTAGTACAGGTGCACAGCCCCCTTTTTCCATGTGATGGTCAACCACGTCTATCCAAGTCTGTGTTGCACACGTACTGGCAAGATTCACAGCCACATCTTTCATGCATTTGCAGAGATGTATAGCATCTTTTTGTAGCATATACACACCCTACGGTTAACCCAGTCTGTTTAAAATCCAGCGTGTTATGCAGTGGCTGTTTTGGAAATATGTGGAACTTTACAGGAGAGAAATTATTCATGATACCAAAGGAAAAAACATTATGTTCTTTCTAAAGCTGTGTTCACACTTGATCGGATAGCTTTTGCGCCGCCAGATTGGGTTTCTGTTCACACACATGACAGTTGCGGTGGCGCGATTCCTGTGACTGGGGTGAAGGTGCACCTCACCGATCACAATAGTGGAGCATCACACATTGGATAGGAGTTTTTGCCATACTTTGGTGTCCTACATGCGAACACTTATTCGGCCTGTCACGGAAGTTAATAAGCAGTAGCAAGGACTGGAATCCACTTAGAAGGAAGTAAATATTGAAAAGTGAGCACTGGAATTTAGTGTACCAAACCCTCTCGGCCAACCGCGCCAGTACGATGTTTGATGGGTGAATGACTTGTACAGCCCCAGGTTGTTGCTGTTTATTCTATACCAGATGACTTTTTGTGGTGGCATGGTGTAGTGTGAATATAGCCTAAGCCACTCTAAAGTGCATAATTTTTTAAAACTGGTGCGGAACTCTCTAGAGCCTTTTTGAATGTTACTTTAACTTTACAGTTATTTAAAAATAATATCCTCTTCTCGACAGAAAAGTTAGCCTGATATCTATAAATGATGGGAAATGGCGTTGTGTTTGCCTGACTTGGGGAAATCGAGCAGGGAACTGGACCTTATACCTTGACGGTGCACGAAGAGCCTATGGAAGCAATGTAGGAACTGGACAGGCAATAAGCGGAGGAGGAAGGCTGGTACTGGGTCAAGAACAGAAGAATTCTAGTGCCCAGTTCTTCAACTCGACCAAGTCATTCATTGGCAACATCTCGCAGTTTTTCATACAGAAGAAAATGTCGGCTAAGCGTCTAGTGAAGAAACTGTCGAGTGACTGTCATGGCAACATTGAATTGGATAAAAGTGTTGTCTTTTGGAGCGAATTGCTAAATAAAATTCGGGGTCAAATACAGATTCAACGGAATTCGACGTGCAATGCTTCAGGTATAGTAAAGGTATTGTTAAAATTCACACACAGAAATTCCATACTGATGACGAGAGACGTGTCACTACCCAGACCCAGATCTGGGTACTGCTCCTGATTGGATGAAACAAATTTTCAACCAATCAGAAACACTACCCAGATCTCATTGGTATTTTAATTCTGGGCTTGTTTCTCAGACATCATTTCACAGGGAAATCAGTGATGATGGTGTCTTAAAATGTCGGATGTTATCTCAGGCTAATAAAATACAGTGAAAAATAATAAAAGCAGCCACAAGGGTTAGTAACTCTCTGACTTTTCCTCCCCTATTTTCTGTTAAATGAACCCGCGCATAGCAGAAATCTGAGAGTCTCAATGGGCAGGGTTGTTAATAAGATTTCAAGTTGCCGGGTAAATACAACAAGTAGGCGGGGAATCAAACAGCTAGGGATTTCTTTTGGTTCTATTTTTCCTCTATTTTCCAATAAAAGTACCTGGGGGCCACTCTTTTAGTAGCCGGGGAAAATCCCCGGCCCCCAGCTCTTAATGACAACCCTGCTCAATGGGGTAGTGACCTGAACAGTTGACAGTTACATTTTACATTTACATTTACCGTGTACTGCCTACCCCTCACATTTGAGGATTATTGGCTGCGACAGTTGGTTTTTTGACGGCTAATTTGTTTGCAATTTTGATGGTTAACAGTTAGATTTTACAGGTTTTGACTGTTGACGGTTATCAGGTAAAAATTTAGTCCCAAGAGCATGGCTAGAAATTTTGGACAGGCATGCGCTCTCGAGACAGCATTTTGGCGTTACGTTGTGTCACAAAACGCCTCAATGTTTATAGGCTTTAATGGCAGAATAGAGTCGAAAATAGATACAAAATCAATCCTACCTCAATAACTGAATGTAAAATCCATTTCGTTCACTGCAATTCTGCTAGCAATCGAGGAAACCTAAAACTATCCCAGAGAATTGCACTTCTCCTGGTCGTAATCGTTGAGGTATTCAACCTTGAAGATGCGAAGAATTTCTGTAGGAGGCCCATATTATGGCGGAATGCTCAAAACGGTGAATCCAGCTTGCGATGAAGGCCTCCTTGTTCACGGCGACGTTGAATCTGTTGAAGCCAAGCTCTGAGAAACGCTAAAGGACATCTCTCAATCTGTTTCTGTTGTGGTATCCTTGTGTCTCAAACAAGCCAAAATAGAGCAAGCCATTCTCGGCTAAACCTCAAGATCTTCGCTGTGCCATATCTTGGCTACAATTCATCCAAATTTTCTCCAAAACCACTCGTTGAAAAGGTTGTTTCACGGACAGTTTATTGCCGCCATTTTTTGGGCAATACTTTCAGTCAGCAGCTTCTGTTGGACCACAAACATATCTGAATTTCACCACTCAAGGTGTTTCCTAAACCTACGAGCCCGGGAAACTCGCAAAAATTCAGCGGAGTTGTCCATTGCGTGACAGATTGTATATGAATGTCACGAAATTCGACGTCCGTGATTTCTGATTTCTTGGTGATCTCTAGCCATGTTAGGTAAAAATTAACTTCTCTATAAATCAATATGAACTGTTGTGTTTTGGAGGCTGTCTTTGCCTTTCACTTATATAAAATGTCCAGATATTTTCAGAAATAAGCAAGCTCTAATTTTAGTAAGACTTGTAAAGCCTAGAAAAATTCCTTTTTAGAACATGGTAACTAGTTCTTCCAGTTTAGAGATTCTTCAGGGGCCAGATAGTGACGGCTGACGGTTAAATTTTAGGCCATTTGACAGCTGTCGGTCAACCCCATTGGCACCCTCAAATCTGCGATCCAGCAGCGGAAGGTTGGCCTGCGAACAGCAGACGCATTTTCGTTCGTCGCTTCTCTCCCTCCGAAAAGTGACGACCGGAAATGTGTCTGCTGTTCGCAGGCTACTAGCCTGAGTATCAGGTGTTTCTGGGGAAAAGGGAAAAGATGGAAGCGAAAAACGGAGAGCTTTCTCTTCTCCTCCTCCTCCCCCTCCCCCATCTAAAATCTCCTCTCCCCACAGGCTACGGTAGGTAGAATGAGTGGCGTGGGCGACTGGGTTCCGGCTGGGCTCCATTTAATCTTCGATCAGGCTATAGTTTTCAGTTTGTTTGTTTTGTTGTCGTTGTTGTTGTTTTTCTTTTGGAAGAAAGACACGATAGGTTCCACCGTAAAACCTTCGGTGTGGTGCGGCCGGCCATTCCCACCCAGTCGCCCGGGGTTCAAATGCTCGCTCCGGTCAAGGTAGACTTTCAAAAAAGTCCTTCGTCCGATTGAAACTCGTGAGGTCGACTCGTAGCAAGTCTAACGTCAAGGTATCCCTCAGTTCAACTTCTGAGTCGATCATGATTATAACCGTATTTCCGGTTAAGTTGGGGTTCTCACTCAATTGGCCGGGGGAAGGTACTTCCCTATAAGAGGCTAATGGGGATGTGCCGCTGGATGGGGTCGCATTTTTACGACTGGACTGCCTATAATGGGGTCGCATTTTTGGTAGAGTTACTAAAATGGGGTCGCACATTTTCGGATTTTTGGGGGTAAGACAGTTCTTTATATTTCCGGTTAGCAAACGTACCAGAATGTTTGTACTGTAGACGACAAGTAAACTGTTCTTCCTTCAATCTAAAAAATGGGTCAATTTGTAAAAATAGAAAGTGACTAAGTTGGGATCGCGAATATTACATATTTGCCCAAAAGTGACTGACATGGGGTCTATTACTGGCCACAGAATAGACTATAATGGGGTAGGGGTTCTAAGAGGCCAGCGGCACATACCCAGCAAAAATTAACCCAAGTACACCCCCGGGTCAATTGGTAGGTTTTATTTAAAGCATCCCTTTTTAAAAAAATGAATAAATGAATGAATTATTGGAATTAAATGAATGGCTGGATGGATGGATGAATGAATGGTGATGTATCAAAAGATCAATCAATCTATGAATAGATGGATAGATAAATGGATCGATCGATTTATGAATGGATGGACAGATATTATTATAACTAACGATCATACACACATTCCCATTTACAATTCCAGGCGAAGAATCGAGATTTGTCCTGAATTTCCCAGCTCGTTCAACCAGCAACGCCGTTGTTCCACAAGCTTCAATGCCATCCATGACCGCGGGAACAATCTGCTGGTGGATGAAGAACAATTTGAATAATTACAATCTTTTTTCTTATGTCGCCCCCTCCGCTTCGAATCCAGCACTGGAGATTTACTTTGGCATATTTTGGAAATTCCAGCTTGGTTTAAAATCACCTAAGTACGTTACTATCCATAACTGTGGCAAAATACAATCATTATTGTTTGAGGTTAAATATGAAGCAGTATAAAAACCAAACTTAAGTTACGAATCGGGATGGCCAGAACTTCAAGTTGCAATGGTAAAACTAATTCGTAACGTGCACCTGGGGTGACGCTGATAGCTGCTGATAGTTCAAATTCACTTCAGTTTTAGCTAATTTGGTGCCGTGCGCAAAAGTAGGTATTGTATGAATTACGGTATATTTGGGAGTAAGAAAGCTCAGTAAAGGTGGGTTTTCATTTTGGCGTAATTTTTGCGCACGTATTGTAAATAGAATAGAGGCAATGTATGATGTTTCGCGCTAGTTCAAGAGGAATGAGCAGTACTCGGGCCGATACTCAGGGCTATAAAATAACTGAAAGTTGAAGGTAATGCCACTGTCCTGCAAAAGGTTAAACCTTTGGCCCGGCTATCTCCAGTAGATGCAAAAACAGTGCCCTCAATTATTACTTGCGTAATAAAAGTGGCTTTTATTTTTTTGGATAGGAACCCTGGAACAAACAATTTGTGAAAGCTTATTTACAGTTATGATAGTAAAGTTCCAAGATCGTGCATCCTCATTTAAATCAGTCTCAAGTATAATTGTACTTTATTATCCAGAAGCGAAAACCACAGCGAAAATATTCAGAGTAGTGCACAGTGAAAGTTTAATTTCTAAACTACGTACAGTAGAACCAGTAGAACCTCCGATAACGGCCACCTCTCGAGCTCTACAACGGCCACTTTCTACTGTCCTCAAGGTGGCCGTTGTAGAGAGGTTCAACTGTATCGCCATTGTGGACTCGGTTTGTATTTTGTTCCAGACTTTCGTATGAAGCACCATTCATCGGCGATGATTACTGGCATCACTTATGTGCGATGTGGGATACAGACACGACAGAGTGGAGCTTTTATCTTGATGGAGTGCACCAAATTTCTCAAACGAAAGGACATTTAAGTGGCTACATAGTACAAGGGGGAGGGACGTTTCATCTTGGACAGTTTGTGCAAAACGGAGCATACAAAGTAGCTAAAGCTTACCAAGGCTTGATAACTGGACTCAATATCTGGACGACGAGGCTCTCCTCGAGGACCGTAGCAGCGTTAGCCGAAGAGCCTGGTACAGAGAAAGGAGATGCGCTTTCATGGAGCATGTTTAGACGGGGTATAACAGGAGATGTGCAGATATACAACGACTATACCCTTGAAATGACAGGTATATGTGCTAGGTCTAGCCTTCCACGCAGGCGTTTTTTAGGGGAGCTCGAAATACGAGCTCCCCTAAAAACGCCTGCGTGGGAGCTCAAGGCTATGCTAGGTCTGGAAATGGTGGTGTTCTTGTCAAGGTTGATGATTATCAAAAGAGCAGTTCAACCAATGGCACCTTTAACGTTGTGTAACATTATTCGTCAATTATGATCAATTTTCGCTGTTTGAAAGATTGCAGACGTAAATCTTCCAAATTGAAGCCAAGAGATTTAAGACAATGTTTAAAAATGGAGAAAATTTGTCGAGTGAATATTAAACTAAATCAGGTAGTAATCAGTAAAGAATGATGTAAATTTCTAAATAACATGAAGAACGAAATCGTAATCTATTTGAAATAGAATGGTTACTTTGTGAAATACGGTACTTCACACCATCAGAAGCACCGCGAAACAATTAGCTTTTAAAAGCAACTGACAGAGAAAGTTTTATCTACTGGTGTGTTCATCGTTTTTGAACTGGACCTACAAATTTGGCTAAAATTTGGTGTTATTTACTGCATGAGTGGATAAAGTGGACCCTGGGAAAGTGGATTGGCCACCGTGGGAGGATTATGAAGCTGACCTTTCGAGCGCTAGCCATTCGTCAAATGTGTGCCTAGTACAAAAATATACCCTAGTCTTTGATTGAATGTGAGGCTGAGCCAGTTGACCATCCCTTGATACAAACCTCCTTGCTCTTTTTATAGAAATGATATCACGACATGATTTACGTAATAAAGTAGGAAGGCTGTATCAAAACAATTGAACTCCAACTTTGCTTCAACCAGCCGCAGGAAATGTTTTCGCCACTTTAGAACGAGAGGGAACCTGGGCCAAGTTAGATTTTGCAAAGACTTCTGGGAACGATCTGGCCAATTTTCTTTTCCCTGTCTCCAGTAGTAGTCCTAGAATTCTTTGCAAAAGTTACCTTTACCCAGTTTCTCCTCGTTTCTTAAGTGGCGAAATAGCCGCTTGGGCTGGGCAAGAGAGATTCTCTTGTGGGCTGAGCTGGGTAGGTCTGCGGCTTTGTGTGCTAGGCTGACCTAGAAGTGACTGAACTTGTTTGGCTTTTCTCTTCTGGTCAAATCGTTCATATTTTTAAGAGGTATGGTTCAAATATGAATTAATTAAATAACTCTCAGTTATGAAGGGACTATAAGATTCCCATCTACGCGTCCTGCCCCTAGCCCAAGGTTACCACCACTCAAACTCTTCCTTACTGAGCAAAACGTTGGATGAGAGAGCGGTCATGTAGCAGCTCTCCTAAATTACTGTGAGGTGGACAATTTATTGATCAAATGGATTGACTGTATTCCTATTTTGTTGCAGCCAGGGAAAGTGATTACACTCTTCGCTTTCCCGGATTCTCAAACAACTCAGCCTACGTTAAGTATAATTACGACTACGCGTATGTAATTACTTCCCTCAGCGCATGTGCCTGGTTTAAGACAACAGCTTCCGCTAATGAAATGACCCTTTTGTCGTACGCAACTAGTCAGCATTTGTCAGCTATTCAGTGGTCCATTATTAACGGGACAACCATTCTGATGAATATCAATTCTTGGAATCCCAGGTAAAAGCCCGGGGGGGGGGGGGTACTGCCATTTATGGGCTATACAGGTATGTGCCGCTGTGAAGGATATGGTTTTCAAGCAGTTTACTCTAGGATAGGGTATATAAATCAGAGCATTTGGCTCTAGAATAGGGTATCATTTTTCAGGAAACTGATCAGTTGGTTGAAGATTTTATCTAGACTAGGTACACAGCTACTCTAGGATAGGGGGGATTTGGGGAGTTTACTCTAGTATAGGGTAGCAAAATTCAGCTGAACTAGCTCAGGTAAAGGTTAAGGGTTCCAGGCTCCCAGCGGCACATCCCCACCCAGAAATTCCTAAAGTACCCCCCCCGCCCCCGGGGTAAAAGACTTTCAAATCATCCAATACAACATTACCTTCCTTATATTAGTTTGTAAAATACAAGTAACTCTTCTCATCGCATAGGACAATTCATAATTAAGCCCAAATGGATCTTTAAAGAACCATTTTGAACGACTCCATGGTCGTGTTCGAACACTTTTTCGGCCGTTTTTGGTTGAAAGGCGATTGTGACTGGTTAGAGTGATGCATTTTCAGATGGATTTCTCTGGATCTGCTACCAAGGTTGGGTACATAGCGAAAGGAAGAATGATAGCTGCAGTTCCTCTTCAACAACTGGTGTCAAAACGTTTCAGTCTTACCTACGACCAGGCGATGACTATAAGTGCCTGTTTACATGGAGGTGGGGGACCCCTGGTAGGTGAGGTAACCCGCTTAGGTGGGGCGACCCGCCTGTCCATACAATCACTTATTTTTATTTGATCACGTTTACATGATAGGTGACTATATGAAAGATTTCATGGAAAGGCGAATTACCTCACCTAAGTAGGTTACCTCACCTACCTGGGATCCCCCACCTCCATGTAAACAGGCGCTAAGAATATGTAGCGGAACTTTTGTCGGAAACGGAGACTGGACGTTGCAAATTTTTTTTCCATTTACCCCGAATGTGCCCGATGTCCTCTTTTTTAATATCTCCCATTTCCTATTCCTCTTCCTTTTTTTTAATCATGAGCGCTATTGGGTTCCGAACCCCAAAGCACAAGCTCCTGAATAGACCGTTTATATGAAATTATACCATGTTTATTCTTTGACTTTGTAGTTTAAAAAATTTTAAACTTTCCCTATTAAATACATATAATATCTTACGTATGTTTGTTAGTTCTGTAGAAGTCAACAGCATTCTGAATGATGGCAAATGGCATCACGTGTGTATTAGTTGGAGGTCCGTGGGAGGTTCGGTGTGGGTGTATGTCGATCAACGCCTGGATAACACAGGGTCTGCGTACAAAACAGGAGAATATATCGGGCGTATAGGAACTTTTATGATTGGACAGGTTCAAACTTCAGTTGGTAGGTCTCGTAGGAAACGTCTAGATTCTTTTGCCTACAATGAAGTTAAGATTGCTTTCAGCCTCGTACCCAGGCTGAGTTCGCGCTATCCCGACAAGACAGCTGACGTCACATCCGATATCACCGTTATCTCGTACCCAGATCTCACTCCCAGTTCTTGGCCGTGGGAGATCTGGTCACGAGATTAATATCACCAGGGACAACTGAGAACGAGTCTGGATTGCTTTAATTAATTGCGAATTATAGTTGCGGTTACACAGGACACTTTCCATGGTAAATGACCCTTTTACCGGGGAGAATTGCTGAAGTGTGTGTGACCGGACTTTCCCGAGATAAATTTACCATGGGAAACATCCATGGATACCTCAAAAAGAAAAGAGAAACCTCCCATGACATTAAACGTGGTATTAAGCTAGGATGTTTCGATACCCCAGGGCAAGAAAACCAATCAGGATTCTTCATTGGACAACAACATGAGAAAGCAAAGAAAGTTATTTATTTTAAGAGGTTTCTTTCGCCATGTTTCGGAAAGATCGATGTTGACATGGCAGTTTTTACTTTATCTAAAGGTAAATTTTAAGGCAAGATTTCAGGTGATTTTTTTGGCCAGAAGTATACGTAGGAAAGATATTTACCAAAAATATGTTCTATTCGTGACAGATATTCGAAATGGGCTGAAGATGGAATCTAAGGCCTAGATTTAAAAACAAAAAATGGTATATACCTACGCAAAGTTATCAGGACTAACGTACGGGATGGAATTTTGCTTACATCATACATAAATTTTCTCAGAACATGAAATCCTGCTATGATAGACGGCGATTTGATTGGCGCAATAGGGTCGCATCAGCGCGAATGAAGCCATATAAGCGGCTAATTTACCATATAAGTCGGCATAATTTACCTTGATTAATTGATTTGCTCTTTTTTTTTTCAGTGGGAAATGCCTTTCACCACATCATCTTACCAAAATAAAACAAGAGGAATGTCTTGTTTTATCATTTTCCTGATTTTGACCGGCGTTTTTAAAACTTTCTCAAACTTTCTTCGAGAACATCATAAAGTGAGCTAGTAAAACCTCATGACTCAGTGAGATTAAGACTTGCCTGACGACAGAAGCAACAAGTATTTTAATCAAAAATATAGCCTGTGAACAGCCACCGACCTTCCCCTCAGAAAAAATAGAAGAGTCGTCGATGGTTCATTAGACTACGAGCTCGAGCAGTCTCTCTTTTCTTCTTGGTCCATCGAGCAAAACAAGCGAGACAAGCAAATGACGACGCTCGTGACTCACGGCGCGAGACGTCCGCGCGCGCGTGCACCCCCCCCCCACCCCCACAAAATATGACGAAAAAGAGACTGCTCGCAGTCTAATGGTTCACCGTTGCTAATCTTCTGTGTAGACCACGTGATTTTTCCCGGATTGTGCGTAAAATGATTCTGAGGGGAGGCGACACCTGTATCCAGGCTATCGACGGAAAATGGCTTTCAACCTAAATAACCTAAATCTTTTTTCAATCGTAGGGAATCTTTCAGTTACTATCATTTTACAAACGTTTTCTAACATATTTCAACACAGGGATCCCAAGCTCGGATACCACCAAGGCTTTTGTGGGTGAGATAACACGACTGAACGTTTGGAAAAACAGAATGGAGGTAACTGAACGAGCAAGGATCTTGGGCAGAGGGTGCGGCTTTTGGAATGGGAACGTTCTACCCTGGTGTGAACTGAAATCCAATCTATTTGGAAATGTAAACCTTATCCCCAACTCCGAGTGTTTTATTCCAGGTTAGTTTACATTGGCACTTTTTCTGTTACAGTGTCTTTCCGAAAGGTGGTCGCATACTTACTGGTACCATTACTTGAAATTGACTCAGTGATTCTCTGTTACTACACACGCTTAACCTAAACGGTACAGCAAGCAACCCCATCGTTTTTATGGATGAATTCCCCCTGAGAGGGAAAGAGACACATGATTCGTTTAAAGTCGTCTATTATCATTTGTACGCGCGGTTGCGGATCGCAACCTCGTCCCAGGGCTTTTCCCTTAAACAAATGGAGGTGAAAAGCCTGGGGAGGGGGTTACGCGGATCGGTCACCTTTCCTTTGTGCTTCCCGCGTTAGTATTTTTTAAAACGAAAGATAAAAGAAGCCAACATGAGATGACTCAGCGATGTATAATCAGTTTCCTTAGTGTGTTTTTTACATTTTGGTCAATTGGCTTGGCTGTTGTAGTGACAGGGAAAAGGTTAATTAATAAATTGCAGTCAAGGCAAGTCAAACTTCCCCGGTACGCTAGACCCATGGAACTAGCTGCGTTGTTGATAACGGACATTAAATCGAGTTCAGAAAAAAGCTGAGTCAAGAGCTTACAAAAATTTTAGCACCCCGCGTGTGAATTCACTACTCTTGATGAGTATGCTGAGAATGTAGGATTCAATTTTCGAGAGATTAATTCAGTGATAAAATCAAGGGAGATAATGACCCACTATCCTTTCTTGTTAAAATCTACGGGGGCGGGTACGCTTGTATAACACGCAAGAACTTAATAGACAAGATTCACGTTCTCGTGAGCCTTAATTCCCAACCTCATATCCCCCCGCCCCCGTACTCAAACACAAGCCTTGCGCCGGAAGCTATAGTTGTACTTACACTAGGGACCTTAAGCAACGGCAACGACCACGGCAGTGAAAACATCACTTAAAAAATGAATTTGCGTCCTTTTTAACTTTATCGCGTCCATTTGGGACCGCTGAACTCGTCAAATGTGGGCGATTTTTCCTGGAGTTGACTGATTCTTAAGGGCTTTATCCATGTTCAAATAGAAAAGGGAAGATTTGTCATAGTATGTCCACGTCCTCCATAAAACATCGCATTGGGTGGTTTCACGTCGTAGTCGTGCAGTGGACGTCAAAGAAATGTACTAAAGAGCGTGATGCACGTGCAGAGCAGTTGTTTTGCTCATAAAAGCAATTGTTTTTTGACGTTGTTGTTGTTGTTGTCGTCGTCTTTGCTTAAGGTCCCTATTATCAACTTTTTTCCTCCTCGTTTAGACGTTATTGTACAAGAACGACGCAACGAAATGTGTCAAAACAGGATCACACCCGGCCTTCACTGCCATGGCCAAAAAATCTACTCAATATTTGATTCTGATAATCAGTTAAATGGTGGAAAGCGTCTGCGGTGTTACGTGGAGGACGCCCTGACAAGCAGTGAATTACATTACTTTAAAATATACGACACAGCGGGAGACTCAACGTGCTTCCAGGACTTGGTACAAGAGCTTCTTAATATAACACGATGATTCAAAGAACAAATCTGTTTCAAGGACATGCATAGTACAAGAGATTGTTTACTAGGTATCGATGACCCCTGGACTGACCACATGGATTATAGGGTCGTTTATAAACGTTGTGTTAAGGACTGAAAAGGCTAGGGAACCGCTATGAATAAAAAGCTCGAAAGCTTATACCAGTTTGTTTAGTGCGGCATCACGAATTGCAGCGAACGAGTGAGATTTCTGATACAAAAAATAGTGCGTAAATACAGTACAAGGCACTTTTTTCCCTCCACACCTCTCTGGATTCATTCATTTCTCACATGTGACATCCGTTCGCTCCTCTGATTGGCCAGAACTCATTTCCGTCCGAAAATTTACAACATGGCTTTTAGTAAGTAAATCTCAGTGTGTATAGGATAAACTACAAGGAACCACGATATAAAACGCTATGTATTTTAGAGTTATTCGTTTAAATGTAAGCCGTTAGTATTTTTATGATGATTTTGCTTGCGAGTGACGAATGGCATTTGTAGTCGCCTTTAACCAGTGAAACATGACCTTTTGGGGGCAATAATTGCGCGTTTCTACTGAATAAACATTAATTTGCATTTTTTACGATTATAGCATTTTAAGTGATAATTTAGCAGTACACGTGTCTTCACGAAGCGATTTAACCGCTTAGTTCATTAAAAGTCAATTTTTGACACCCTTCTCATTCAAATGTTAAATGGCGCCCTTCCAGCGGGGAACGCCCTGGGGACCATGGGCTATAGGAAACATATATAGTTTTCGACTTAGTGACTGCGCTTGCATGGAGGTGGGGGACTCCAGGTAGGTGAGGTAACCCGCCTGTCGATAAAAAAAGAGAGAGAGAGAGAAACGGGTGTATTCGCAGGCTACATTCTCGCCTACTCGGGTAGCTAAGAGGATTCCCTTCATCTTATCCCTTTGCGGATTCAGACTGCATATACTAAGGATAAAAATTAATGTTGTCCGTGTATACGTATTTCCGCCACTTGGAACGACCATCCCTTACTACGGTCATGGGCACCCAAAGTCAATTTGCGGAAAATATCTGTTCGAAAGACAATTTGAGATCTAGAATTTTCGGAACATTTGTTGTAAGATTTCTTGCTCGCCTGCCTCTCCTAGGATTTTAGAACATCTAAAAAATGGTATAATTGCCCATTTTTGACGGATTTTTATCCTAAAAAGGTAACCTAGAATTTTCGGGCCGTCTTTTTTCTGGCTTAAATTTTCGAAAAGGTAAGTTTTGATCCCTATAATTCTCGGATCACTAGACTTTCAGCTAGGAAATCCGACCAGATGAAAAAATTTTAGGGGATAAAAATATGCCTATATCTACGTTTAACAATGCTATGTTTAACTGGTTTTGAACTATTTTCTCGTTGGGTGCCCCTGTACGGTAAGCTACGCTTCATTGTGTTTTTTCGGATTGGCCTTTAAAGGGAGTATACTAAAATAGCCAGGCCAAGGCCAAGACCACTTTTAACTAGCTTGGCCCGAAATAAGCCTGCGCAACAAGCTTACCCCGCGTAAGCAAAGCTCTTTGTTGTAAAAAACGTTTTAAGCTGAAAAATGCCTGTCATTTTCGCGCGGAAATCCTTCCCATGACGCTGACCGAAACGAGGGGTCACCCCTGTCATTATAACTCTGTCAAGTAAGCAGTACTTTCCAGATGCGCCCTTACTGTAAGTGTAAAGGGTATACTTTGGTGACACGAAATCCCTGCGTTTCACCACTCATAGACACAAAAAGTCATGATGTTTTTTCTTTTCCAGGTTTATAGTATACCTGAGAATTAAAAAAAAAGATATTACTGTCCTTTAAAAATTGGTGTCATTGCAGGCCTGCAGGCTGAAGGCACACTGTGTTGTGACAGCAGGTCAGATGACATTGGCGCGTGGGCAGTGGTAATGTGATCTCGCGACTATTCATTTCATCCTGACGGATTTCTTTCTTAGAACACACGAAGTACTTCATCCTTTCGAACGAGTACGTGCAGTCCGTGTTACGATACTGAGCTTAACCATGGCCAACCTTGTTCGTCCCTTTTTGTTGCTGTGTTTTCTCGGATGCTCCTTGACCGTCGCTGGTAAGTGTCGTTAGAACATGACATTTTAAATGCCTTTTATTTCAACGTAAAGTGTTGTTAGGGGAAGCGTTTGCTGATCAATATCATTCACAGCTCACAATATGGCTGCATGCCATCATGCTTTACCTAACAGTACTGGAGAAGGGTTAGTTATGACTATACTTGCATGAGACATGTCATCTTTAGATCATGATAAGTGAATCTGATAAATTACTACGTAAAGAAAGTAACATCATGATTGGGGTAACATTGTACAATCAATTTGGAATTATTTCCATGGTGTAATTTCATTTAAGCAGTACTACTTGCTTAGTCACTGTTATTCTTCGATACTGCGGACTCAATTGACGTCTATCCCATCATCAATGCATGGTTTTCACTTTTGCCTGGTAGCGACTTCTATAACAGATCCCGGGGGGTATTCTCCTTTATGTGGTCTATACGGGGATCAGTGCTGCTAGACAGGGTATGGTTAATTTTTTACCTCTGCGTCCTAGACAGGGTATATAATTTTGCACAAGTCTGTCCTTAAACAGGGTTTATAATTTCGTTCGAGTCTGTCCTAATTATGAACAGGGTATTTACCTGCAAGATTGATTTGATTTACTTGATGAAATTTGCTTGTACTCCAAGTAAACAGAATAAAAGACTATAACGTGAATTTGCTCTATTGCAATTACCAACAAATGGCTTTAAACCTAGACGGGAGTAAATTTTGTCCTTCGTCCTAATCAGGGTAATAAATCGGAGGATGTTATCCTAAGCAGAGTATGTATTTTAGGAATTTTTTGTCCTAAACAGGGTGAGGATTTCGCACTCTCGGCGGTCCACCTATACCCAAATATTGCAGGGTCGAGCACTCCCCGCCCTCCGCCCTGGGTAAATAGATCAACAGTTTAATACGAGACAAGAGAATTAGCCCTGCAGGACGTTCTAGTAATGAGATTAAAAGAGGGAAGGCAGTTCTTATTGAACCCCGTTTAAGAAGGATTTTACTTTCTAAACGTTGTAGCATAATGTTAATTATACCCTGTTCTTGGAAACGTCTGGAATATGGAAATTTCTTTCTCGATAGGGAGTACAAAAGCCCATGGTTAAAACAGTCAAAGTCACAGTCCAATATACATTTTTCATTGAGATCGTCGGGATCTTTGGTTTCATATGTAACGAGGGGACGGGTGTTGGGGTTTATAGCGGTGGGAGAAGGATGGTGCCGTCCCCCACGCCCTTATTTTTTTTTTTAACAAGACGGCAATGAAAACGTCGCTAGAAAATTTAATTTGCTGTCTTTTAAACTTTATCGCGTCTTTTTGGACCCGCTCAATTTGTCAAATGTAAGCGACTTTTAGAGACCTGCTAGACACAGGGTAGCCTCGGCATACATAAACTGTTTTTTTTTTTCACCTTTTATGTTAGATCCAAGCTGTGGTGGCGTGCTAACAAACTCGTCTGGTTTAATCACGACTCCGAATTATCCAAACGACTACCCAGATAACATCACCTGTACTTGGCAGATCTCTCCCGGAAAAACCCATTTGAACGTAACCATCGAGGACTTTATGGTGAGTAGACAACAGAGAACTTTGTAAACAAGCTACCGTTATGTAGAGGCCTAGAAAAACTCTGTGTTATAACCACGCTTCTTCTTTTCGGTCACAACGTAAAAGAATTCAGCCATAAAAACATTGTTTATTCGACTTGTTTTTCCGTGGTGTTTGGGTGGTTGCATAAAATAGCCACGAAGTTTTATTGTACATTACTTTATCAGCTGCGTCTCTTGCATTGAATCGAAGGGTTATGCTAGATGGTAGCTTGACATGCTTACTGTAACTACGTTTAGCTTTCTTAAACTTGTTCCCAAGGTCTCTTTTGTCCTCACTTAAAAAAAGAGAGACTCAGGGAACGAGGGCGGACTTAACGTTGTTTAATGACATCACTGAATATATAGAAGCCCAGGCTTCACGGGGACGACAACCTTAAGTTGGGCGAAGCGCGGTAAAGAAGACAAAAGACAATGGTAAAAGGGACAAACCCAACAATATACTATTGGAGGTAATCATTAAATCTGAGCATTATCGTTTTAGCCATCAACACTGTATTTTAAACATCTGGAACAGGCAAAGATAAAAACAATACATATGCAATTTTCCACTCAAATACCGCATTTACTCGAATAAGCGCCGCCCTCGCATAAGCGCTACATTAAGGGACAAAAACTTTGATAAGCGCCGCGGCCGCGATATAATCAAAATCAAGATGTTAATTATGTTAGTTTAATATGGAAAAATAATAATAGCGTACTTAAAAAATCTTTGTCGCGTCCAAATTTCAAATAAACGCGGCCCTCAAATAAGCGCCGCCCTTGAATAAGCGCCGCATTTGAATCGTGAAAATTTTGGTACGCGCCGCGGTGTTTCTTCGAATAAATACGGTACAAGAATCGATACTGCGATGACGTAACTGGAAATCTATTTTAAAATTTCTCTCTTTTTCTTACAGCTTGAGGATTCTCAAACTTGCCAAAAGTTTGATTTCCTTAAAATCGAATTTAAAGTCGGATACAACCGGCAACACGTGACCTTGTGTGGACAGGAACCCTCTCGCCAAGTCAGTTTAAAGATAGATGGGACAGAAGTTAAAATGATTTTTCACAGTGATCCTTCTTTTGCTGAAAGAGGCTTCAAGATCAGCTACCGGGCTTATGGTTGGTATATCAATTATTATATATGAAGTAAAATATACCGCGGCAGAGTTGGCATCTGATGATGACAACCTCACGTATCTCGACACACCAAAGCAACAGCGTTAACACCATGAACCTAAGATACCTTAAGCAAAAGATTTTCGTTTTTGTTTTCCTTAATAACATTCTGCAAAATTGCAGCTGCGAACGAATTCTAAACAGTTGTTAACGGTAAGAAAAAGAAAATTTTATAATACACTTTGACTCTGAAGATGACTACCGCACAGGTTGTCGAAACGCCAGTCACTGTCAACAAGAACAGTCTTATTCAGGACTACGTTCACCCGGACGAGCATACTAAATCAACTTATGAAATGACTCCTGGGTTCAAACCTTTCACAAAATGAAAATTTAAACATAAAATTTCTTACCTGCGTTTGATAACAGTGTTTATTATAAATATGGCTGAACCCGCGAGTGGGCGAAATGAAGCGAATCCTGTCTTCTCATTGGCTACCTGAGCGCGCAAGACGAGTCCATCTTGCCCGCTCGGGATTTCCCACTTTGGTCCCGCGAGAAAAAGTTCCCTTTTTGGCTATATAATAAATCCTTTATTGCCTAAGCTTGATCGGTCAAGGTGGCTGGAGGTCTATTGGCCTCGTTCTTTAATTTTTTGCGTTTTTATTGACCTCGACTTCTTCTCGGCTACAAATATTCAAAAAAGAACTTGGCCAATATTCAGTCATTTCGGCCTCGTGTTTGGTCAATAAGGTAGCGTATGTATTGACTCTCTCAAAGAGGTTTTACACAAAGCTCGAAGTTTGTTATCAGTGAATAGCCTGCAGAAAACCTTCCTTAAAAAGAACCATGAATTTCTGCCCTTTCATGAGCAAAAAACAGCATTCAGAGTCCCTACTGATGAAACATTTCCATAGACAACAAATATCAACATCAGTATTGAAGGAAAGTCTCCAAAATTTACTAACAAACTAACGCAAAGCAAATGATGTAGCCATGCGTAGTGCAAGTTGAGCCAAAGAGACTCAGGACTCAACATTTCGCTAAGAAAAGTTTTATGGCCACTTATTTAAAGCCACGTTCTAAGTAATTTCCAGTTTGTCCCTTAATTCTATGGTTGTGGTATCTAAGCGTTCTTTGCTGCGAACAGTGCTAAGAAAACATGACTTGCAGAATGGAAAGAAACATCTATTTGAAGCAATCCACCTACAATGGAAAGATTTAAATACAGCTAATACCGCTAACTATCTATTCTTTTCTTTCCCACATCACCATCCATTTGTCTCGGCTTAGTTCATGGTACATAAAAACATCAAAGAAAAACTTTCATTGCAGATATCGATCCTTGCTTGGAGAAAAATGGTGATTGCTCCCATTTTTGTAACTTGGTTAAGGGAAAGCGGATTTGTTCGTGTCCCAGTGACTATAAACTGAAGTATGATGGGCGAACCTGTCAAGGTTAGTATCGAAAAGACTTATGCCTTTGTGTAGAGAGGGAGGGATATGTTGTTCCTTTGTGCTATTGGAGTTTTGGGGAGGGAGCGGGGGGACTTGGTAAAGAAAAAACTCCGCTCGCCAAAGTTTCGCTATCGTGAGGGTAACTCGCCAATTTTTTATTATAATTGGTGGACGGTATCCAGTGACAAACAGTGTTCGATCATTGCTCACATCGTCGACTAAACGACCACAGAAATCCTTGCCCCGAAAGATTGTTCCTATTCTTCCTGGAGTGACAGGCAGTTCCCAGGGGCCCTTTTACTCAAAAGTCCCAGAAACTTTTCAGGCCCAAAATCAAATATTCAAGTTAAATTCTTAAGAATTAAAGTACGGACCTTAGCTAACAAACCAGTCAATTTTGGTTTTGTTACTCTGATAGTTTTAAGTTAACTGCCAAACTACTGAAACCTCGATCTCGAATGTAAACAACAACGACAATTTTCCGGGCTCGTTAATTATTGGAATTTCGAGAAACGGGCCGCAGTGGTGTCAACAGAGGTGGATCTAGGGAGATCTTTGGGTGTTCGTGCTTACAAACTCCTTCGGCCAAAATCCTACAGTCAAACACATGCCAAACAAGAGCGGTATTCTCGCGTGGCTGAAACTACACTTGTCCAGCAGCTGTGTCTGAGAACGCTTGTACTTACCTGCAACGTTTACTAAGTTGTTCGGCACTGCACATCTTCTCTAGGTCTATGGCTGCCTAGCTACATGTATTAAACCTGTAACTTCAATATACGCCGAATTTTTGTTATAGGCGCAAAGAGTTGCTACTTCGTGGGATACTCTAAGTGCCCTTATAGCTCCAGTAGTACTTGTAAAGACCTCCCCGACGGAAAGACTAGGTGCGAATGTTGGCGTGGTTACAAAGAGCAAAATGGCAAATGTCAAGGTAAGCACCAGAGCCTAGCCTGCGACTGTTTGGCGCGAAAAAGTATGGGGCGCGAGATAAGCGATGCGCGCGGGAGAGAGGAAACATCTGTCCAACTGGCGAATAGAAATTGTTCCGAGAGCGAAAAATTCCCATTGGCGTTTAGCACTCCGAGGGAAAAAAGTGTTCGTTTTGGAAGATTACCAATCAGTGAAAGGAGAATAAACGAGTCAAAAATAGTATTGAGGGGTATGTCAAAAGATTTAATAGATTGTTAAATGGCTATCAACGTATCACTCAGCCCTAGTGTAACTGACTTTGAAAGGTGGAAACGGGCTTGTACTAACAATGTGTTACTCTGTTTACTTAAGAAATTGATGAGTGTAAGGAGAAGCCAGGTAGATGTGGAGTGGGAACCTGCAGGAACTACAGAGGCTGGTTTAGTTGTCGTTGTCCAAGAGGATATCGACATAGTGGATCGACATGTACCGGTACGTGATGCACATACATTAAATTTTTGTTTGAGTTATATCCTTCCATTGATGCATTAATTTTTAAAGCAGTTAAACTGGACAACGTTTTGGGCGAAAAGTCCATTTGACGGCCTTCGCTGTTGCTCTTTGCAGATATTGATGAATGTAAAGATTACAGAGCGCCAGATTGCGGGGAGGCCACATGCCTGAACACCCCTGGAAGCTACGTCTGTCAGTGCGCGCCTGGTCACCAGCTGATTAATTCCGCTTGTCAAGGTAAGTTCATTCAACCATAAATCAAAGAGAAACGCGCTTCTTTCTTCCCTTTCCGTTTCTTGAAGCTATAATGGCAGACGCAAGTGTTCAGAACGCTTAGATAAGTAACGCCAAGTTCATGTATCTGATGTACTTCCGAATGCTGCTTCGGTTAGTCGTGCTTAGAAATACTGCGTCGGAGGACGCATGTAATTAATCAAAATCAAATTTATAGAATGTGTCTAAACTCAGTTTCACTCACTCACTGACTTCCCCTTTGATCCGCAACTATCTCGGTACCACAGCGTCCTACCTAAGCTCAATCACTTCAGTCTATCATTCGGGTCTCTTATAATCATTACGACAGTAAATTACCTCAAGGCCACACAGAACAGGTCTTGATCGGATCGAGATTTAACTGAGTGGGAAAAAACTTTATGTTTTATAGATATTGACGAATGTAGTACAGGTACTCATGGATGTGATCACATGTGTAGCAACACCAAAGGCTCCTACATATGTCGCTGTCGCCCGGGATATTTCCTTGATAGCGATGGCAAATCCTGCCGAGGTATTTTTCAGCTCTTTAATTTAAGAACAGCTTTAATTTAATAAGTATTGGAGGATGAGTGAAAGGCATACGCGCCTAACAGCTTAACGTAACAACAAACGTATTGTAAAGTTATTTACCGATGACGCGATCACGTGACTTAAGCGGAGACCAGGTGTAGAGTATCAAGCTGCCCTCCCCTCAGTAAAAATCGGAGAAGGGGCGTCTGTGATTTACCTTCGCTAATCGTGTATGGAGGCCACATGATTTTCCCGGAATGTGTGGGAAACGATTTAATTGGCTGTTACTCGTAGATGACTACCTCATGTAAATGAGGGATCTCGATTGGCTTTAGGGCCTGTCGTCAAAACATAGCAGGCAACCAGAAAATCATCATGCAGCACGCGAGAATTTACTGCGCTTGGTTGCTCGCTGAAATCTTTCCGAAATATGTTAATGCTGTAGAATGGGAGAAAACAATAAAGAGGAAATTCGGGGATTGTATAGTACACTGATCAATTACAGCACTGAAATTTTGTAAAGAAAATGTATCAACGAATTTTGGTCCAATCGCCGTTTTTGAGAAAGTAGCCTTATAAATTATAAAAAGAGCTCAGCATTGCGTTTTACTGATTCACATGTTTTCATTTCATGTTTCATGTCTACTTGCGTTTAGCTGGTTGTAGAGTGTATTAGGGTCATTTGCAAACGAATGAGTGATAACATCTTTTCGGAAGCATCCAAAAAGTAGCAAATTTGTCTGTATTAAGTCCAGCCTTCAGTTCATGCATAATTTATACCCTTTTTGTAGAAATTCCAAGATATCTGGAAATTCCTCCTATAGATTTTTGTGAAACTTCGCACAACAGAAGACAAGCACCCAAAGATTAGGTATCGTAAAGCATTTCCATAGTTAATGCCGATAGGGGCAGGAATTCGATTTAGAGCTAAAACTATTGTGACGTCATTGTCACGTGATATTTATTCGGATCGCCCAAAAAATAATATCATAATAAAGTTAAGTCTATGTGTAAGAGTGATAATGTTTTTACAATAAAGATGCTGATCAATTTATTTAAGCATAAGAGACTCGAAGATGGAAGGTGTACCTACAAAAATACTGGGGCGAGCCACCTTAAGATTCAGCAACCTCTGATAGATTGTGATACGCAGCACAGATTGATCAGTGTGCAAGATGGCTTTAAAAGAGTCCAGCGCGCTTACACTTGTATTGCTCTTATTTCAGCGGTAAGAGTTGAAGGCCTCGGACAAGTCCAAACCATCGAGACTTGCCAAGGACAATCATTAGTTCTCGATTGTAAAGACGAGAAAAGGGCACTGGTCATTTTCAAGGCTGTGTACAGTAACTTTGATTCAAATGCCTGTCCTAGAAATAAAAGCAGGCAGAACCTGCCTTACAATGTCACCCAACCTCAGTGTGCAGGGGACGTCACATTCATGATAAAGAATCTTTGTGGATGGCGCAGACGATGTGACATTGTAGTAAGCAGTACGACCATTGGAGAGTTGTGTACGGACAGCTATAAACTGACAGTCCTGTATTCATGTGGTAAGGTGACATACACAGTTAGTTTACGTAAGAAGGTCGACGTGGCCAGCGGTAAAGTCTAACACAAGTTAACTAAGTTAATAGAAAAAACGGCCGATTTCGCGGAAAAGTTCGGAACAAATTTCGCCGAAAAACGATCGTTAAAAAAAGCCAATTTCGCGGACATTTTCTGGGCAAATTTCGCTAGAAAGCGATTGGTTTTGCGATGATTTCACGAACTTTTTAAATAAAACAAAACGGCAATTTTGCCAATTTTTGGTGGGGGGACGGTGGGGGAATGATGAGAGTTACAAAAGCCAAGATTCGTCCTAAAGGAGAGCGGGCTCTGGGTACGAGACTGACAATCGGCGTGGGCGTTTTTCTTCATATATTTTCCTTGGTATATTGTTAAGATAAAATGTATAATGTTTACATTTCGAACGCGACTTTGTTAATATTAGTTAATAAATCAATGAACCATCAAAATTTGAAATACTTAGCCCAAAAATTGTTAAAATTGAAGAAATTCCTCGTTTTCAATGACGCAATTGTGCAAGGCCGCAGTTCGATTCAGGCATCAGAGTTCCGCGCATGTCTGTAAAAGTACCCGGCAACCGTTTGGTCTGCCGCTTGGTTTGGTATTCTTTATATAACTGACTTATCTTATTCTTAAACACACGAACGTTCTGTGAGCACTTAAAGTTGATCCTTTCCGTTCTTCAATAATTTAATTTGTTTGCCTCTCTAAACTTAGACTGCAAAACAGTCCGCATTTCTGCGTATTCAAGTACGCACGAACAGTCAAAAAAAAGGTCTGGAGCGAGGCTGAAAACGGAGAGCGAGACTGAGGCTCTTACGCTACACTAAACGGACTGTTTTGCAGTTTACTCTAAACGGCGGGGAATGTCTCTACGACGGACACTTAACAGGAGGCGCGGTGCAGAAATACTGTTTGTTTTAACCCTTATTTGAACCTTAATATCTGTCATATCTTCACTTAAATTCTCCTTTGTTGTCCCTACGCGTTTCTTATAGAAGTAGTGAGGAGAATTTGTTAAAGTATCAATATACCTTTATGATCATGCCTTCAATTCTCCTGACCAGTCTGTTTTATAAAGCATAGATATTACAAGGAGAAATTTGATGTTGATCACTAAAAGAAGGTCCAACCTATGCATTATTCAAGCAAATAATTTTCATCCTTCCACGACCACACAATACCGCCAGCTACGCAGGCTAGTGGTTACAAAACTTGATTAATATCACTAACAGTTACCATAGCACTAAACATCCTTTTAAATTTCTACCAATCCGCGGACTCAAAAAACAGAAAAAAAAAATGTCCGCTAACGGCATAAACATGTGCAACCTACTCAGTTTCTGCCCTGTCCTTCAGGTAAACCTCTCACGTGCAAGTATTCGCCGCCGAAGTTGTCATGCCCTGCTGCAGAACAGAATGAATGCACCTCGGACGAGTCCTGCCACAGCTCTAAAATGTGCTGTTTTAACGGCTGCATAAAAACCTGTGTACCTCCTTCCTTGTACTCAGGTTAGTGTGACAGATGACGCAAGCGTTCATGTTGGATTGAAAGTTCGGTACAGTTTGGATACCCTGTACGCAAGCATATTGGCAGGCGTTTGTGATCGTTGACTTTAGAATGTGCAAGTTGGTCATTAGTTGATGATAGTAAAAGGGCGGCTTTTTGGTTAGACATTCAACTGTCCGAACTGTAAAGTTTCAGTTTAAAGTACCCTTTAGGCCCGTTTCAATAGCCTAAGGAAACAGCTGCCATTTCGCGACGTCAGCACTCAGTGGTTTCCCAGCGAAATGACGTCTGAGGAACGAGCGCAGAAATCCATACTGTGAGATTACGTGTAACTACCCAGACCTGGATAGTGCTTCTAATTGGTTTAAGCATATTTTCAACCAATCAGAGTTACTTCCCAGATCTGGGAAGTAGTTCTGATTGATTTAAGCAAATTTCCCACGCGTCACGACCAATCAGACACACCACCAAGATGTAAGTAGTGACACGTCGTCATTATGGAATTTCTGCGCCCCTTCCTCAGACGTCATTTCGCGGGGAAACCACTGAGTGGTGGCGTCGCGATAAGTCAGCTGTTTCCTCAAGCTAGTTTCAACGATTTCAACACGAAGCTTTTCTCTCGCACGCACTGCAAACGTACGGGCGAGATTGAATAAGATTTGACCAAAACGCAAAAAATAAAATCACTTAAGAAACACTTGTTGCAGCTTTGAAAAAAAAAAACTTAAGACTTTTTACCGTTTCTCCAGGCTTTCTCTCTATTTTCCAGACTTTTTCCAGGTCTGGAAAATTGCTGGGCAAATTTCAAGGCTTTTTCAAGAATTCAAGACTCTGTACGAACCCATGTGTAAATAGAGTAAAATTGTTAGTGGCGACGCTATATATCAGTGGCATTGCCTTTGGCAAACTCTCTTAAACGGCCAATTTATGATTTTGTGAAATTGTAACAGAGTTATAACAGGTAGGAAAATTATCGCTGAGGACCTGGACTCGTAGCTATCGGAGTCATTTGGCGAAAGGAGATTTAAGAAAGCGTTCAATCCTTTAAATAGAGTTATCAACTGACATCTTTCTTTTATTTACATTTTACAGCTTCCTGAAGCCTGACTTCAAGGAAAAAGTTCCTTTATGGACATGGACAAGTCGTTGATAGAGTTGACGTACCGAGAAATAAACAAATATGGCGTTTTCTCCTAGCTGTTTATTTTAGTCACTATGGCAGTCGCGATATTCGTAACGTAAAGCCTTTACGCCCTGATATCGACACCCTTATTCTCTATGCATTTGGTGTGAGGAGAATTTTTCAGAAAGCAATACGTTTGATGTTTGTTGATATTTTCACTTTTTACCGTGACTTTGTTTTATAAACTGCGATACTGCTGGACGTCACTGTAAGCGCTTAAATGTCAAAGCTAACAAAACGTTAAGAGTAGAATACATTAAACTCGGATTAAGTAAATGCCATTGTTTTTATTTTTAATAAAAAGAAAGTGTCATTTGAATGCTGTAGTATCAAAGTGGTCTCTCCCATAAGCTCAAGCCACCTGCACTTCCAACCCAGACGCCTTGAAACACCTGCAGGTAGGCGGTTTTTTTCTTGGTTTGGCCTTTAAGGGATAGGGTTACATGTGCACTTGTTTACACTCCTCTGATTCGGAATCCGAATTGTGGCATGTAGCGTTCTTTCAACATAATTAATTTAAATGGAAGAAGGTTTGAAACACTGAAAGAATGTCAAGCAAAGAAGACAGTATTCCTTGTTCGTACCTTTCGTTATTAATATATGATACCACAAAACCAAAATGAGAATCGAGGAATTGTGCTCAAAGTTAATCGTTTCGGTCGATGACATTTGACATTAAGAACTACAACTTGATGAAGTGAATACTGACAAAGTATCCTTAAACAAACACTTTAAATTCCATCATTTGGTGGTCGCTTATCAGCCAGTTTGACAGGGGCACCCAACCTCAATTTTCGGAAAATACCTGTTCGGATGACGATTTCAGATCTAGAATTTTCGAAACATTTGTTGTAAAATTTCTCGCTTGCCTGCCTCTCCTAGGATTTTCGAACATATAAAAAATGGTATAATTGTCCATTTTTAACGGATTTTTACCCTAAAAACTCACCTAGAACTTTCGGGAGCCCTTTTCTGGCTGAAAGTTTCGAAAGTTTTGATCCCTATAATTTTCGGATCACTAGACTTTCAGCTAGGTAATCCGCACAAATGAATAATTTTTAGGAGATAAAAATATGCCTATGTCTACCGTTTAAATACTAAAATACCTTCATCAATGCTATGTTTGCCCCTGAGTTTGAAGGTATTTATTTATTTTATTTTTGACAGTGTCCCAGCCAGAAGAGGGTTCGATCTTCCCTCTTTCCTTTCTTGATCAATGTTTTATGGAGTAGCTTGCCAGCGCCCTTTCACCGGAGAGCTTGCTCATGGAGCTTTATCCACAACACAGATGGTGACACCAGCTATCACTAGGATCATCCCAAGAAATGTCCCTATTGTGATTCAAAGCACATAATTATTTTCCATAAATCTCAATAAATTTAAGTCAGTCAGTGCTACCCTTTACAATGTTTGAGAGTCGGTGTTCTATAAAATACAGCTGTATTTTACTTAGTATTTCTACAATATAAGCCAAAAGAGGCCCACCCTATGTTTGAAGTAGTATTCTGGACTTATTTCTTCAAAACTACCTATAATTTTCCACTAGACTGTGGTGGTCATCCTTAAACTGGAGAAGGGATTGGGACAGAGAGAGGAAAACTTTTTTCTTCACTGCTGAAGGCTTCTTCCCTTGGTCCTCATGGCTTCGCCAATCACTGCTCACACCTCGCACATGCTCTTGATCTACTGTGTCTCAAAAGTCAAAAGACAAATAAGAGACTGTTTGCAGTCTACACTTCCCACTTAGATAGTTTAACTTCCCAATTTTCTACACCTTGTCCACAAAAATCTGTTCCAAAAATAGGACTCTTTACAAAAATGATTTATGGCACACACAATTATGTCTAGCTTATGTAGATCACCCATACTCCTTGCCCCAACCCCATCCCACCCATGGTTGGCATATGTAATTACTTCAGCTGAACTATAAATACCTGCATTAATTCTTCCTTCTCCTAAAGCCTGTCCCGCCAGTGTAGTTATGAGCATAGTCAAAGAATTGGTAATGGGGACAGCAATAGACAAGTCTAAGGATATCAAATAAAAGAAATGTTGTTTTTGCATCCAAAAGTAACAATATCTTTAATCAAAGCTGGGAAAAAGGGTTTCAACATTTATAATTATTTACCTACTGATGCAAGTGTCAAGTAGAAAACAACTGAGCCACATTGGTTCAACAGGAAAGGAACTATGTACTAGAAAAGAAATAAGAAATCACAAGATACACATTTCATGAACAAGAACTGAAACTAAGTAAAGTGGCTACTGCACAAACAACCTACAGCCTCTTTTAATCCACAAGCATAAAAATTAATAAAAATTAATGAGCAAGTTGTCATCAATTAATTTTAAACTGCATATCTACAGCCATAGACAGTTTTAAACAATTTGCTCTCCATACAAAAATGTTCAAAGCCATTTTATAATCAAAAGTTTTCTTAGAAAAAAAGACAGTTTTGGCTTCACACACTGTATGCTAAGCGAACACTGCCTTGTGGCCAGGCCCACATCATGGCATATTATGAGTATACCAGACTTCAAAAGATAACTGGTATGCCAGAAAAATACAGTAAAAGCTTGGCGTTAATGCGCCCAATGTTCAATTATTGAATTTGAGTGTTAATTTTTTTATTATATTATTAAATTTCACAGTGGTTTATTGAATCCACAAAAAAACTGAATCAAGTTTTCCAATAATAAATTCTCTGGCTTGTTATGCACCATGGGCCCCTTGGCCAGGCCAGGACCAACAAAAGGACATACTCATGTATACAAAAATTCACAATACCTTCCAGTTAGATGCAAGAAAGATGACTTCTGCAAAAAATTGTTGGATACGACTTGATCTGTGAATTTCCTCAATTCCCTTGCTTCCTTTTCTGATGAGTGGATTTGTGGAGCCCCACAATAATGACACGAAGAAAAGCCAGAATGCATTACCTAAAAAATATATCAAAAATTAGTACCACTGAGGCAAGTTGCAGAGTGCAAAGAGAGTAGTGTCAGATAGCCCGGGGGTAGTGGATTTTGCTATCAGGCTAGTGAATTCTGTTCTTAAAATTTTTCATAGGGCCCAGTGGCTTGCCTGATTCTGTCTCTGTCACTGCCATGTTTATGATGCGGTGTTTTGTATGAGATATCAAGCAGTTTCCTAAAGCAATCTTATCTCTCGATTTAACAAACCTCGGGTTAACAAAATCCTTGTTATAACGAGCACAATCCACAGGCGCAAACGTAAAATTTACCTGAATATAACAAATAAATGTCAGCATTTATGTGACTGTACAGACTGAAAACCACCCACAATACCTTCCAGGTTAGTCGTGTGAAATTTTCCGACAACCTTTCTCATAATAGCTGTATAGGTATATTTCACAATGAAGGGTATCATGGTTTTCAAGAAACTTAGTCTGGGACGATGTATATAAACCAGAGAGTTCGGTCTAAAATTATTGTATATGGTATCATTTTCCAGGAAACTGATCAATTGGTTGAGAAATTTTAGTCTAGACTGGGAAAACCGGAGATTGACATGAAAAAAAATGAGTCAGTTTAATAATGCAAAAAGAGTGTCAACTGCAGTAATATTATTTCTGAAAAAATAGTGACTCTAGGATATGTAGCCTGCGAAAACATCCGTTTGTCCTCACTCTTGCCGCTGGGGATGTTTCGCGTGGAGGAACGTCTGCTACTCAGCGACAGAAATTCCATACTGATGATGCAAATCAATGTTTACATAATAAATCCAGTAGTCTTATGGTCGATTTTGGAAAAGTGTTGTGTTCATCTGCCAATGAGCTCCCGCAAAACTCAAATGCCTCTTCTAGAGAAGACTATATTCCACAAACATTGACTGTTTGTTATTCTTTGTGTTTAGATTTGACCTTTGTGGCCTTTTGTCTTTTGTCTGTCATTCGTAAACAATAACTAAAACAATGCAACTACTCCGCCGACCAATTAGCGCTTCTGACCGGATTTCGGACAGAGTTTACGTCATCAATATGGAATTTCTGTTGCTGAGTCGCAGACGTTCCTACGCGCGAAACGTCCCCAGCAGCGAAGAGCGAGGAGAAACAGTTGTTTTCGCAGGCTATAGGATATGAAGAGATTTTAAGAGTTTACTCTAGTTTAGGATAGCAAAATTCAGCTAAATCAGGAAAGTCTGGTATAGGTTAGGTAAGGGTTCCAGAGTCCCAGCAGCACATCCCTACCCAAACATTCCTCAAGTATTAGCTAAAGAATGTGTACATGTGCAGTGCAAAGACCTGCCAACTCTCATGATTCTGCTGTTAGTCTCACGATTTTTAACTTTTCTCATGGGCTCACAACAAGACTCCCAGTCTCACGGTTTTTAAGAAATATCATTCTGAAATGAAATGTTAAATACCTTGTTGAAATTTCGCGGGGAGTGCTAGTTCCTGTTTATTGATGGGACCTTGCCTAACATTTTAGCCATGAAGTTGGGTTATCCGGAAGAAACGACTCTTTGCTGAGCATTATTCAGGGGCACCCAATGACAATTTTCGGAAAATATCTGTTCGCAGGATGATTTGAGATCTAGAATTTTCGAAACATTTGTTGTAAAACTTCTTGCTTGCCTGCCTCTCCTAGGATTTTCGAACATCTCAAAAATGGTATAATTGCCCATTTTTAACGGATTTTTACCCTTAAAAGGTCAGCTAGAATTTTCGGGAGCCTTTTTTCTGGCTGAAATTTTCGAAAAAGTAAGTTTTGATCCCTATAATTTTCGGATCACTAGACTTTCCGCTAGGAAATCCGAACAGATGAAAAATTTTTAGGGGATAAAAATATGCCTATATCTACCATTTAAATACTAAAATACGTTTAACAATGCTATGTTTAAGTGGTTTTGAACCCGGGGGTACTTTAGGAATTTCTGGGTGGGGATGTGCCGCTGGGACCCTGGAACCCTTAACCTATACCAGAGCTAGTTCAGCTGAATTTTGCTACCCTATACTAGAGTAAACTCCCCAAACCCCCTATCCTAGAGTAGCTGTTTCCCTTGTCTAGATAAAATCTTCAACCAACTGATCAGTTTCCTGAAAAATGATACCCTATTCTAGACCGAAACACTCTGATTTATATACCCTATCCTAGAGTAAACTGCCTGAAAACCATACCCTTCACAGCGGCACATACCTATTTAGCCCATATATGGCAGTACCCCCCCCCCCTCCGGGGTTTTGAACTATATTATCGTAGGGTGCCCCTGGTTATTCTCCTGTGACAGAGTCATCCAAGAAAAGCGGGATCTAAATAACTTTTACGAGGGGTGACAACTCTAACAAAGGCTGTTTGGGCAGTCCTATGAATAACTTTATGTCCTCCCGGAAATTTCGTCGACCCTCCCAAATTTTTCGGTGGCATTCCCCATAAATGTTAAACTTCCCAAAATTGTTTTAACAATTAAAATTAAAATTTTGATTACAGATTTTTTGCAGCTTCTTGTTAATTAATATGTAACTTGTTAATTATCTAACCTTAGTTATTTTTTCGTTTAGAGGGTATCACGTTAACACAGAAAGACTGTCAAACTTTTTAAGTATATATGTTTTTTAATCACCGATGAATCAGGCGAGCAGTGAAGGGGCCAACCACCAGGGGGGTCTGGGGGCATGCTCCCCCAGAAAAGTTTGAAATCTTGGTGCTCTGAAACGCTATTTCTAGTGATCTGAGAGGACAAATTCTGTCCAAAAGGTTCTCTAAATCAATTGTCCTTTTTATGCTTATTTTTATTGGCGTGACTTCACGTATAAAAGTTGTGCGGCTTTTGAAATTGCTCTGGATATCACTTTCAGTATACTCTGTGTGGTGTCATTGTATGAGTATCATAAGAATTCATTTGAAAATTTCAGAACAACTGTATGTCGAAATCTGAAATTTTCCTATCCCGAACGCATATTGATCGGGATTCGGGATTTTCGAGCAAAATCGGAAGGACCCCGATGAGATCAGGATGATTAAAGAGTCTTCACAGACATACTACTTTTTATGGCCTCATTTGTGTTTAACAGGGTTAAACGAGTTTCGTTTTTTTCTTACATACTTCTTACGTACTTCTTTCAAGTTTTCCAGTATGCAATCAGTGGAATGTGCTCTTAAAACTCGTTAACGTGCAGCGTAAAAATACCCCTGAACTAATGAATGATGGGATCTGGTGTGAACTGATAGTATGTGCCTTGCACCGGTACGGTTCTTGTGTCAATCCGTTGGGGATTGCACGTGGTCTATGGCACTTGAACTTCACGCTATTTTAGTTGGAAACGTTGCTGATTGGTCTTTTCATATCATGGGGAGTTCAGCCGTTTTCAAGTGTCAAAATACATAGAATACAGAGCATACACTGGGTGCATATCACTGTATATATATTGTTTGATAACATGTAATATCAAATCTTTGCTCAATGTCCCGAAAATATCTCATATTCCCCGAAAAATTCCCAGGTTTCCCGATTCCCGACAAAATCTCCAGATTCCCGGAATAAATTTGTTTTTCTCCCGAAACAGCCCTTGTTAGCGCTGTCACCCCCCGTAACTTTTTTTGCAAGAAGCACCCCACTAAAGCAGGTTAATATTTCAATAAACAGTTAATTCCCCCCAACAGAAAAAGGGTTCGTTTAATCCTGATCGGGAAAAATAGAATCTCACTACTTGTAGAATTTTTTCCCATGAGTCTCAAGATTTTCCTACCAGGGGTGGGCAGCGCCATAACAATATTATACTTACTAATGGAACTGCTCATCCTTGATGTGTGAGGTCACTAGCCATAAAAGAGACGATTTTCTTACAGAATAGAAGAAAAGAGTGAAACCTCCGTGGGAGGACACCTTTACAAAGTTAATTCCAACTGTCCGCCATCGTCCGCGACCAAGAATAAGTCCGCCATGTTTGACGCTTTTCTGGTGCCCAGACCCTTGCATTTGTCCTAGCTGTAAGGACGCCATCAAAAATCTCCCCTCCCCTATCCCCTTAGGAAGGCCTGATACTCAGGCTAGGACGCACGTGACGTCAACGCAACGATGACCACGACGGTAACGAGAACGACAAAGGACAACAACAACTTTGCACGTGCATCACGCTTTTTTGTACATTTCTAGGCCAGTCGTTGCACGACTACAACGTGAAACTGCTTTACGTTTTGTCGAGGACGGGAACAAAGACAACAACTTTCTTTTCTTTTCCAGAACTTTGTTGTAGTCCTTTAGAATTCAACTCCAAAAAGAATTGCCAACATTTGACGAATTAAACGAGATGGAATAAGCGCGATAAAGTTTGAGGCAGCGCAAATTTACTTTTTAAGAGACGTTTTCGTAGCCGTCGCCCGCCTCGTTGTTGCGTAAACTCCTTTTTGACCACTACCGTATCAGGCAACTCAGTTTAGAGACAGGGTGGAAAAAGCAGATCAACTATGAACCATTCGATAAATCTGCAGCAATTTTTTTTCCATGTAATATGGGCAGGTCCCTTGTCGGCCGCCCAGGGCGCCTCTGAGTGATAATCAACAACTTATTATTCCGGGGTTTTATTTACTTGTCCTCCGACCATATTATTATTATTTATTACAAAGTGCAACAGCTTTTCTATTACAAAGTGCGACAGTTTTTTATTACAAAGTGTAACAAATAATATTACAAAGTGCGATAGGTATTGCAAAGTGCGACGATTAATATTACAAAGTGCGACAGAAGATCCTGGCCCTCCACTTATCTCAGTTAGCCGCAACGGTCTTCACTTACTCCCACGATTGCCATTTTCCTGGCAGTACCCACACAAAAAAAATTAATATATTTTGACCAAAATTACACTGCTAATTTCACTATTCACCGCAACAGCACGTTGCGCCACTGTGCAGGCCCTTAACAGTCCCCCCCTCCCTCAAATAGAGAGACAGACCACCACACACTGGGGACTACGTATGAGAATGTTTTGCAAGGGTAATATATTTTTCTTTTCTCTTATCTTTATAGCAAACTATGGGTGACAGTTTTGTCTGCAGAATACCTATCTGTCGCGTTAAATGCAAGTGTAACAAACCCATTTAACAAAGGAGCTTTAATAAACCTTCTCAGGCAATTTGCTAAGGTTTGTCACTTTTATTGTCGTATAACGAAAAGTAGGAATCTTACAAAGTATCTTAGGCCAAGGCCATAAGTAGAACTTTTCATGAGACGAACCAAACTTAGTGAGTTTTAACTCACTAATTTCATGAGCCAACTTAAAAGTCTCGCGTTTCTTGTTTGCTCTTAGAACTTAAAAGTTCATGAAAGTTCGACATCTGGTTCAGTTAAGTTCGTCTGAATGAGTTTAGGTCGTCCGCTGACGTTCTCTGCGTCTACTTCAGATGAATATTAGAACATCTGAAGATCGTCTCTGGGACAACCGTCGATCTCCAAACGAACTAAACTAATAGATTAAAACTTTGTTAGCATGATGATGTATATTTAGCCTCGTTCATGGGAAAATTTATTTAAATTGCTTTTTGGTCTGATGTAGTTGAATCGGCCATTTATGGATGGAAGGGGGGCTGGAGTTGACCTTGTATTTATACAAACCTTCTTGCTTTGTTATGTAAATGAAGTTTTTCTTATGCTAACTAATATTTTTCAAGGACAATTTCCATAACAAAGCAAAGGAGGTTTGTATCAAAACAAGGTGAACCTCAGCCTCACATTCACTCGAAGGCCAGGGTACTAAGTCCACAACTGTAAAATGGTCTGGTAACATGTGAAAGTACCGTCAAAGAATTTTCGAGTGAATGGTCAGTTTGGCGGAACATTTTTGCTAACTCTTTTGAACAAATGTGCTGTTAGTAAACGGGGAACGGGGAAGAGCGCGGGCTCGTTTCTCGAACAGCGCGTCTGCTGATTGAGCCAAATTCTGTCTGTCGAAGCATATTCCAGTTAAGGTGTCACGTCATAGCTTTTCTTTTGATTCTGGTTGATTTGCTTCAGTGAACTTTTTCGCGGTATTTTATGCTCAATACAGGTGTGGCAGTATGTTACTTTAATGAGACGAATATATTTAATTGATTGTCCTGGAGTTGTTTATCCGAGTGGAGATTCGCAGACCGATGGCGTGGTGAGTCTTTCATACAATTGCTAAGTCTTAACAATGCTTTTAAGAAACCACGACGTCAACGGGAAAGAAAGCAAAAATAGGATTTAATAAGTACAACAACAATGCATATCAAACCTCTTTTCCTCTCTTCCCTCACTAAACGACTACGAGGTCAAATTTCCTCGTTGGCATCTCATGGCATTTCAATTTTTTAAATGTAAATGCGCTTGTTCAGTATTCTGTTCTGAGAAAATTTGCCTCTTCCCTGAATTTGATAAATCAAAGCGAAAGGGAGTGGAACAATTACGAAAACGTTTTTAAAACTGAAGACCGCATTTTTGCTGCCGACACCTGCGTAGTTGCTTAAACCCCCTATTGACTCATGGCGTTTTTCCCTTTGAAACTTTCGTTGCCGCAGGAGAGTTTCTTACCAAGGAAACATATTTTTCGTTCGTAAAGAGTAATGTTAACTTAAGATATAAAAGCCCTGCCATAAGTCTCAACTTATATCGAATGGACCTTGTCTTGGTTTTGTTCTTGTATCTATCTGATTGGTTCAAATTAATTAATTTGAAAATGAAGACGATAATTTGCCCCAAATTTTGTTACCTTAACTTGTCAGATCGACTAAAAAGAAACTTTTATTCAAAATGACATAGTTCTCTCTTTGAAATACCAAGAAAGCGAAGCACACGTCATCCCGCAGATGAAAACACGAAAAAATTCCAACTGTCACTGAAGCACGCGCATGGTAGCCATGCGGCACGCGCTATTCCTTACTCTCGGGAACTGTATGTTTTTCAGAATTGGTGCTTTTTTTTTTGCGAGATTTTATTCAGGATTTCACTTTTCATATGATACCAGAGTAATGTCAAACGTTGTAGTTTCACAAGAAGGTTAATTTGTTTGTATACTGGGAAGGATTTATGCGCGTGCTTCCATTAAAAGCAATCGTGGAGTCTTTCTGACGCCATTTCGAATGAAGTGACAAAACAAAGGAAAACAAGTTCATTCATTTCAGAAAGAGATCCAAAACATGGCGTACGACAGGTCCGAGTGGGAATTGAGTGAATTTGGTAATCTTATCGAAACAGAAAATGAAAAATACGGAGAAATTGTACAGATTGCTGAGCGAAGGCGCACAGCAGAAAAATATATCAAAATCAGAAAAATTCGTCAGGAAATGACATGGGGCGTTCGAGTCACCAAGACTCTTTATATCTGCTATTGTGGACGCTACGTCGCTTACAAGGAATCTATCCTGGCAGAGTTGGTGCCACCTTTTCAATTCTATCTGCGAGATAAAGAGTACTATACTACATACAAGGGCACTCCCTTTCGTCTCCCTGATGCTTACAAGTTTAAATACTATGAGAATGCGGTAGAGTGCTGGCATCACAATGCCATTCTTTCCAACAAGAAACAGATGAAGATTCTTGTGAGGTACAACTTTGAGAAATTTGTCAGAGCGCTTGAGACAATCGGCGAACCCACAGCGGCGAAAATACAGTATGACTACGACACCTGCGTGTCCAGTATTTCCCCATTCAGCGAAAGTGAAGATGAAGACAGCGAGGCAGATGACGAAGATGATCGCAGTGAGGGAGAAGAACAAGACCATTCTATCAATAAGATCTACCCATTCAGTTTCAGTGGTGATGAAGAAAACGAATCCGATGACGAAGATGATCGTGGTGAGGGAGAAGAACAAGACCATTCTATCAATAAGACCTTCCCATTCAGTTTCAGTGGTGATGAAGAAAACGAATCCGATGACGAGGATGATCGCGGTGAGGGAGAAGAACAAGACCATTCTATCAATAAGATCTTCCCATTCAGTTTCAGTGGTGATGAAGAAAGCGAATTCGATTCGAAATCAGATTGCAGTGATGAAAGTAAATCTAATGCTGCATTACATCACGAAGTTGAGACTGACGAGGAAGAAGAACATGACCAGTCTGATGATGAACTACCGAGGTTGATCACCTCAATCAGCGAAAGTGACGATGACGAAAGAGAATCTTATAATGAATCAGATGACGAAGATGAGGACAGTGAGGGAGGAAAACAAGACCATTCTATCGATGAGATCTCTTCATTGAGTGAAAGTGATTATGAAGGAAGCGAGTCCGATTCGAAATCAGATTGCAGTGATGAAAGCACATCGAAAGCTGAATTTGGTCAAGAGGGTGAGCCTGATGAGGAAGAAGAACATGACCAGTCTGATGATGATCTCCCGATGATCACCCCATATGGCGAAAGTGAAAATGGAGAAAGCGAATCTTATTATGGGTCAGACGAGCAGAGTGAGGAAGAAGAACAAGAACATCATTCCGATGAGATCACCGAAGACGACGAGGAAATGTACTTTGCGAAAGAGGAAGATTATAATGATAGGAAATTTGATTCAAAGGATGTTCCTAACTTGCAGTTGCTTCATTGTAGAGAAGAGGTCGGTCAAAAATGTGATCCAGAAGAATCTGATTTGGGTATTGTGTTCGGTGCGGAAGAGCACAATCACAATTTGGATTTAAAGAAAGTGGGTAGCTTAAGTTCGGTGGTGGAAAAGGTAGAGAACGATGATGTATTGGATTCAGAAGATGTAAGCAATAAAGATCAGTTCAATGAAATAGAGGAGCAAGGACCTTTCAATCAAGAACAACAGCAGAAACAACAAGAACACTGCAACGAAGACATGATCCAACATCGACCCACCAAGAACAAGAAAAAGAGAAAGAACATTTTCATGGGATGGGTATGTTCAAAAATTCTCAAAGTATTTGTCAAGAGCAAAGTTCTTTTATAGTTCTATAACTTTGTTCTATTTATCCCTCTATATTTTGCTTTGAAATATCCCTCTCTAACTAGCTAGTATCGATCTCTTAATCAGTCTTAACCCTCTGTGGGATAATTGTTTTTTTTCCCTTTTTTATGGATTTCTGATAGACAAGTTTTTATTCTATAATAATCAATTCTAGATCAGTTCTATTTAACCCTTATTACTTTCCATTTCAAGTATCCCTTTCTTGCATCCGTATTTTACCTTAAAAACCGGCGGTCTTTTAAACATTTTTTGATTTTAATTTCTTTAAATTTACGTCCATTTATTTGATAACACAAGTGGTTATAGTATCGCTTGTAGTATCTGTTCTATGCTTGTTACCGTCAATATATATCCCTTTACTTTCATTTTTTCTTATGATATAAATGTGTTAGACATATTATTTAGGGGTTAATACCATTTGACTATTGAGGGGGCTGGGGGAGGGGTATCGGTGATTTGGTTTGGGCAAGAATGTTTTTCCCATCATATAACGGTGTATGATTAATTACCCCAGCATTATAGGCCATGAGAACAAGATCAATGACATCTAACGGGTCGTAAAAGTAAAATTGAAATCTGGAAATAAAAGCCATTGAGATTGATTTATTTCTAGTTAAGCCTGGCTTGACATAATCGTCTGGATGGTCTCGATCCCCCCCGTCTTATTAGAATATGTTCAGACAGTCGAGATGGTCACATGGGACGGAACACTTCTGGGCGTTGCGGGACGCTGGATCCTGACGATTGGGGCCATCTCAGTCAGCCCGGCTTAATCAAAACTGGAGTATGTATACAGTATATAATTATAGGCTGGTTCTCATATAACGGGTCGGGTTTGTCTTGATGGACCTCCAAAAATCAAAGCAATCAAGACAATCCCTGCATGATGATTATATAGCATCCAGATATAAAGCTGTTGGTTATTTGAGTATTTGACGGTCAAAAACCACGACCAACCATGAAAGACGCCTACAATGCAAACAGAACTCGAAGTTCGGAAGTAGCCAATCAAGTGTTGGTTTCGGTACCTTCTGTCTTTTTTCTTATAATTTTCTCAAAGCTAACTTTTAATTGCCGTTCACCGTTACAATCCTTATTACAGTTACTACAGTTCCTATTTAGATTTGTTTCGAAAGAATTTTACGCACTCCTTTTTTTTTGCGATATTCTGGTTGAGAAAGGGATATATCTTTTTTTGAGAGTAAATCCTTAAAAGGGCGATAAATGCAAATCTTTTTTTTTTTCATTAATGTAACTTTTACTACAATATTTCTTCAGAAAATTTGAATGTAATTTCTTTTGCAATTCAAGATATAAGGTAACTAATTCTAACAAATCTTCTATAATAATTTATATAGAACTGAAAAATTAATTTGAATGTACTGTTCTGATGTAAGAAAGGGATCGATACAACTTTCATTTTAAATCTACTCGAAAAAACTAGCGGGCAGTAATATTTTGTAGTATATTTCCACGAAAGAGAGGGATTACAAGCTTTCTAATAATTTCTTTAAAAATCTTATCTGCATCGTTATTTTGTGATATTCAGTGTTAGAGAGGGATCAAAATAATTGCGCCAAAATGCATTTTAATTAAGATTTGCTGAGATGTATAAATTGTTATTTCGTCCTCTTTGTGAAGGAGGGATAAATTTATGTGACTATCATTGTAACATCAGAACAAGTTCTATACAACAATTCTTAATTTTCAAAGACAATATACTTCCATCTACTGTTATTTTGTAAGTTTTCAATGCAAAGAAGGGACAAATATGAGATTTAAAATTATTGTTTTGTTGTGCAAGAATCGTACTTAAAAAAATGTTGACGGTCTTTTTCAGAATGAATATTTATTAGGATAAACGTTTTTGTGTAGCTGTATTTAGAAAATAGTATTAATAATAAAGAATGGAATGGTAATGTATAAAAGGGTGTGTTTATATTACTTCGTCTCAGAATATTAGATCTCAGGAAAAATCTTTGCTTTTGGAATACAGTTCATCTTTAAAGGCAAGCTCTTCTAGCAAGTGGAATTTAGAATTGTAGAAAATTCTCAGTTGTACCAAACTCCTCCATCTACGTTTCGACCAAAATCTTCAGGGGCACCCAACGTCAATTTTCGGAAAATATCTGTTCGGATGACGATTTGAGATCTAAAATTTTCGGAACATTTCGGTTGTAAAATTTCTTGCTTGCCTGCCTCTCCTATAGGATTTTCGAACATCTAAAAAATGGTACAATTGCCCACTTTTAACGGGATTTTTACCCTAAAAAGGTCACCTAGAATTTTCGGGAGCCTTTTTTCTGGCTGAAATTTTCGAAAAGGTAAGTTTTGATCCCTATAATTTTCGGATCACTAGACTTCCAGCTAGGAAATCCGAACAGATGAAAAATTTTTAAGGCATAAAAATATGCCTATATCTACCGTTTAAATACTAAGTACGTTTAACAATGCTATGTTTAAGTGGTTTTGAACTATATTTCTCGTTGGGTGCCCCTGAATCTTGAGTTGTTTACCATTTACATGTGCAATTAAACTAGTCGGATTATAGTTTGGGCAAGTGATAAGAGAAATTCAGCAACGGTAAATTTTATGGGTTCCTGATTTTATTCAGGAATCGTGTTTACCAGTTGCGGGCAATCCGCGACCGAAAGCCTGAAACTGGTATTTTAAAAATGGGTTAACAAATAAAACGCTGATTTCTGTTTGGAACATTCCGATTGGAAAAGACAGGACTACCTTTTCAAATGGTCTGTTGCTCCCGTACATTTTTAAACCGAAACGACACGAAAAGCAGTGCCCTATTCACTTTTCTACCGGATTTTGCTTAACTTTTGTAAATGACAAAACAACCTTTACCAGTGAAACCGAGTGGGACGGGAAGAAAAAATTTTGGATAATGGAATAGATCCCTAGGGATCTCCTTCCTCGCCTCCTGGTTTCCTGGCTTCACGCGGACAAACGAAGTCCTGTACGTGCAAGTGGGCTTTGGTCAGACAGGATCAAAAGCAGTCAAGAATAAGTGTATTCACCTGTAGAGGTGGAGCTGAAGAGTTTGACTTACGTCCCGACGGAAATTTAGGCAAAACAAAAAAGGTCCTCTTCCTTCCTACCCTAAGTGATCCAACCGTGCTGAAGCATGTGAAGTAGTCCACGCAAATATTTAATCAACTGTCAGACATATGCAAATTTCAACTGTCAAATCTGTGAACGTTTAACGGTATTTTCTCTGTAGCTTGTAGCTACCACAAGAGCCTTGGGTACCAGAGAATTCTTCTAGGGCTCTGTTTCTTCAGTTCTAATTCCGCAGGAGCACGAAACTTCGCGATGAAGTAGATGTTGGAGGAAGCAAAAAGTTTGGTTGGATAAAAGAGTATGCACTGTGCGGCCCAAATTGCCAGATTTTGGCTACGCGGGCGCATAGTTTCCCAGAGCTTACGCGTGGAATCAGAGGCGTAAGCACTGGGGTCAAGATTGGACGACTCGCTGGGTAGCGGTAGGTACTTCCAAACTGGTCAAGGGGAACGAAGACGCTGGGTACGAGGGTGACCCAATATTAGCAGGAGATTGAAAATTTCTTTTGTAGTGTTTCATACTAATTGAGCCGAAAACCGGTTCAAACAGGAAGGTTAGGTCACAAAACTCGTTTTTTGTTTTGTTTCTAGAAGGTCAAATAAGCCCTAAGGCAGTCACCCCAAATTGAACTGAAACCGTAAACCCTTATAAGACCCTCAGCTTATACAACTTCGGGGAGGGGGAGGGGACTTATATCCGAGGGGCTTAAACAAACTGGAAAATGTATATTTTGTTTACAGGTGAGAAAATATGTGTTGCATTTACTGGTTCTTAACAAGGCTTCAAACGTCACAATAAAGCAAAAGCTGGGGGGCTTATAATCTTGTACAGGAACTGACTGACCCAACCCTCCCTAAGCGGGTGTCCAGACCCAACCCTCCCTAAGCGTCCAATTAAAGCCTACTGCTCAACTGTGAATCTGCGCAGCAAAAATAAGACTCAAAGGCAGATGATAGGAAAGATGTGGCGAAAGAATGAAATTTTACCAAAAATACTCACAATTGTTCCTATGTATGTTAAATTACGATAACACAAAAAGATGCGTCGTTTGCCATACGAAGCACACGTGATTTGATTTAATTCTGGATTCTTTCAATTCTATGATCCGCCCAGTCTCCAAGTGTCTGTTTTTTCTCTTCCGCGGTCTGCGGTGGCATGTCTCCCACCCTACCCATGATGCCATGCGCCCTATTTTCCCCCCGATAGTACCGCCTGTGGCCTGCAAATACACTCCCCTCTCATCAATCCCCACCGCCAGGCGTTTAAGCTCGTTTTTTTCCAAATCGTAGTTAGTGCCGAGAGGCGACTGTATGCGCAGCTATGCTATGGTGCTTTTATAGAACAATGCAGACGCCAATGGCCCCAGCTTTTTTCCCAACGAGATAAGAAAGGACCACTTGACCAAAAGAAACGCCAAGCTCTGAGAAACAGAATACCCTTTGTTCACGACAAATCTTATCTATTTTTTTGCGCTTTAAAGCAGAAGTGACACAAAGTCTATTTACTCGAATCGTCAAAATTAGCAATAAATCTATAACACAAAAAATGTTGAATTATGGTTATTAAGCTACTTCAGAATCAGTAAAATGGAACAGTTTGAAGGCTACGTTGACGTACGCAAAAGCTAGCAGCACCAAGGGATACCAATCCTTTACTGGCTGATGACTGTCAGGGTTTTTTTTTTAAACTAATATAAACTATACTCTACATTATTACACTAAAATTAACAACTTGCTTTGGCTGTCTTCATAAAACCTACCTATTTGTCTAATGACATTTGAAACAGTTTACCTATTGAAAAGCTAACTAGAAGGAACCGTTCTTGGGCGATAAAAGTAAATATCAATATCTTCCAGCAATGTTTAAAATAATAAATTAATAAACATCCGATATTCCATATTCTTTAAAAAGTTGTGTTTTCATACATAAATTTGAAAAACATAAGGAGGCCCTTAAATTTACCTTCCGTTTGGTTTGGGTTCCCAGACTCTCCCCTGCAGAAAGGAGAGAACCTGGAAAAGAGTTTGCCCAAAATACTTTCTTTTATGCCTGTGTTGCAGGAAAACCTCAGAACTAGGTGGTAAGTCCATCCGAAATTTAATAGATAGCTTAAAACCTAAACTAGCTAACTTAACTAGAATAAGCTGAGTCTTAGAGTAAGTGAAACAAATACAACAAAAACAAGTGAAAAAAATAATAACAACAATTAACTGTAAAAATAATAATAATAATAATAATATCATCTATGGATTAAATATCTCCGTTGTAAAAATAATTAAATACATTAAGTGATCTCTAATATATTCTTAAGCACAATAACAGAATCTTTCATAACTCTTCAAAAAACTGTATTCTAGCGGTGGACGTCCCCGTCTGAATCTGAAATCAATAACAATAATCAGACGATGCATTAGAATATGTAGCGGAAATTTTGTTGTTGGAAACCAAGGGGACACCTGAACCTACAATAGCATTACAGGCTATTTTTGAGAATGAAATATACGATTTATCTGCGCCGGGACATGTGTAAAAAAAACTGATCAAGATGAGGAGAAATGTGCTTTTTTGACGGCTAACACGAATACAGGATAAGTAGGACGATTCGTAGAAACACGTTTTTTCATTAAGCTGAAATTTCATAGAAATGAAATATATATGCGTTATTGACCAAGCGTGAGGTCAGGATGGCTGGATATGGTCAGTAACAGCGCGAAAAAGAACGAGGACAATATTCAGTCATCTTGAAGGAGCAAACGTTGTCAATAAAGGATCTATTACGTGGCCAAAAACAGAACTTTTAATTGCGGGGCCAACGTGGGAAATCCCCAGCGGGCAAGGTACGCTCGGGTAGCCAATCAGAATGCAGGAATTGCCCGTAGATTCAGCCATGTAATAACTTTTCTTATTATCCTCAAATAAACGCCGTATTCTTCTGATTAGGTGCGGCGTTTATTCGAGGGCAGCGTTAATTACTTCCACCTGCGGCGTTTATTCGAGGGCGGTGTTCAACCAATTGAAAACAGAAAGGCAAAATTTGTGAATGTACGACTACCAAAGAACTTGTTATCAACAAAAAGCAAAACGAGAAAACGAAAAACAACATTAGGTACCTTATTTTGACGATTCGACTCGGACTTGGATCTTTTAACTGGGAAGCCCGGAAATAAATATGGCAAACAAATTCATTACTCACTTTCTGGAGTGTAGAGTACTTATTTTCTCCGAGTCTTAAATTTTCATCATGAATGTAATCCCAGCGCGTCTGTCTGTCATCAATCTTCAGTCCCTGAAAATGAAATAAAGAAGAGCAAATGGATAAAATTCAAATCAAAAGTGGAGGAAGAGAAGCGACCACCGGAAATACGTCTGCGGTTCGCAGGCTATAGGGTGACCCTTCATCCCGTCCCCTACAAAAAAGTGACACAGGCAAGGGGAGCAAGGGTGGCGTAGAGGTGAGAGCACTCGCCTCCCACCAATGTGGCCCGGGTTCGAATCCTGGCGTCGACGCCATATGTGGGTTGAGTTTGTTGTTGGTTCTCTCCCTTGCTCCGAGAGGTTTTTCTCCGGGTACTCCG